CCTGGGTCGTCTGACACGACTCTGGCTCAAGTCCGAGCAAGAGCGTCAGCACAACTATCTCAAGGATGGTCCTTACGTGTCGTCCGAGGAAGCTGTGGCTATCTATACTACGATGGTTCACTGGCTCGAATCTCGCAAGTTTTCGCCCATTCCCTTCCCCAGTGTCTCATACAAGCATGATACCAAGATTCTTATTCTGGCCCTTGAGCGCCTTCGCGAGTCCTACTCTGTGAAGGGCCGTCTCAACCAGAGCCAACGTGAGGAACTTGCCTTGATCGAGCAAGCCTATGATTCCCCCGGCACAACTCTTGCTAGAATCAAGCGCTTCCTCTTGACTCAGCGTGCTTTCAAGGAGGTCGGAATTGACATGAACGACAACTACAACAACATCAACCCTGTTTACGACATCGAGCCAATCGAGAAGATCACCGATGCTTACCTGGATCAATACCTCTGGTACCAGGCTGAGCAACGCCACCTCTTCCCTGCTTGGATTAAGCCCTCCGACTCTGAGGTGCCTCCGCTCTTGACCTACAAGTGGACTCAGGGTATCAACAATTTGTCGAATGTCTGGGAGACCGCTGATGGCGAGACTAACGTCATGATTGAGACTGAGCTTTCCAAGGTCTACGAGAAGATTGATCTTACTCTGTTGAACCGCATGCTCCGCCTCATCATGGACCACAATTTGGCGGACTACATCACCTCCAAGAACAACGTCCAGCTCAGCTACAAGGATATGAACCACACCAACAGCTATGGTTTGATCCGCGGTCTACAGTTCTCTGGTTTCGTGTTCCAGTACTATGGTTTGATGATTGATCTTTTGCTTCTCGGTCTGCAGCGAGCCAGTGAGATGGCTGGCCCTCCCCAGAGCCCCAATGATTTCTTGCAATTCCGTGACAAGGCTACTGAGACCCGCCACCCTATTCGTCTATACACTCGTTACGTCGACAAGATCTGGGTCTTCTTCCGTTTCCAGGCCGATGAGTCTCGCGACCTGATTCAGCGATTCTTGACCGAAAATCCTGATCCGAACTTTGAGAACGTCATCGGATACAAGAACAAGAAGTGCTGGCCTCGCGATTGTCGTATGCGCTTGATGCGTCATGATGTTAACCTTGGCCGTGCTGTCTTTTGGGACATGAAGAACCGTCTTCCTCGGTCCATCACCACCATTGATTGGGATGATACCTTTGCCAGCGTCTACAGCAAGGACAACCCTAACCTGTTGTTCTCCATGAGTGGATTCGAAGTTCGTATTCTTCCCAAGATCCGCAACCAGAATGAAGAGTTCTCGGTCAAGGACAGCGTCTGGTCTTTGGTCGACAGCTCCACCAAGGAACGAACTGCCCATGCATTCCTGCAGGTCACAGAGGAGGACATTCAGAAGTTCAACAACCGCATTCGTCAAATTCTCATGTCCTCTGGATCGACAACTTTCACCAAGATTGCCAACAAGTGGAACACGGCACTGATTGCTCTTTTCACGTACTACCGCGAGGCTGCCGTGTCGACTGTCAACCTTCTTGATACCATCGTCAAATGTGAGACTAAGATTCAGACCCGTGTCAAGATCGGCCTGAACTCCAAGATGCCTTCCCGTTTCCCTCCGGCTGTTTTCTACACGCCCAAGGAGTTGGGAGGTCTGGGCATGATCTCTGGTTCCCACATCCTCATCCCTACCAGCGACAAGCGCTGGTCCAAGCAGACCGACACTGGCATTACTCATTTCCGTGCGGGTATGTCACATGACGAGGAAACGTTGATCCCTAATATCTTCCGATACATCATTCCCTGGGAGGCCGAGTTCATCGACTCCCAGCGTGTGTGGATGGAGTATTCGCAGAAGCGTATGGAGGCTCAGCAGCAGAACCGCCGTTTGACTCTTGAGGATCTTGAGGACAGCTGGGACCGTGGTCTCCCTCGTATCAACACTCTTTTCCAGAAGGACCGCAGCACTCTCAGCTTCGACAAGGGTTTCCGTTTGCGGGCTGAGTTCAAGCAGTATCAGTTGATGAAGAGCAATCCTTTCTGGTGGACCAGTCAGCGACATGACGGTAAACTCTGGAATTTGAACGCCTACAGAACCGATGTCATCCAAGCACTGGGTGGTGTGGAAACTATTCTTGAGCACACGCTCTTCAAGGCTACGGCATTCCCATCCTGGGAGGGTTTGTTCTGGGAGAGGGCATCCGGTTTTGAAGAAGTATGCCCTATCTTTTCTATTATAACTTCAATTTTTCGTTGAAAGTCATATATGCTAACTTTGTTTAATCCTAGAGCATGAAATTCAAGAAACTCACCAACGCCCAGAGGTCTGGTTTGAACCAGATTCCGAACCGTCGTTTCACCTTGTGGTGGTCCCCCACTATCAACCGTGCCAATGTCTACGTCGGTTTCCAAGTCCAGCTTGATTTGACTGGCATTTTCCTACACGGCAAGATTCCCACCCTCAAGATTTCCTTGATCCAGATCTTCCGTGCCCATTTGTGGCAGAAGATTCACGAGTCCGTGGTCATGGATCTGTGTCAGGTGTTCGATCAGGAGTTGGAGCAACTTGGCATTGAGGCTGTTCAGAAGGAGACCATTCATCCTCGTAAGTCTTACAAGATGAACAGCTCATGCGCGGATATCCTGCTCTTCGCGACGAACAAGTGGAATGTCACAAGACCTTCTCTGTGCTTCGACACCAAGGATGTCTATGAGCCCAACACGACGAACAAGTTCTGGCTCGATGTGCAATTGAGATATGGCGACTATGACTCCCACGACATTGAGCGTTATGTCCGTGCCAAGTATCTCGACTATACCACCGACAGCATGAGTATCTACCCCTCGGCTACTGGTTTGATGATTGGCATTGACCTTGCCTACAACCTGTACTCCGCCTACGGTCAGTACTTCCCTGGTCTAAAGACTCTGATCCAGCAAGCTATGGCCAAGATCATGAAGGCCAATCCTGCCCTGTACGTTCTCCGTGAGCGTATCCGCAAGGGTCTCCAGCTGTACGCTTCGGAGAGCAACCAGGAGTTCCTCAACTCCCAGAACTATTCCGAGCTTTTCAGTCCCCAGATCCAGTTGTTCATTGATGACACCAATGTCTACCGTGTCACCATTCACAAGACTTTCGAGGGTAATTTGACCACCAAGCCCATCAACGGTGCCATCTTTATTTTCAACCCTCGCACTGGACAACTTTTCTTGAAGATCATCCACACCAGTGTCTGGGCTGGCCAGAAGCGTCTGGGTCAGCTCGCCAAATGGAAAACAGCCGAAGAAGTCGCTGCCCTTATCCGGTCTCTCCCCGTTGAAGAACAACCGAAGCAGCTGATCGTCACTCGTAAGGGTCTCCTGGATCCTCTTGAGGTTCATCTACTCGACTTCCCCAACATTTCTATCCGTGCCTCGGAGCTTCAGTTGCCTTTCCAGGCTGCCATGAAGGTTGAGAAGCTTGCCGATATGATTCTTCGGGCAACCGAGCCTCAGATGGTTCTGTTCAACCTCTATGATGAGTGGCTCAAGTCCATCTCTCCTTACACTGCCTTCTCTCGTTTGATCTTGATCCTTCGTGCGCTTCATGTCAACATTGACAAGGCCAAGATTATTCTTCGCCCCGACAAGAGTGTGATCACTCAAGAACACCACATCTGGCCCTCGCTCTCTGATGAGGACTGGATCAAGGTCGAAGTGCAGCTTCGTGATCTTATCCTGAACGATTATGGCAAGAAGAACAATGTCAATGTGCAGAGTTTGACTAGCTCTGAAGTTCGGGATATTATCCTGGGTATGGAGATCAGTGCACCTTCGCTGCAGCGTCAGCAGGCAGCGGAGATTGAGAAGCAACAGGAAGAGGCCAAGCAATTGACTGCTGTCACGACCAAGACTCAGAATGTGCGCGGCGAGGATATTATCGTCACGACAACCTCACAGTACGAACAGCAGTCCTTTGCCTCCAAGACCGAATGGCGCACTCGTGCCATCGCGACTTCGAACTTGCGGACCAGGTCAAACAACATCTATGTTTCTTCGGATGACATCCGTGATGATGGTTACACCTACATCATGCCGAAGAATATTCTCAAGCGATTCATCACCATCGCTGATCTTCGTGTCCAGGTCACCGGCTACATCTACGGTAGCTCACCCCCCGACAATGATCAGGTCAAGGAAGTCCGTACAATTGTGATGGTTCCTCAGGTCGGCAACACCCGGGATGTCCAACTGCCCCACCAGCTGCCTCAGCATGACTACCTGAACGGTCTGGAGCCGTTAGGTGTCATTCACACTGTCTCCGGTAATGAGCCACCATACATGTCGGCGGCGGATGTGACGCAGCACGCTCGTCTGATGAACTCTCACCCCTCGTGGGACAAGAAGACTGTGACAATGACTGTGTCTTTCACCCCGGGTTCCGTGTCGCTTTCCGCTTGGGGCCTGACTCCCGATGGCTACAAGTGGGGTGCTGAGAACAAGGATATGAGCTCCGACCAGCCGCAGGGCTTCTCCACCAGTATGGGTGAAAAGTGCCAGCTGTTGCTGAGTGACCGTATCCGTGGTTATTTCTTGGTTCCTGAGGACAACTTGTGGAATTACAGCTTCATGGGAAGTTCCTTCGGTAGCGTCGAGAAGCGACCTATCTATGTCAAGATCGACACCCCGCTGCGCTTCTATGATGACCAGCACCGCCCTCTGCACTTCCAGAACTTCGCTGAGTTGGAGGATATTTGGGTTGATCGGACGGACAACTTTGAGTAAGGGAGGTCCTCCATCCATCATGGTTTTCAGGGGTCTCGGTGGGCGTTCAAAAAGCCATGCTCTACTTTTCAAGTTTCCGGGGCGTCCGTCTCTTTGTATTATTCATGTATCTTGCGAGCCCTTTTTGTGTATCATGACAATCATAATTTATGTATTAAGCGAAGTTTTGGCTCAATAAGAAATTAATACCTTTGTATTAAAGTCGATTGCCCTAAAGTATTGGTAAAGGCTTGGGTATGGACATGGATTGTTTGATATGCATCCATTACCGCAAGTGTGGAAGCTGGTAGACATAGATCACTAAGTATCTAAATATCTGGGCAACAGGATTGAGCACCTGCTTTGGCCAAATCGTAGGATTGAGGATCGCAACGAGGATCGCAACGAGGATCGCAACGAGGATCGCAACGAGGATCGCAACGAAGATCGCAAAGAGGATCGCGAAGAGGATTGGAAAGAGGATTGCAAAGAGGATCGCAACGAGGATCGCAAAGAGGATTGCAAAGAGGATTGGAAAGAGGATTGGAAAGAGGATTGGAAAGAGGATTAGAAAGAGGATTGGAAAGAGGATTGCAAATTGGATTGGAAGGAGGATTAGAAGGAGGATTGGAAGGAAGATTGGATATGGATGCTCTCAAAGGTACTACTAGTTCCTCCATTTTTGTCAACGCATACTCTTGGGGTCAATATCTCCTGGCAAACCCCTATAGGCAATCGATATTACTTGGGGTATCAAACTCTGTTGAATCCTTTCTAGTCATACGTCCATATTGTATAGATTGGCCACTCGACAGCCTTCCAGATAGGCACTACTGAGCTAGAAAGTAATCTCCCACACGTCTTACACACGATGAGCCCATGGCTTAGTTCAAGATAGCAGGCCCGAGTACTAAGCGTTCTATGGCAGACAGTTACACATCGTTCAATTTGTCACATGCGATGCAAACCCATCATAGGTTACTGGTCATGACTGGGATGACAGACCAAGAGACGATACATGAGCCATTAGAAAAGACCATTGGAGATAATATTTCGAAGACCTTCCGAAAGGAGTTGAGCTTAATGCATATCTGATTTGACGGTGTCTCGGGTTTTGGGATTCAGTCTTTTGAACCGTTGCTGCAGCCCATATAATGTGTGCGTGAGCTAAGATAAACCAGACCCACTGGAAGAGCGGGAGCTACAGAACCTATCGAATTACGAAAGGGCTTGCAAATATGATTTTTTTTTCGCAAACTTGAGCTTGACAATCTGGCGTCTAAGCACGATATTCCGGCTGCATTTTCCCTTTCCATACACGACCGCATACGGCGTGACTAGTCACGAGAAGCCCTTTGGACCGTATTGGTTGAAATTCTCGCCATTCTGTTTTTTTGGTAATTGAAATTTAGTTGATTGATGGACGAGCTGTACGAAGGGTGGGCATGAGGCTGGAGACAGTTAGAATTGCAATAGAATGCAATTTGATCACAGGGCAGCTACCCGATAGCGCGGATCCTCTTTCTTCCATCGCACCACCACCCAACGCCAAAGAGGAGCAAGATTTCATGGCCTCCGAAGATCAGACCATGAAGTGATTGCGCGCTTAAGACTACAAAGAAAGCAGGTCACCGGGTCGTACGCCACCCCAGCATCCTCAGCCAAGTGCCCAACCCTATCTTTCATGCCTGAGCTGGCGTCAACAATCACAAAAAAAGGGTTATAACCCGGCAGACCCGAAAGGGCGTCCCTTCTCATGCAAGAAAGAAATCCGCGGCACGTCAATGCATCGTCACTCCCATGCTCCGCGAGGCTAACGAGGCCAAGGAGACTATTGAGCAGGGATCTGCCCGAGTGGCCCGTGGAGCATGGCACAGGCAAGCCAACCCCATGCCCCATGGCCCATGGCCTTACGCTACGAAGAACAATAGATGGGGGATGAGATATGGGTCGCAAACCACTTCACCTCCCAGCGCAAGTCGGCCATCCACCCGGATCTTTCCTCTTCTAGTGGGCCTCCAAACTGATACCAGGCAAACATGCTATTCGATAGCCAATCCATGACGATAGTCATTGCCAATCAAGCATGACCGTGGCTTAGGATGCCATTGTCCCTGAATCAACTTGACAGCCGACAGCCCGGCATTGTTACTGTTACTGTTGCATGTTGCTCGTTTCGTGTTTCGGATCAGGACTCTTCAGGTGCCTGCCCCGCTCCTGGCGAACATTGCTGTTCCAAAGAACATTCGCGACAGGAAATCAACACAAAGACAAGCCGGTCCACCAAGTTGGAAGGCTCGGTCATATTATTGTTTCATCCCCTGTCCGGCCCTTTCCGCTTCCTCTGGGGCTGCTGTGATTGACCCTCGCATCCCCTTGGCGCTCCTGGACAGGCCCGCTCAAGGGCGTAAAGCCCGCCAGCTTGCTTCTTTGGCTAATCCCAGGCGGTAGCTATTGGCCGAGCCTTGTTAAATCCTTCTCCTGCTACACCCTCCTCAACACGGAGAACTAGCAGGGGTATATCACCCAGCGAATGGGACCCCTGTCGGGGACGGTCCGCTTGCCCCCCGAAGTCAATCTGACGGGCGTTTCCTCGACTTTCGGCTCGTGTCGGACTGTTGGTAATCCGTGAGAGCCCTCGCTTGAGACTTACCATGACAGTTTTCATCCTGCTGCAGAGGTCTACACCAGTCCCTCCGCTTTTCCGCCAGGCCGACAACCCGTCCAGTTCTCGTCTTGCGGGTTCTCGTGGGGGTTTAGTGGTCGCGAAAAGCTAGGAAGATCCTTTTCAATAGTATAACGGATTTTAGGGGGGTCCTGGACCTGAAGGGATTACAATTATTGGTAGAAGCAGAAAAGCCGCGCGCTTTGAACCAATTTCAATACTGATTTCGAATCAAGTCGTTGCTTTTGGCAACATACACCTTCTTTACATTCCTTTCCATTGGAAGTCTGGCCAATTCAACCCTGGCCACGCACGACCCTGCTGATGAACTTTGCTCGCGCTGGATATTCTCACCCAGGCCGCCATGCAAACTTCTCCGAAGCCAGGCGCGTCCTCGGTGAAGATATTATATATGCGACTTCATCCGCAGGCTGCATCTCCCATTCCTCCCCTGTTCCAGATGTTGCCAGCTCGTCTCTTTGTATACCCCAACTATGCTCCGTCAGTCCATTGGGCTTCGAGTCCCTATTTTCCATTGACACGGGATATTACTGGGCCCACGCCCCTCTTTCAATAGGACCTTTTCCTACCTGGACGTCGAGAACTGACTATACTGTCTCTCTTTTTTCTCGCGCCAGCTGAATTTTACTCGGTTCTTATGTGAAAGGCTGGGACGCTTAGCCGTCCCTCGTCCCTCTTCGGGGAGCGACAATTTGTTGGTTCTGGGCTATTACCTCTAACAAGAAGAGCCACCAGCCGGGGTTTCGCCTGGCAAGGTCGATGCATGTCCGTATCACTAGCGGACCCGTATCGAGGCTTCGCGATCAACTTTTCTCACGCAGACAAGCGAGATGATCATGATTTGATTGCCTACGATGCTAGAAATAAGTTGAGCGGGCTTCCCTTCCAACCTGACAGCTCCCATCCTCCTTATGACCCACACCATCATGCGGCAGCACCCCTGCTGCCTCATCCGGCGCCTCAGACCAACGGCTATCATGACCCGCAGCCGACCTATATTCCTACGCACCAAATGCTCCCACCTCCATCACATTATGACTACGAGCTCACGTCACCCCATGACACTGGGAAGCGGAAGCGCCCTGGATCTGATGACGAAGGAGAGAACGATCATCATATGGGACACACCTTTGGACCCCGAGAGCCTTTGCCAGCGCTGTCAATTGGGAGCTCGACCGTTACTGAACAGTCAGATAGTATGCTGTTTGCTAGCCACACCGACCATTCTACCACGCTCCCGCCCCCGATACATGCGTACCAATCTCCCATTCCACTTCCAGTCCCACAGCAGCATCATCACCACCGCCTTCCCACTCAGCTCCTGAGTGCTCATGACACGTCGCCTACAACTTCTGGTGACACGCGGAGTGTGGTGGGCCAGCCGGGAATGCCAGACCCGGCACCTCGACCCCGAGGCCCCAAGCTCAAGTTCACGCCCGAGGAGGATGCGCTACTGGTGGACTTGAAAGAGGAAAAGAATCTGACATGGAAGCAAATCGCGGACTTCTTTCCTGGTCGAACCAGTGGGACGTTGCAGGTGAGATACTGCACGAAATTGAAGGCAAAGGATGTGGTCTGGACAGATGAGATGGTAAGCGCAATTGCCTGTCTCCTAGAAACTCAAAGGGACCTCAATCGTCTAATTCTGCCAGCTATCGCGACTTCAACGCGCACTGAGTGACTATGAGCATGACAAGTGGCGGATCATTGCTGGGAAAGTCGGTAATGGTTTTACGCCAGCCGCGTGTCGTGAACGGGCTGCTCATTTCCAGCCGTACGAGACTGTTGAGGGAGTACAACAGGGACAAGAACTTCAACAAATACAGGATGCCCAGGATGTTAATGCCTCGGATTCGATATATAGTGAAGATGCTCTATGACAACGGTTTTTGCAATATGATGTTATACATAGATTCTGCTGTTGGCCTACATAATCAATCTGCCATGGGGGGTGGGCGGAGTTGGGTAGAAATTTAGTGAATCTACTTTTACCCAGCCCTGACATGAAATGAACGGCTAAGTGTCACTAGAATACTTAAAGCGATTTCATGGGGTGGAGTATACTTGATTGTGATGAGCTCCTTTATAATTGCATGCGTCGGTCTCGTTTCATTCACCGTCTGTTCTCTCTCAAGATAGCTCTGTAGAATGGCCGACCTATAAAAAGGGATCTCAAATTAGCTCAGTATTCCCAGAATCCAAGAGGCAAAAGCATAGATATACCCTTGTTCATACTAAGAAGCTTCTTCTCATACGGACCCAATACCTCTTCCAGCATGATCACCTTTGGAGGCGTCTCCTTTGCAGGCCCGTCATACACCCATCCCCACCGGGATTCCTCATTCTGCTGGATAATATCCTCCTCGTCCCCATAAGAATCCAGATCGCGTATTTCCCGGCGAGACCTCACCCGTACCTTCTCAAGTAGCCACGGCCCTTTCCTCAAGAGGGCGCGGCATTTGTACAACCCGACATCATCATAGTTTAACCCTTCCAGAGCGAGCCGAATTCGCACAGACCGATGGATGCGCTCGTTCGTATTTTCCAGAAATTCATCCGTTGGAAGTGCAGTTTCCGGATCGATACGACGATACATCCCCGGTGTGCGAGTGGTTTTCCCGGCTAGCTTGTAGAATCCGATGTCAGGTTGAATGATCTCGCCCAAACCCCACGGTCGTACGGGTCTATGCTCCTCGTAGATGGAATCCGCCGCCCATTGTTTCCATCGATCGTGTTTGGGGCTATCCTTAGCTCCCATCCCATCTTGGTCTTGATCGTAGTAGTATTGTACACTCTCTCGGAAGATTCTATCAATGGTGTCTTCCTCGAAGGATACGCCAAGGTCTGCGAGTTGGTCCATCATCCAGGCCATGGAGACGTTGGCGAGCTCTTGGTCGGGCAGACCACCGCCGACATTGGAGTGGGCGCCACAAAACCAGACTTGTCGAAGATCGGTATGGACACCGCGAGGGCGTTCCCATACGGCCGGGGCGAATGATGTGCGGACTTCGTCTAGAGCGAGTGCTTGGAAGGCGTGCTCGATCGTGTTGGATAGAGTCGTGTCGTACCATTTGCATGTATTGAATGGTCAGCTTTGAATTTGTGGGTGACTTGGCTAAGAGGCACACTTATTCTTTTGTGGAGCGGGAAATTTTGAGCTTGTTGGATAGATTTGTATCTGGAATGCCCAGACTTCCAACTGTTTCAAAGACTGCGACGCAGCGGACTTTGATGCGGTTACCATCAGGATCATAGAGCCGGGTGAGTCCTTCCTATCAGCGCGTTAGTGAGAATGAATTAATGATCAGAGGCAGAGGGTACAAACATCTTCCAGGCGTAGCTTGTATTCTCTTTGGTCGAGGGGTTTGTTCGGGAATGGTATCGTGGGAAACTTGTCCTTGTAGTCAGGGTTTCTGAAATTTTCTGAATCCTTGAAAATAGGATAAAGATACTCCATTCCTCTCGAGGTGAGTAGACCAATTTGAGCGATCAGTCCCTAGGTTTTGATCATCAGTAACTGCACAACATTCCTCGGATCTGATTCCTAAAGTATGCTTACAGCCACGCTACGAGCAGTAAATGCACCTCGGGAAAATCCAATAAGCATGATCTCATCGCCAGGCTCATAGTTTGTTGCGATGAAGCTGTAAGCTTCTCTAATATTCTGCCACCGGTCAGCAGAGATCTAATAAACATGACCAGTAGGTATTGTACCCACCTCGCCAACTCCAGCACCGAAGACCCCTCCCGCGATTTCATCCGAGACAGAACCAGAGGTGCCGACACCTGCGTGGTAGTATACAACTTGGCTCATCCCATCCAGACCTTTCTTGCGCAGTGCCCGATAGAGCCGGGTCACGTTCGAAGGTACTTGGAGTGTGTAATTAGGATCATGAACGGTGGGGCGATTATATCCTTGATCGCTGTTGACCCATGTGCCATCGAGACATACCACGAGGCGTTTCCCCAGGGGCGGCATGATGTACAACTCGAACTGGTCGTCAACCCGATCTAGCCGGGCCAATCACCGTACCTGCGTCGGGTCCGCGCACAGGGAGTGCAGATGATCCGGGAATGAGGTGGCAAGACTGTCGTGTCACCGAAGCAGAGATCTTGCGGCTAATATGAAACGAGTCTAGAATGAACCACAGATGCAGGATCGATCGTTCATTTCAGGGATGTGGATCTTAACCATCGGGGCATTACGCGGACTAATAAAAAACAAAACTTACCCCGCTTCAGCCTCACCTCAACCCGTGACTGACTGCGTCGTGATGAAAGGCCCCGTGACGACTATCTTTCGTAAGATCTCTTATTTGCTTTTGATATGGATATGACTCGGAATAAACTATGGCTTTAATAAGAATCTAACTATAAGGAAGATCTATGAAAAGGTAAACACAAAATGTCAATCTAGCCTGCCCTTCCTGGCCACACTATAAAAGCCCAGGAATAAAACTTATCATACCAATGTACCATACATCGGACGGAGCGCCATTTCATCTCAACATGTTTCATCATCACATCAGCCTGACAACCAGTCTCAGAATCAATACTGATAGCCTGACCTCCAGATTCACCGCACGGTTTATCGTACGCCGCACAAACACCCCCAGTCAATGACCACGAGACAACCTTCTCCACGGGAACAGAGGCACAGGAACTTGGGCTGAACCCACCATCAGTGAATTACTTACAGTAGACACCAGTTTGATTGTCGGAGCCGGCTTGATAATCTCCAGGCAAATCAATGCATTTGGAGTCCTGGTCTTTATGCCCCGTCAGCAGATAGTAATCTTCATTGCGGCGACGAGCGTCCAGGCGGGACCTTGACTAGTGGTGGTCGCCGTCGTTTTCACTTTGGTGGTCGTTGAAATCTTCTCCGGTTTGGTGGTAGTGGTGGTCTTCGTTGCAGCCTTTGCCGTGGTCGTGGTAGACCTGCAATTTGACATACATGTGTCGTCTCGTGGAGTACACCAGTAATCACCAAAAGCTTCACACTTGCCATCTCCGGTACACTAGATGTTTGTCAGCTGCTAGAGGCTTGCGAAAGTTGACGAGTGTGAGAGACTTACGCATTCATTTGAAGGGCACGGGTTCAAGGAAGCAAGATCGGACCAATTGGTCGGTCTGGTAGTTCCAGGGACCAAGGGGCCACATGTCGCGTTGAGCCGGGCCGTTGGCATCGGAGGTAAGCCGGGACCAATACAAATAATTGAGCCTTGGGGCATGCTCTGACAGTCAAACCTCCACGTGTAAGAGTTGTACATTTGAAGCTGAGCCATGGTGATATCGTGACCCTTGGTGATAGTCTTACAGGTATCCGGGGCCTGGGTGACGTATGTCTTGCAGACAGTAGTGTCTCTCCCAATTATCGGCGCTCCATCGTGACCAGGGACTGATATCTCCGCGACAATTCGAGATTGAGCCTGGTTGGATTCGAAAACGGCAGCCGTAGCGGTGATCCAGATCAGCCCACACAAGAGCAGCCCACACAAAGCTAGAAGCACATATCTTCTCTGACTGAAAACCGCCATTTTGATGTTGTTTACAGACACTGAATGTCTGTGGTTTTTGGATGATACTGGATCTCCTCCATCTATATATACGTTTCTCAAAGTACTTGCTTGTTATCAACTGATTCCTACATTGTAGTTTCATCAATACACTCGAAGCCTATTTTGGAACTCGGGAGGATACTAATAACCTGCATTTCATTATCACGATGGCTTTGAAACTCTAGGTGCATATAAAGACTGAAAGCGCGTCATGAATGATTGGCTATAGGCATCAAGTAAATCAACAATGAGTACAGGGGCCGTTGAGAGAATATTGCATCAACAATCACTCCTGCTCAGATTGTTGCTAGTCACCCTCGATGAAAACCTTTCACACAGGCTGCATACACAGTTTCACCTGTTGCAGTCAGTTGCCATTGCAATGGGAATGGAACTTCTATGTATACTTCGAAACAGCTCAGCCCTAAGCCCTACCTTTCCTAATCCGGCATACATGCTTCTGGTTTCTGTCGCATCCCGTGACATCAGCCAATTCAAACGCTGAGTCATCGGCATTACCCGCGGCCCATTGGCGCACAGAATGCAGCCAATCAGAGGCGATAACGGGTCGAAGCGGCTTCAAACCTCGCCCAAACCTCAGCACTCCAAACTCTCGCTCATCCCCCAAACTCCCCTCCTCCACCCCCATCCATCCAGCGACCGCGATGTTCCTCCAACGCACCGCCTCCGCCATCGCCAGGCGCGCACCCGCCCGTGCTTTCACTCTTGCTCAGCGCCCATTCTCTTCCTCGATCGTCCGCAGTACGTGATCCTCAACCCCCAGTGGCCTGATCCGACCTCCCCCGACCTTCGCCGTTTCCCTCCCCCTCCAAGTCAATTGGGTCACGACACGACCAATTCATGAATCGACAATTGAAAATCACTCTGGATGAACTGACGACTAACGCGAAATGTCTCTCGATAGGCAACGAGAAGAAGTGGGCTGTTGAGAAGGAGGGCAAGATCCTTTCCTTCGACGGTTAGTTCCCTACCCGACCATGAGGCGACCAATTGCTCCGATAATGCATCCGATATCGATGAGGGGTTTAGTTCGGCCATGTTATCCGTTTCGGCGAAGCAATTGAGCTACTTTCGCTGCGCGCGAAGCCGGAAACGTGGGCCGAGAACCCCTCCCGGCCGGGTCATATATCGGACGCAACTTGCTCGCCCGTCGTGAGAACAAAGCACTAATGCGATTTATTTCGATGACTATAGAGATCAAGTCTGAGGATGACCTGATCCCCCCCGGTGCCAAGCCCGGTACCATCCCTACCGACTACATCCAGGCTACCGGTCTCGAGCGTCTCGAGCTCATCGGTAAGATGCAGGGCATCGACATCTTCGACATGCGTCCTCTGGATGCCTCCCGCAAGGGTACGTGTACTAAATCCATACTCTTCGCCTGATATTACGCGTTACGTTCGTTCGCGATAATCGGCTTGTTTGTATACAGCACGAGAGGAGACATCCAGCTAACCGAAGCTCTGTGCCCAAACAGGAACACTCGAGAACCCCATCATCGTCAACGGTGCCGGTGATGAGCAGTACGCCGGTTGCACTGGCTTCCCCGCCGACTCCCACCAGGTCAACTGGCTGACCGTACGTCGGATTCAAGCACTTCGCGAACAACTATAGAACATACAAATTCTAATTCTTTCCTTGCAGGTCTCCCGTGAGCGCCCCATCGAGCGCTGCAACGAGTGCGGCAACGTCGTCAAGTTGAACTACGTCGGACCCGAGGAGGACCCCCACGCCCACCACGACCACGGCCACGGCCACCCCGCCCCCGAGGAGCCCAAGACCTTCGCCGACTACGTCAAGCCCGACTACTGGTACCGGTAAATCCGGGGACTCGATCCTGCGTACCCTAGCGTTTTGAAACCCCTTTGATACTGATACAGTGTGAATGGCGGCCCCTCTTTTTTGTCCGTGGGAGAGAGCCATCATGCAATTCTGTCTGTCTATTCCTGTATCTGTTCCTGTCTGCGTGGCTTTGGCTTGCCGTTCATCGATCTCTTTTGTAGAATATTTCTCTTAGTGGATGAAAATGAGAGTTGTCCAGGGGATGTACGTTGATTAATATTTTGCTCCTCTTTTTTTTTTTGTCTTGAGGAATTCATGATGGACCCATTCTACTCTGTCCTGGATCCCCTGAGATTTGACAACTATCATAGTCTCGCTATCGAGTTCTAGGAGAGGCTATTTCTCCCTCCAAGTACATCTCTGAGAGAATGCTGCTGGAGGTGATACGATATGGCTTACAACGAGGGCAAACATTATCTTCTTCGAGGTCTAGAACGGGGAATTGTTCGAATCATTTCATTAGAGATGTACGCGTATGACGTACGACGTACAAATATACACCGTGTAGATCACTTTTTGACATCCCTCTCCCGATACTATACAGATCCACAGCAAGAATCTGCTGTTATCCCTGTGTGCGAGGGTTATGTGTTGAACGACATCGTGCCACCATCACACCATACTAGCCCAAAAGCAAAACGCCAAAGGCGAACAAGGTTGAACTGATCTCGGAAGGGCCAAGCCCCTCTCCACGCACTCCGGTCTCGAGCGCCATGCCCCTGCAATTAATGTGAAAAGCTCTAGCGTCCAATAAAGTGTAGCTCCAGAAGACGGAGAGGCGGGTACACAAGCGCAGCCCACGAGAAGCCGACGTAATTACCCATATCGGCGCCGTACTCGCCCACAAGCTTCGCCAAGGGACCGATATACCACACCTGCGCCATGCACAGGATGGCACCGACCCAGCCAATGACAAAAGCGATGAAGGCTGCGATGCCGATGGGCAACTTTGATGGATCGCGCCACGCAGCCCAGTTATATCCCGTGCGCCAGCGGAAGATGAACTCCTCGATCATAATGGCAAACCAGATAGCAACCCAGTAACCCATGAGAGCGAGGAAATTGGTGAAAATCTCCGCGAGATGGCTGCGACCAGCCAACGCGCAGACGGTGAAGATAATCACGCCGACAGTGTTCCAGATCACACGGGGCACTTTTTCGGCGTACCGGCCGAGGATCTGGAAGTCGACGCCGGCGGAGTAGGTTGGGGCGACGGTGTTGGCGATGAGTCCTAGGGCGATGATCACGGAGCAGAATTTGCCGAAGCCGTGGAGCGGTCCAAAGCCTTCTACGATGAGGGCGCCTTGGCCGAGATCGTAGGCCGCTGCGTATTCTGGGTAACCACTGATCCCTGAGGCGAGACCGATGCCGCAGACTAGTGCCATGGTGAACGAGAGGACCAGGCCGGTTAGGGTTAGGGAGAAGATCGTGAGGCGGGAGGTGTGCTCAGGGTAGTAGACGAAGAAGTCTGCGGCTAGAGGGGCGTAGGTGATTGCTGCGCTGAGGCAGATGGAGAAGAATGATAGCCTGATATCGGGATGTGTTAGTTGAGGAATCGCGCGTATAGAGCGAGATCGGTTGTGAACTGACCTGTTACCGACTAGCGTTCGGGGATCGCCTTGAGACACTGTAGACAGATCGAACTTGGCAGATGAGACACCGAAGAGAATGCATACAACGATGAGCTGAGGCAAAAACGCAAATCTGATCCTCAATGGTCAGTGGCTATCACGGACATGAGAAAGAAGGGTATGGCTAACCGTTCGTAGTAGTGGAAGACCTGGATGCCAAATGTAGCAACCACCCAACTGATGATTGCAATAATGACAATACCTAATTGAGTAAGGTTAATCATGTCGTCCGTGTGAACAAGAGAAATGATTCTGCCCATCATATATCACATACCCACAGCAACAGACATGCCTCCCGGCGATACAGCAGACAGAATTTGCCCTCCCACCACACAGTCAATCAGACAGTATCCGAGCATTTGGATCAAGTTCAGCAGAACAATGATCTTGCTCGGCCACCAACCCATCGAGTACCGGCCAAACGCCATAGTGCGAATACCGGATACTGGGCCCCAAGTGGCCATCCACGACGAAACTAGAGAGCCGGCAATTGCACCGAAAACCGCACACAGGGCCGAGTCCGTGAAGCTCAGTCCATACACCGCTGGGCCCAGCATACCGAGGGTAATATTGTTCGCGGCGAGGTTGATCGACACCCACAACAGGAATGTCTGCAGGTACGACACCCATGATAAGCGCTTCATTCGCTCATCGGGCGCAACTCGCTCAATTCCTCGTGCCTCCAGGTTATACTCGACAAGCTGTTGCTCGAATGCTTTCAGCAGCGAGCCGATGCGCGAGCCGGCGGGGTTAGCCCGACTCGTATTCTCGGGTGGATACGTCGCATCCTTTTTATTTTCGTGATCGATCGGCTGTTCGGTCGACCGAACAGTCTTGATATCATCGTCTCGTTCATTGCGCACCGCTATGGCGGCGATTTCATGTTCCGGGGCCATGCTGAATACCAACTCGTCAGTATACGCGCACTCTTCCAAACAGGGTAAACCGGGAGAAGCAGAAAAGCGCATGAGTCCTTTCGCTGGAATTATCCAGATCAAGTTCAACCGTATGATCTCAGAACGGCCGCGGACAAAAGGCCGATCAGATAATAAAAAAATGTTAGGGCCCTTTGCCCCCGGGCCGAACACCGGTCTTCATGCAGATTCTAGAAAGGGTACCTTGAATCCTTGATCAATAGACAATGCCAGACTACTCGTCTTCATGATAGCCGTCTCCGGGATAGAGCCAATACAGGAGTCGGGATCTGTACTCGAGGACTGTTTCGGGAGAACAGAGCGTAGTCTGTCACTTTTCAATGTGGGTGAGTCACTGTGAAACAATCGAGGGTTAGTGAGTGGATGGCGCTGGGGGGGGGGAACGGCATTCTGAGCGGATAGAAACGCATTTACCTGGCAGCAAGGCTTGCCAATATAGAAGAGACTCGAGGCCACAATTGAAGAGGGAAAGTGATGGCAAGGTCAACGCTTGCAAGAGTCACCAGAAGAATATGACTGTGGGGGTAGAGGAAAGGGTCGCGGGGAAGAAAAATCTAGATTGCCCCCGCTTATCGGCGGTTTTCCGCTTCGGCCGCGGGAATACGCTGAGTGGTCAGGCCCACCGCTTCTGGGCTTATTGCGCCGAAGCTAATTAGTGCAGCTACTCAATTGTTCGGGCGAGGAATCATCCACATAGTATTGGTCAAGGAAGAAATCAAAAAAACGCGCAGAGAGGAGGAAATGTTAAGGCAAAAAAGACATCACAAAAGACAGCCCGTACGGCGCCAGAGAGGGCAAACGCCAGAGCAGTATAAAAAAAAAAAAAAACAGGACCAACAAAAGTCAGAGATTTCAGGCAATATCGGAGACAGAGATAAAAGCTTCACATGGTAGTAAGATCGAAGAAGAGAATAGAAGAAGAAGACGAAAAAGAGACCTGATCACCAACTCCATCAGCCTTGTATTATCAGTGGCCCCCATCAACCATTATGACAATTGCATCGCTATGGAATTGCAGAATCCGGGGGAGTGGGAATGCCAAATTCGTTAGATGCACCAAAAGAAATTCAGAAATAGAAATCAAACAAGTTAAATCGTCACTTCATCAAGTGGGGTCGGGGGGAAGGGAGGGGGGGTCATCAAGGGTAGAAGCTCAAAGATTCTTGAAATGTTCCTTGGCATATTGCTCGCAAGCCTGTGGATATAGCAAAATATCGGATTAGAATCCAACGTCAATGGGACCTCATGTGGATGTGCAGGGTGCAACCTACCTTGGCAGGCTTGCCGACTTTCTGTCCGATGACTTTCCACTTGTTTGCCTCGTACTCCTTGATTGCATCACGGAGCTTTATGGACTGTGAAACGGTCAATGGGGGAGCTCAAAGGAACGAGAAACCTGATCAGTTTGACCACCAGGAAATCATACCTCATCTTCGGCGAATTCAGCGTAGTGCATATCCTGGTTAAACATGTCAGCGCGACCGTCAAATAGCGAAACCCTCTTGGGGAACATCGCCTATGCCATACCTTATACCAATGCTTTTTCACACTGCCCTCGGTTCGTGTAGGGAATGTCTGCGTCGCGTTAGATTATCAAGGCTTGCGCGGTCGATTTGGAAGGCCTGGTTTCAAATGACCAGGGGCGCACCTTTGCGATTTCACTCCAACTACGCCCGGCATCGCGCATAGTCTTGAGCCGTTGTTCCTCCTCGGCGGTCCACGGGGTGTTAGTGCGACCCTTCTTCTTGGGGGCAGGCTCCGGGGCGGGTGGCAGAGCGGTTGGGTCACCCTCGACTGGCCCACCCGTAGAGCTCATCTGTGCAGCCATCATCGTGGACGAGCCCACGGTGGGAGATTGGGGACGCTTGCGAGATGAGGCTTGCTGTTGGGATTGTTGATGTTGTTGTTGTTGTTGTTGCTGCTGCACCACCTGCTGCTGTTGCTGCTGTTGCTGATGTTGCTGATGTTGCTGATGTTGTTGCTGCGGCGGTTGCTGCTGTTGCGAATGGGGGATTGGGGCCGTAGGAATAGGAATGCCGTCGAAGGTCGGGACCCGATGGAAAGGATGGAGCTGCTGTTGGGCGAGCAGATGCGGCGGGGCACTAGTTGTGGCCGAAGTCTTGATCCGTTTGGAATTCGGAGGTGACCTGGTTCGTGTCGCGTTAGCCAAGTAGCTCCGAGGCCGTACGAAAAGCAGTGAATGCGCGATATAAACAGGTGCGGTCAGCATCGGACAAAAGATGAGTCGCGAATCATAGGCTATTTCTCTCTCAAGTATGGGATGTCTGAAATTGCAGCTTGTCTTCGCAAGTAGTCTCCCTCCCGCAGCACAGGAGCCGAATGGAGATCACAGACGAGGGACTCACGACATGATGGAAAGATCACAATCACACGTCGATTCATCTGTACCCGCGATCATGCGCGTAGGGGGGTTAGCAGAACTGCTACAGGGGCGCCTTGGGTCAACTTCTAGGAAAGTGGGCTTCGTTACACTAACGACGATGACACAGGCGCATCCCAGGCAGAACCAGATCGATCGCAGAGGAGAACGACCAACGAGAAAACAAAAGGGTAGAATGGCAGAATTGTACAACAATAGAACAATATGAAGATATCAGACGGTCGTGAATTGAAAGGCCTGCGGAGTCGTAGGGGTTGGGGGCAGTCCAGTGAACCCGACCGGGGGAGGCGCGCTTCAGCTCTCGTCCATTTGTTTTCGGCCAACGAGTGCTGGCGGCGGGGCCAAGGATGACAGCAAATGGACAGAAGAAGAGAATGGGTTCGCTCACAGATCAAAATCGCATGGTCGAAGAGTCGAATCGGGCACCTCAAATTCTTCCGAGTATGGGGAGAACATGAGGCTGGAAGGGGAGATAGTGGTTGGTTAGGAGGTGGTAAGTAGTAAGAGGGGGAAGGGGGGTAAAGGGAAGAAGGAAGAGGGGGGGAGGGAAAGGGAAAGGTTGAGGAGTTGGAGAGTGGCAGGAGAATAGGAACAAAGAATGAGAAAGGATCAACGGATGAGGAGGGAGGGAAGAAAGACGATAGGGAATCGAGTCAAGAGGATCGCGAGGGACGGAAAGAGAAGAGGGAGGAGAAGGAGGAGGAGGAACGGAAGAAGAGAAGCGGGGAGGTCACCTCATATCACGCTGGTAATAAAGGGAAGGAGCATCGTCCCAGTCAAGTCGCGCGATTCGAATTGTTGGATGCGACGGATTCTTCTACGCAATCTAGATTCCCATTCACGATCTCGATGATATTCACTTCTACTCCGTACAGGACTCCTCGAAATGCCAGAGAGGGCGTGGAGGGGAGGGGTTCAAGGCGGGTTCTAGGCCCTTTGCGACGGCACGTCCCCACCGAAGCTATACACAAAAACACAAAAACACAAAATAATACACCCGCCATCTTTCCTATACCTTCCTTGCCACCTTTTCTCAAGTTTAACGATTCCACCCCGCAAAGGCCTGATGTTTCAACGTTCTCTAATTTCTAAAATCCCATTTACTATTTTCCCACCATTCGTCTTAGGAACCCGATGGCCCTGAGCCCTGTCACAAATGGCTCGTGCTGCACTCCAATTCGACCAGCCGCAATGTTGCTGCAGAAGCAGGATGGACCATGTCCGACCTTTTCCATGAAACGTTTGGCCCAAAGACTGTCCGCGAGTGGATTGCTCCAGAATCCGGTGACCCGGCGAGCTCTCACAATGCGAGGATGACGACGAACGGCAATGAGGGAAGGGACGTTGATCCAGTCCAGAACTGCCCATGAAGGACTTTGTCTTCCCCCATGTCTTTTGCGGTTACGGGTCCAGCAGGAAACCCCCCCTCCCCTGCCGGTCGGCCAATCTGCTCGAGCCGCATTGCGTACATATTGTTCCATTTTTCTGCGCCTATTGATGTCCATACTTTGTTCTAAGGGACTACCCCCAAGGGAGAGCTACAACTGGAGCAATCGCCCCTCGGCATGAGTGGTTGTAATAGTAGCACGCTGCTCCTGCGAATACCACAATTGGGCTTGGCTAGGTCAAGCCACACGACCGTTGCGCATCCAGCCACGATACCCCCCGCTTCTCTCGATCAGCCATGCCTACAGAGCATGGCTTTCTAAGAAACGTGACCAACACCCAAGACCATTGGTAGGCAGACAGTCCCTTTCGAGATCTGGGTTCCGTAGTTGGACCCGTGGGCTAAGATAATTCATGGGAAACGGGCAAATATGTCCCCCGTCCTTGTACTTCGTTATCCGTCCCCGAATCAAGTCTTGTCTCCTGCAAGCACTCAAGTCAGCCCAGAGAGCCCTAATCAAGGAAAGAAGATGCGGGGCTCAAGCGAACAATTCCTCATCAACGCCCCAATGAGAATCCCGCATGGCCAGCGCCATGCTGCATTCATTGGGGATGGCACCCGCAGGGATCGTGCATTGCATCCTCTCGAAACAATTTGGCTGCCATCTGCAGCTCCATTGAGGGGGGGCCAAGGTCCGTGTGTATTTTCAACATTTATCGACGCCACGGCATACTTTTTGAGAGTTTCGTGCAGCTTGTCATGGTTGACAATGCGATGGTGATGGAATCCCATCCAATATGGCCGTGCTTGTTTCTCGTACCTGGGCATGAGAGCAATGATGATTCAGTGGTATCTCTGCCTCGATCGGTTCAGCTCGGTCCGGTGAGGATCAGGGTCGTTTTTCAATGTCTGTCTTCGGGGGTCTACCATTTTAGGCGGTTGCTTCCGTTTTTTTTGGGATTGGAAGCGATTCCAGTATTTAGTTGATGAATCACCTGCGTTTGCTATTTGAGTCATGAACCATTGATCTCGAAAGACTTGGCTTAAGCCCTTAGGTCAAGAACAACGCTTGGAATATTACGCTCACTTTTGGTGTGTGCTGTTGGCCAATGTGCAATAGAGGCAGAACGGGCTAATCTGATCTTGTAAACATCTTGTTTTATTCATGGAAGCAGCCTAGAAGTCTATGTGAGATGCTTGATTGGAGGTGGTCGAGTAATGTGACTTGACTATTCTCCCCCTTTTTCTCTCACACACCAGTTCTGATTCCTCCATTTTCTGTAAAGTATTCTTTATCTCTTCATGCCAGTTGCCCCAGGTGGCTAAGGTACCAATTTGACTTGGATTTCCAGATTTAAGATAAGCTGGAAGTGGTTGGGACGAGGTGCTCACAAGATCCGCCGCTGGAAATATACTTAGCGATGGAACGCTTCTATAGTAGTATTACTTTCAACTGGGAAGTAGAGCCCCAAGGTTAGGCTATCGCAATCTCATATCAAAATTACTTGTTCAGAAGAGGCCTTCAGCTCCAATGTATGACTCTCGTCCATGTACAATCGCTCCCGAATCACTGCTTTCACGATCTGCAAATCATTGCCCCACATCATTCGATATGACCTAAAACCAGGACTCGAAACCGAGTATCAGGTTTGAAACGGCTTGCTTTGAAGAAGTACCAACGGAAGCAGGGCCCCATAATAAAGTCATATACCCCTAAACAAGGCGCACAAGGCATGGAACAATTGGGACTCGCAATGCAACCGCAAGTACGCGCGGAAATCCGAAACCAGGCTAACGTCATCGCTCACGTGAGGGGTGGTCCAAGCTCAGATTGCAGATAACGAGAGGCCGGGGAGAGCTCCCCTTCGAGGCTCGAACACCAGGCAACAGACACGATTCAAGATCAACGCCCTCACTCACCACGAATTACGAACATATCTTGCTGCACAAATTTGAACGCTATATGACTGGGCTTATCTATTGATTGAGCAGACCTCGCCTGTCTCAACCGAAGTAGCTATCTCGCCATTCACTCGCCCCGCAACCAGCCAACAACAGACGCCCTCCTGACCACCCCATTCCCACTGCCCGCCGTGATGTGGAACCTGTTTCGCATATTGGGGGATTTATCTCATCTTGCCTCGATCTGTCTACTGATATGGGCGATTCATAAAAACAAGAGCGCCGAAGGTAAGGTGTCATTCAGCTATGGATCTGCTGGGACCAGACCCAAAGATAAGATATGGACAAGAACTAATCTGTTTCTTTACGTTATAGGCGTCTCGCTTCTCACACAGCTCCTCTATGCAGTAGTATTTGTTACACGGTATCTTGATCTATTGAATCCGGATACGTGGTCGGTACGGAGACACGGCAAGGCGGTTCTCTGGAATGTCCCGTTCAAGCTGTTCTTCATATTCTCGGCCTTTTATACCATCTTCATCATGATGAAGGTCTTCCCGCGAACGAGGGAGCGTGAAAGAGCTTGGAAACTCGGGATCTATTCCGTGCTTGCCTCCGTCGTGTTGTCGCCGCTGTCAATCGTCATATTGGAGAAGGGTTTCCCATCTCACTGGTTCTTAGAGGTTAGTAACGGAGAGAGCTCTGGCGCGGCTCACTGCAAAAATACCTGGCTTCCACGGAGAACAACCCTGCTAACAAGAGATCTTTGGTAACTAGCTTTTTTGGGCTTTCTCCATCGTCCTCGAGTCCGTCTGCGTCCTCCCGCAGCTTCTACTTCTCCGGCAAACCACAGTTCCCACCGTCATCGACTCCTACTACCTCGCTGCATTGGGCTCATACCGTGCCTTCTACCTCCTCAATTGGCTCGTGCGCGGCTTCGGAAGCGAGCACTACTGGGACCTGATCGCCTTCGTCTTCGGCATCGTGCAAACGGCATTCTACATTGACTTCGCTTGGGTGTACTACTCGCGACAGCGAGTGAAGCTGCGCAACGGCGGCGTCGTTGACTCGGAGGACTTTAGCAAGAGCTGGCTGGTGAACCGGGTGGTGAATTTCCGCGCGGGTCGTGCATCGACGGATGAGGAGCAGCATCTGAATGATGAGGAGGGCGGGGATGGCCGGGCTAGTAGTAACCGGTGGGGTGCGCGAGGGATCTCAATTGCGGCGGATGATACGTTGGAGAACCAAGGTCGGCATGGTGGCCATGATGACGATGAGGATGGGTTTGAGGGCGTTCTGGCGGATGATTACATGGATGATCGTGAGCACGCACCACGAACTCGTACGACTGGTTGATCTGTCTCCGGCTGGGCCAAGGGAGGAATCGTGGTTGAAGTCGCGGCGGAGCGGAGCGGAGTGGGGCTCCTTGGAAGATGGAGTCGGGCTAGTTTTTGAATATATTTAGCTTTTCGGCGGGTATCAACTTTTTTTCTTTTGCTCTGGTACAGAGCGTCTGGTGTTGATGCCATCACGGTTGCATCTATGGAGCATGCAAAGGAAATCTATGGAACGGGTGTCCGTACTTCTACCATGTGGAGTGGACTTTATATAAACAGATACCTGATGTAACAGATAGGTGAATTAAGTCTTGATTCAGTCGCTAAATCAATATCCTATTTACATACTTGCCCACCAACCCACCTGTCCATCCACGTCCCCCGGACTGGACGCAGGTATGACAGAGCTGGGCTCCTATATACAGACTGATCAGGTGCCAATCGGCCATAGTTTCCTTTATCCCCACCATCGACACGAAGCTGTTGATAAAAATTCAAGAGCCACACCGTAGGACCCTGAACAAAGAAATTGTCTATCTTCATTTCGTTCAGATTAGGCCCATCGGCGCCATGATTCACTCCCCCAAGGTGACGGTCACCAGCGATTTCCGGGGTCGACAATTCCTCAACAATCGCCGGAACCAAATCTTGCCATGCAATGACCTCCGAGAGTTTGATCAGAATCACGGCTTGCTCGTCGGCGGACACCCAGTCAATTGCTTCCATACCGTTACCGCCCAGTGAACCTGACAAAGCACCAGGACGGCGCGAGCTAGCGATTAGACTGGGCAGCCACTCAGTCCGACGCCTAGACTTCCTCTGGGCTCCGAGCTTGGCCTGAGACTTGGCCGATTTGCGCTACACCTATCAAATATGGAGGGGTCCAGGCCGTAGGATGACCGTGTAAGATCGACTGTCAAGAAAAGCCATCCGAGCTGCGTCGAGAGTGGTATGAATTCCTCGCTTGATATTCCGAGATTCCTGGTTCTCTGTAGTGATTCGGATCCCGTTGACCAGTTGAGACAGTAGATATGGGCGACTTGGGGATCATTCAACAGCTGCTCTAGCATAAAGGATCCCAAGTTGCCGGAATAGCCAGTGGAAATGACGGTGTTCCTGGTTGTAGGGTCATGCTCAAGTGATGCCATTAAAATTTCAGAAGCAAGACAGTCAATTTGCTGCTCAAATCGCTGCAGCGTCTCCTAAAGTCTAACTGATTTCGTTCCATCTGCCGTTATATCTTGGCAAATCTTTGTGATCAACAGCGCAACTGAAGGGTTGTTTTCAATGACCGAAGGAGAGATTGAAGCACCGAGATTCAATCGGATAGCTGCGCTCATTCGCGGAAGCCGTAGCGAGTCCATACCTTGACTGAAGAAAGTCGATGCCGTCTTGAACTTCAGACCATCTTTTGATGTCGGCCACTATCGACCGCGGGGCGGAAGCAACAGACTCACGAGTGAATACCCCAGCAGGCGGAGTTGGCAATTATTCACTTGCATAAAGTGCCTCAATCTGTTCAGCATACAGTTGTAGAGTTCCCGCGCGTTGCACAGTGCTGTTGGCCGCATGCAGCATGGGCTTATTCAGATCAAGTATAAGGGTCTTGGAACGGGCAATGTGAGCGTGCGCTGGGCAATGAAGATTTGCTTTCTGGACGGTAGAGCATATCTTGTCGGTGAAATTCTCCTTGACTGAAGGATTCACTGTCGCCTGTTGCAGTGCTTCTGGAACCGGCTCCATGATGAGACAAGCATCACCTCAGTCATTGCCAGCCACCAGAGTACCACATAGATTCAGGCTCTCGCAGGTCGCATTGCTGCTCCCGGTGATTTGTAGGAGTGCTTTCCTCAAACTGCCTCGTGCAGACAATTTACGGATAAAGGAAAACCTTTGGGACAGACAAACAATATAATTGGACTAAGTAGAAGTCAATGGACGAGATTCGACATGGGCGAAACGATATAGTCTTTTGGCTGCATTTCTGTTACAGTTGGTTAATGAGCGTCATTCAACACCAAATTCAATGCTTATATTTCAGTCACGCTGAGTGGATAAATCTGATATGTGAGTGATCCCTTATACGTGTATCATGACGAGCCTAAACATCGTGTCGTGAGTGATACGTTATTAAGAGCCGAGATGGAAAAAGGATAGAATGGTGCCAAGAACAGATAGATACATTCATCACCTGTTGGCATTGTGCCTTTGTCACGTGATCGTCATTGGGGAGGACCCGTACAGAGGGTGACCGAGGTATTGGGTACACCGCTCCCATGGTTCCCTCCCATTCTTAATTTTCTTTATTTTCTCGAACGCATGAGTACATACTGGGGATTTCATGAACATCAATGACTCCTCAAAACCGAGGGTGAATCAGCGGCTGCAGTATGTGATCGGTCTGGACCACGGATAAGCTATGCCGTTGCACGTATTCGGCTAGGCCCATGAGGGATAGGCAGGTGGTATCCTGTGGTGTGCACTACGACCGGTTTTGGGAATTTGGAGGGCGCTTAAAATGCAGACTTCTAAGTAGTCTATGGGAGGCTTCCACGTAGTTAAGGAGTGGGATCGTATGTAGCCGGTCGAAGGTGGGCAACGTTTACGAAGAGGAGACTTGAACTTGGTAGAACCGGGCCAGACATAAGTGCCTGCCAGGTGAGGTTACCTTAGCCCCCGTCCACCTACATCAAATGACTGTACTTCCATCCTCCACCTTCCACCTTCCGTTCCTAGGCAAGGCAGCCCACGGCTTCCCTCCTGCTTTGACGATTAATGGCAGTGCAGAGACTCGATAGTTCTATAGAAGGAGCAGAAGAAAAACACAAGCGTCGAGAATGATCGAATCTATCTGCTTTTTTTCTTTTCTTTGTTCCCAAACGTGCTGAGAAGATCTTAGGAGGCCTGGGCGGGGGCCCCGTTCACCCCTCGGCGCTTAACCACCGGCTGTGAATTCTCCGGAATGAAAAAGCCACAAGCGGCGCGCGGGTAGGCTTTCAGCCTCAGCAGCCTCAGCAGCCCCCACCGGTCCCTTGCCGGCCTCGCTGGGGGCCTCTGGTCCAGTCAAGAGCCGCCGCCCGTCAATTTTTCCTGCTGGTGGAAAGTTCAGAAGGTGGGACAGGCTTCCACCCCCCTACCAGCCCACTCTCATTTCTTTTCAATCTGGTTAGTTCCTTGAATTTTGCTCAGAGGCCGGCCCAATAGCTAACACAGACTAAGGGAACACGGATCATAGGCTTAGTTCAGGATGGGTTCGGCACACGGGATATTTGTGACAAGTAGCAACAGTGGGAAGATTCGGTCTACCATCTCATTGATCATTGCAAAGAACTAGATGGATGATCGCTCTCGAAAATACAGAGAATATCTCTGCAAAACTTACCGTCGATGCAATATGACGATGAGAGAACGAGATCATCCCGTTTGACGATCCGATTCTACGCCAGTGCACTGCCTGCTTGGCTAGTAACTAGCATGGATGCCACACCATTTATTCTCCATCAGCGCTAATCACAAGCTGCCATTTGGGTCATTTTGGCCCTCTTGGCCCATTCAGAACCCCTCTATCTCTTAAATCATAATTCACTACCACTTTCTCGCACCCCACACTGCCATCCGATTCGGGACCCAGCTTTCTAGAACGGGTCTCGCCATGCATGCCCGAGAAGAGCGCCATGAAAATAAAAAAAAATAAAATACATGAAATGTCCCCCACCAGATAATCGAATTTCAATTCAAATCCAGAAATGAGAAGGCCCTCTTATGATTTTTCTCAGCCATATTCGGTTACCTTGCATTTTCTTTTCTTATTTAAATGCAAAGAAAGTCTGTGCCCGCCGACTCTATCCACCCCACCCCGTTACCTTCTTGGGGGTAGAACATGGGGGCCGGGAACCGCTGGGATATCAAGACCGCAACTCGCACTATTGAATCTGCTGGCGCTTAAATACAGGCTGTCGTCGAGTCTACACTTCTGCCTTTGAGCGCTCCAATGCAGCACGGCGGTCACCGGCGGTACTATCCTTCGATTCTAGTGCAATCTGAGCCTATAGTTGACGAACCGACGCCTGTTGTTCGTCCCTGCCTCGCGAGGCATTCCGGACGCGGGCTGTGATATCTCGCAAATCGAGTCTAGAGAATGTGCTGCGGGCATTGTCTGCTATATCTTGTTGCTTTTGACCCCTCTCTCTTCCGGGGCTGGGTTTATCTATAAGAATCTGGAGGTTCACCTTGCCGGATTCCGTGCTTCTTTCTACACGATCAAAAAGCACTTTGATTCTTATGATTATTATAATTCTCGAACCCTAATAGGTATTTGGACTTACTCGCTGTACCTGTTTAACGCCGTGCTCGGCAAACCATTTTCCTCTCCCAACCGCCGCCTCTTGCTCCTGTTCCTGCACGGAACTGTCTGACCGTGTTTCATCTTCTGCCACCTTTGGCGCTTGTTCCAATCAGGTGCTTGCTGGGCCGCGATCGCTACTAAGTGCTGGATATTTTTGTCTACATACCCAGTGAAGATCATGTCGCGCTGTCCAAGGAACCCTCAGTCGAGAGAAGAATTGCAGGGCTACTATGAGTCCATCGGCCCTAGCTGGACGGGTGTCGAAACAGTAAGGCCCGCTATCCAGCCCTAGCTTCTTCGGCCCCCGCGAGGGTGCCGAAGAACAACGTCAATTTTCAGATGGGCTAATTATAGTTGCTATTCTCTTCCGTCTTTTGCAGCCTGCATTCCAAGCCTCTTTCATGGGGGTAGCACCATCTCCTTATTGCACAGAGCCTATAGTCCCGCATCCTGCCATCCTCACGCCCATCTCCCTTCCAGATAGTTCATTCCGTCCGAGCCCAGCACTCAGTCACCACTCCCAGGAGTATCCGGCTCAAGAATATAGTTACAACATAAACCCCGTCCAACCACAGGGTCTGGGTATTACTGCACCATTTTCCAATGATTATCCACGGACATCAGCCCCAGTCGCTAGCTATGCCTACGCTCCAAATGACCCGCCCTATGCTATGGGCTATACTCCCAACATGTCGCCCGCAGCTCCGGCACCTAAGCGGATGACGCGAACTTCTTCGGATATGAGAACTCCATCCCGCGACACCCGGACTCCTCTCAGCATTATGCCCGATCCAGAAGGTGTCGAACGTCTGGAGCGCGAGCGTAGCCAAAGTACGCCAGCTTCAGCACCAATAATGCCGCCAAAGCCTCGTGCGCCAGGCCGTGGTCGCCGAGATCCCAAAGCGGAAGAAGAAGATGCTTTCGTTGAAGACTTGCGCGAGCAGAATATGGCATGGAAGAGAGTGCGTGAAATGTTCTGTGAGCGGTTCAACAAGGATGTCACCGAGGCTCGACTGCAAATGCGGTTGACTCGTCGGCGCAAGGAACGAGTTGCGCGCTGGGAAGAGCATGATGTGAGTATGTGGCCTCGTTGTTTGTTGTGAGGTTGGATTGCTCTTTGAGACTCAGAGGCTAATGGATCATTGATGTGCTTCAGGTTCAACTGCTCCTCTCCGCTTCCGATATGTGGGAGATCGAGAGGTACCAGTTCGTCGCTAAGAAGGTGAGTTCTGCGCGTTTATGGGGTTAATACCACTATGTCGAATTTATGACGACTGACTCTTGATAGATGAAAGAATTGGGCTCCACCAAAGAATACACGCCCGAACAATGCAGAGCGCAACTACGATACCTTGAAACCATAAAACGTCAAGCACACTCCTGCAGCACATCCCCTTCGCCAATATATGATGCAGCAGAATCACCGACTAATCCCCCTCCAACGTCACGAAAGCGAGCCCGTCAAGCACTGGAAGATTGAATTCAAAAGCAAGTGGAGAGTTTCTACTGTAACTTTTGCATCTACACTTCTTTTTGGCGGGCGCTTTCCATGGCAAATACTTGCATTTGCACAGATTTTATTACTTATGAATAGCACTGGCGTTGAATGGAGTTTTCTGTGTATCTTTATCATTTATACTGTTTGCTTCTTAGGACTCGATTGTTTTTGGAATCATAGTTCCAGATTTTCAATGGGATATAGAATCACAAACTTAGCATCACCCTACGTTCGCGGAGACACCGGTAAACACGTAGAGCGGGAAATTTACTAAATTGCAAACGAAATTGATCATAGGAAGACCAATAAGCAGAGTTAGCTGTGGAATGCTGTAATCCGACCCCAAATATTCTCCGATACAAGTTAAGAATGGCATGCATGTACTCTGCAATTCTACGACAAATAATGTTAAACATTAAACACAGACTTACTCATACAGCGCTATACTCGAACTCTCTAACATATGTCAAAATCACAGCCCCGATTAGTGACTATTCCGAGAAATGCCGAAAATAGCATCATTGCGGGCTAAATGTAATCCTGCCCCCAAAGCGCCACAACGACCTGCATTGCACGCCGACCACAGCCTCCTTGACAGGCTCCGCAGTCTCGGGAACTTCGGGCCCTACCCGTGCAACATCTCCATCCCCACATGCGCTCCTAGGACCATTGTTTAATTTAAGCACTGTCTGCGCCACCTGCAGGTTCGCCTTGGTTCGGCCCCTAATACAAGAGTTGTATCATAGAGTCTTTCTTGGTAAGAGCCACCTGCGACTGGAGTCAACGCTAAAATGTACGATGGGGAAGTGGGTCTCGTCATGCAGGTCTTAATGGGATGATGGGAGGTCTTTCGTTGTAGGAATCTAAATTGGTGACTTTGTGAAACGTCCGACAGGGCTGATTTTGAGAATGCAGGTTTCTAGCGCGGGTCGCCTTGGATGTCACTTTGATATTTCGCGTGGCTAAAATGAACTCGGAGTCAGGACTGTCCGATCCGGGTCGGGGATTGAATGGGATCAACGATCGGATATCGTAGGCTGTATGATCTACTTCAAGGAATCTGAAAGCCTGGTCCCACCATGGATCGGGGTCCTGTTATGTACCCTTTTTACATGAATGTCTACGTAGGCAACTAGCTCAGTTGGTGCTGATGAGAGAAATCAGGATGGAACATAATGTCTCTTTAAACAGTTCACTTCTATTCATGCATCGTATGTCTCATTATGAAGCGCCGATATCTGTTCAATGAGCATCGGCGTCGTCAACGTCCGAGTCCAGGTCTTCCTCGACAACGGGGAACGTCAAAAGCGCTGCAATACCTCCAAGCCCCTCGAGACGCTTTCCACTTTCATGATCCGAGCTAAGAACTCGTACCTCGCCGCCCTCGACGTCCCGAACGCGGTCTACCAAACCAACCCATCGCTTACGCTCGGCGACGTCTTGCGACCGGAACAGTCTGTTCGACATGATCAATACACCACCACCGCGGCCGACGGCCCCTTGCTCGACTGCCGATTCTACCTCGCGAGGACCGTAGGTAGCCTTATTCGTCTCTTTGCGCAGCTGGTCCATGAAGTCATCCATCAGTTTTGTCTCTCGGGCGTACTTGGTATCAGCGAGGAGAGTTTTGACGGCGGGCGATTGAAGGACCTCTGACAATGAGTTGAGATAGCCGGAGGCTGAGTGTACGACCACGATGCTGGGGAGTAGTCGCTTTAGGCCAGGTGTTTTCGTAGATGCTTCGGACTGAATGAACTTGTGGAAACCCGCCGCAACGAAGCCAGGGGAGGCGAGTAGAACGGGGCGCACGGCTTCATTATTGGCTCCGGACGTAAGGCTGGTGTTGAAGTCCATTTGACGCAGAAGTGTCTCCAGCGTTACACGGAAGAACTTGCCCATTCCCTTTCGTTCAATCAATTAGTTAGTTCTCATCCCACGCTTCGTGCCAACTCGACGTCACTCACCTTATCATGATCCCCACCACCTTGCCTCTTCCTCGGCACGGACATCTCCACCTTCTGCTTCAGTATTGTCTGGAATTGGCCGATAAAGCAGATATGTGCCAGTCCTTCCTGCATTATAACAGCTACAGCCTCTGCACGCCGGTTGCCGCCCTCATCCACCGCATCCTTCAATTGTTCCACCGCAACGCTATCCCATCCAACGCCTTCCCCATCGGCACCCACCTCCTTCTCTAGAGTAAAGTTGCGGTTCAACTCTAGGTCGAGCGTGTGGAATTGCCCAATTTTGGTGTGCGCAGTCTCGTTCATAATCTGACCGGATACGTGCAGCTGCGAGCTTTGTGGGTCGAAGTCGAGGTTCTTCACCTTGATTAACAAGTTCAGATGAACTCGGGCAGAGGATGTGGAGCCTGTATCTTGGACTGTTGTGACGCGTCGGATTGCGCTGGCGCGGAGAAGATCGCCTGGACGGATCAGGTTGTATGCGTGCCACTGGGTAAAAGAATTGTGTTAGATTGGAGAGAAATGTTGCATTGCAAGACAAGAGAGATAGTCGGTACCATATCCTCAGGCTCCTCGGGACAAAGAGTGACTGTTCCCGAGCCATCGTGCTCAATCTTGTTCTTAATCAGGCGCATTGTGGAACCTGTGAGGTTCGCCGAGACCAAGTCACTGACAGTGAGGGTAATGTAGTTTTCGAAAATATTTTGGCAGATCTGTCAGCCTCCGTAGATGGTCAGGACGATATCACGGCCTCGGTAGTCCCCGGTAGCGATTGATAGGAGTATAAAGTGACTTGTTGAATCCTGCCCTGCCCGCCGCATCCTAATGCCCCGCACTATACTGCCACCAGTGACCGCCTTTCTCTGCAGAGTATCTTGTACAAAGTACTCCGTACCTTGCAGCTACCTAGTATCCTTGAATTCGTGTGGTACCGATTATATTGCCTGTTTTGTTTATCTGAAGGATAGCTCCTCATTCGGGTTCTTAATTTTGAAACCATGGATTCGACGTTTTCAGAATTTGCCATCGAATGAGAGACGACTTTGCTAGAAAGAGAGATACGAGGTTTTCGGGGGGTTTCGAGCTCATAGAAAGCTTAATTCTGGTTCGATTCCCCCGTTAGCCTTTGCAATCATTCAAAACCGATAGCCTTTATGCACCCTGTACGCAGCGCCTTGTTACCCCGCCTCTCATCGATAACGCAGGGCTTGAAGAGTATGCTATGCATTCACTCCTAGGCGTGGGAAATTGAAGAACCTTGTCCGAGTCTGTTCAAAGAAATAGCATAGCCTTTCATGAAGGCTCCTAGCTTTGACAGCACCATTGCAAGCTCTGAATTTGACTTTCCCTTTCAAGGGAACACGCCCCACGTCGTATGGATTGATCAACCAGTCAACCCGGCCCAGGCCGCTCTGATACCCCACTAAATGGCGTCAAAGTGACCGAACGAGGACTCCGACGGCGAGGAAAAGGAAGGCAAACCACGGCCCGGGGTGGTCTGTGAATTTATTATCAATCAAGCCTGAAGGCAAGTGGGCCCGCCTATTCTACTGTACATGACTACTTGTACGGAGGGATTTCTCCAATTCCCCAACTTCATCGTTCCTCCATTCTTCGCTTCCACTCCCCCGCATTTAACCATCGGATTTCGAAGTCGCACTTGCCACAATCGCAGAAATGACCGGACTCACGCTGCAGTCGACTTATAAGTTGGTGTCTGGGTTTGATATCCCGGTTGTTGGGTTTGGTGTAAGTCGAGCACTTGAAATCTGGGAAATGGTATTTCACGATCTAATACAACTTTTGTCCCTTTAGGTCTACCAGACGTAAGTTGGAATCGGCATGATCGCCGCAGGAAGGAATTGACCATTGCCCACTAGACCACCCGATGTCACTGAGAAAGTCACTTTGAAGGCACTGGAAGTGGGATACCGCCATGTAAGCTACCGCCAGAGAATCTACATGCCCATAGCCACATAGTAACCATACTCCTCCAGGTTGACTGCGCCAAGGTCTACCGGAATGAGAAGGAGAGTGCTGCGGCAATCCGCAAGTCCGGTTTGGATCGGTCGCAGATCTTCTACACCAGCAAGGTCCCGTCGTCATACATGGGCTACGAGAAGGCCAAGCAAGCCATTGAGGAGAGCATTGCTGCGGCCAACATCGGATACATTGACCTGTACGCAATCCCCCTCTTGATCAGCTTCGAGATTGCATAGGACTCACACTTCTCCCAGTATGCTAATCCACGCCCCCTACGGCGGCAAGGAAGCCCGCCTGGGCACCTGGCGTGCCCTGGTGGAAGCGCAAAAGGCAGGCAAGGTCCGCTCCCTGGGTGTTTCCAACTTTGCTATTCAGCACCTGGAGGAGCTGGATGAGTACATCAAGAGCGGAGCCGGTGGCCAGATCACCGTCGGCCAGTACGAGATTCACCCCTGGTGCCCGCGCGAGGATATCGCCGAGTGGCTCAAGAAGCGCAATATCATTGTTGAAGCGTATTCGCCCCTCGTGCAGGCAACTCGTATGAAGGAGCCCGTTCTGGAGAAGCTGGCTCGGAAGCACAGCAAGACCCCTGCTCAGATCCTGATCCGCTGGAGCTTGCAAAAGGTATGTGGTTTTTCTCACTCGTTTTACATCTGATCAAGTGAGGCTCATTATTCTTTTCGCAGGGTTACGTGCCCCTGCCCAAGTCAGTGACCGAGTCGCGCATCCTGGATAACTCGCAGGTCTTCGACTTCAGCCTGTCGGAGGAGGATATGGCCACGCTGAAGCTGAATGAGTACGCGCCCGTGTGCTGGGACCCGGTTCGGGACTGCAAGATCTAAGTAGATGTGGAAACCTGGAAAGCGTAGGAAAGAGCAGAAACTGTAAAAATAAGCAGTAACAAATTGAAATGCATATACCACAGAGAATGAACGATCGTGAACACGGACTCGTTGGTGAGCCGCGACCCTTCGGCACCCAATCAGGCAGTTTGTTGACGGTCGGCACAACGTATCGCCGTCAACGAGAGCGGGAACCAACATCATCGCAGCGGCCCCTCTCAATCCGTTCATCACAATCCCCCGCATGACCCTCGCCAGGTCTCTTGATCCATGAGCTCCCGTTCGGCAGGCAGTCGCCGTGACGGCCTACATCATGCCAGACGAGTCGGGGCGCCGCATCATCATCGAGAAATCCAGTACGGTCCGACGCCGGTACCAGCGGAGCAACAAGCGATTCAAATTCACCGCCTCGCAATTACGACGGATTGAACGCGAGGAAGAGCTTGAGCGTCGGGCGAAAGCTCTAAAGGAAAAAGAGGAGAAGCGGCGAGCCAACAAGAAGAAAAAGGCTGAGAAGGAGGCGAAAGACCGCGAGGAGCGAAAGAGGCTCGGATTGCCGGATCCTAATGCACCCAAGATCCCGGCCAGCCAACAGTTGCTCTCCGCGTTTCTGGGTGCGAAGTCCAGGCAACCCGTCGAAGAACAGCCTGTTGATACAACTGTCGATTCTACAGCTACGGATAATGATGAAGGGGGGGATACGGAAGTTGATAGCGCGGGGGGCGACACCGAGCCAGAGTCGGATATATTTGACGACCTAGATGAGGAGATAATCGAAGAAGAATTTTCATGTCTTCAAGATGCGGGCATCCCCAAGAACTCTGAGATCCCCGATGTCTCTGATTACCCTGAGGATCCCGGTGTTGGCAACGACGTTAGCGCAGAGTCACTCTGCTCTCCGAAAGATGACGACGATGACGAATTCTCTGATTGTTCAGTATTTGACGATGCCGACATTATGAATGAAGCAATTGCTATCGCCGCGTCGCGACTGTCCCAACCAACTCCTCTTCCTACCACATCTAACGCCCCTCTAGCACCTACGATGGGCCCGCCGCGATCAAGCGGGCCTTCCAAATCCGTGACCACTCCAATACCCTCACTTGGAGATTCTTTCCGCGACGAAACAGCCGATTATCTAGAGGACGTCTTCTCGCGTGGCTGCGGCGACTCATTTGGCGAGTTAGTCCAGCTGGGCTCGGGCACACGATAGACTAAAGTCATGCAGCAGCACTTGTTACATAATCTACGATTGAACGAACGCGACGAGCATATTAAAACGAGTACTGGAGATGAACCCCACACTTGATGGGATGACTTTGGAGATCCAGTACACCAAGGCTTGGCACTGCTGCAGACTGATCGGCTGCGGTCCGACGGTCGGCAGGGCACATCCGCGCAGGCTTCGGATGCCGTAGGGCCCATGCCCCTCATTCGGATTATGGGCAGATCCATCGGGGTCGACGCGCTTAGCAGAATTTGTCAATTCCGACGGATGAAAAAGCGGGGGATTCTCTTCCTTTCGCAAGCACAAATTGGCGGGATATCTTATCGGGAATGACGACACGCGCGGGTCACACCTGGACATTTACTTCCAACTCGGCCGACGGAGGCATTTTGTATAGATCCCTTTTACTGCTAGGACTCCACATTCAAGTCGATTCTTGACATACCCTTCTTTCTCCGTGTCGTTTTCATTCTCGGCACCTTTCTCAATATGCCATTCGTACAAGCAGGCTCCCATAGCCTACACTACACGGATTCCCACCCGACCGGGGCACCGACACCTTCCGGGCTGACCTTCATTTTCATCCATGGCCTGGGCTCCTCGCAAAATTACTATTTCCCCGTCATTCCACATATCACCCCGAAGCACCGCTGCATCACCATCGATACCTACGGCGCCGCGCGCTCCCCGTACACCGGTGATACGGTCTCGATCCCCGGTATCGCGGAGGATGTTATCGGTGTGCTGGACGCGCTGAACGTAGCCCAGGCGGTGGTTGTCGGCCACTCTATGGGTGGGCTAGTCGTGATCGAGCTGGGGGCCAGATATCCGGACCGTGTGCTGGGCGTTGTGCCCATTGGGCCGACCCATCCGTCGGAAATGTTGGTGTCGGTTATGGGGAAGAGGGCGGAGACGGTGCTGGAAGGTATGTTGACAACTATCTACAGAACTATTCTCAAAGCACGTCTTCAAGGATGTGTGTAGATAGTTTGAAACACAATGCTAACCATCAATCTTGGACTCTAGCCGGAATGGAACCAATGGCCAATACCATCCCCTCTGCCGCCGTCGGATCCCGCAGCACCCCTCTGCAACGCGCCTTTATCCGCGAACTGCTTCTAGGCCAGTGCCCCGAGGGCTATGCCGCTCTCTGTCGCGCTATTGCCAGTGCGCAGGTTCCAGACTATGCTGCAGTTCGTGCGCCGTTCCTGCTTATTGCGGGTGAGGAGGATAAGTCGGCGTCTATGGAAGGGTGTCAGTATATTTTTGAGCACGTGTCGAGTCAGAGCAAGTCGATGGAGGTTTTGGAGGGGGTTGGGCATTGGCATTGCATTGAGGCTCCCGATGATGTTGGGAGGTTGATTGCGCAGTTCGCTGAGGGTATTGTCGCTTAAGTTGCTTTAGTTTGCGGAATGGAATAGAATGCTCGCAATTATGACTCGATTTAAGCTCTGTGAGTGTAGAGTTGAATGGATGGACAAGGCTAGTTTAAAGATGTTTTTAAAAAAAAAAAAAAAAAATGCATTGGATATCCCGCAGGCCCAAGTTGGTAGTAAAATATGGACGAAAAAGAAAACGCTATCGTGACAAAAAAACATATCCGAGACCAGAAATATGTGCAAAGAATGTCATGCTACCGCCTCCAGGGCGCTCTATGCGCTGCCCGCCTTGGTGTCGGCAACCAGTTTAACGTCGTACTCCAGTTCAAGAGCAGCCTTGGGGTCGTCCTTTCGGGGAACAAAGTCCACAACGAGGGAGTCCTTGACGGCGAAGACGGAGTCGTTGTCCAGGTACTTGTCCTTGTGGTCAAAGATCTGGGTAGTCAGAGGGCGGTAGCCTTCCTTGGTTGCCTGTGCGAATATATTAGCTTGAGAATACAGCTTCAAGACTCTCAAATGGTGAAAACTTACAATAATGTGAATATGGGCAGGACGGAAGGGGTGGCGGTCCATGAGGCTCAGCAACTTGCCAGCGGGTCCTACGCCAAATCCCAGTATTAGTATCTTCTTTCAACCCATCTCACCACGTAGTCGAAAGGGTCATGCTTACCATCATCCGGAACGGGATACGGCGTGGGCCGCAGGCAGTAAAAGGAATATCGTCCCTCGTCATCCGTCTTGAACTTTCCACGCAGGTTAAACTCAACCTGCTCCGGATCCTGCTGCTCATACAGACCATTCGTCGACGCCTGCCAGACCTCCACATCTGCGCCGACGAGGGGCTTCTTCGTCTCAAAGTCGATGACCTGGCCGTGCATAAAGGCCATTTCACCACCGTCCTTGGGCTTAGTGACGACGATGTCGGCACCGTTCTCGCGGTAGGGCGTGTCGGCGCGGAAGAAGGGGCCCAGAATAGCGGTCGCGGTGGGTGCGTCCTTGGCTTCTTCGGCGAGAGTGAAGGTGATTTCGTCGACCAGGCTGTTGATTGTGTATTAGCTTTTGCTTTGCTTTACGATACACACATATATAGTTATTACTTACGATTCCAAGCCGATCACATCGCACACTAATTGGCCCTCGTTCCGCTTATCGTCGCTCATCTGGCCGGCCCAGTTGAGCATCTTCACTCCGGCCATCCACTCGTCGACCGTGAGCTCGTTCTCGCGCGCAAAGTCGTGCACATGGCGGATGAGACCGGCCATAAGCTGGCGCATGCGCGGCGAGGTCTTGGGACCCATCGCGTTGATGACATTGTCGGTGAATTTGGGGTCGAATCTGTGAGTTGCCATTTTGAAGTATATGCGAGGATGGGTGACACTATTAAAAGGTGATAATAGGGAGAATTTAAAGAGTAAGGAATGATCAAGACAAAGGCCAAGACGTGGGGACGAAGAACTAAACTATGCGACACGACAACGATAGCTACCCCGACGGTTATATATCTCGCTCAGTTCCGACGGGACTTTTTCTGTTGCTTGAGCGGCAATTCGCGGAGTCTTTCCACTTTATTCGTTAGCAGAGCTCTCGGGCTTTGGGTTTAACCAGCGAGTTGACCAACGCGTCGATGCTCATTCGAGGCCGACCCCGCAAAAGGCGAGGTCTGCTGGGCTGATTGGGTCGGGTGCGGGTTGTCGGAAGGGAGGCGTTTGGCTCGAGTCGGATCGGTTGGCTGGGCCACTTCCGATTTCCCCGCAATTGTCGGATGTCGGTGGGATTTCTGCCTAAGGCCAGGTTAAGTAGATTGATTTATACGAGGTTTATTAGCAGGTTGTACAGTAGGGCATTAAACCGAGGGGCAGAAGCTGTTCAGTTATTTGTTGATACGATTAGATATCCTCATTCACTCTATATAGCGAGCCCAGGGTCTATCACCGCCGATTCTTAGGCGTCCCCTTCTTAATCGCACTTTCCGGAAGCTCCTTCACCCCGTCCCCCTTCGGCCAAATCTGACCAAGACCAAGCTTGCGCTCAATTACAAACTCAAAAAAGTCTATCGAAACAATCTTCTCGGGATTCCCATCTGCATCAGTCTTGCCATTCGGCACGGGCAATCCTTCACTGAGAATAACCCCATTCTCGCTGCGCCAGAATGGACACCCAGCCGCCAATGCCTTTTTGATATCCAGGTAAATTAGAATTTGAGCATCCCGCCGCATACCGGAGATGACCTGGTTCTCCTGCTTGGGTTCCTTTCCTTTTTCTTGGGATGTCGTGCCCGCGGTGGCTAGCGTAGATTCGAGCGAAGGGCCCGTCGCAAAATGTACGTGGTGTCGACCCATCGCTCGCAGTCCACCGGACTGTAGAATCAGAGGCCATGCGCCGTGGAACGTGCCGTGGACAACGGTCTGGGGGAGCTTCGACTCGTCGTCAAGCGTGAGTGGTTCCAGGAAAGTTGCCGCATCCACACTCTGAATGGTGTGGCCCTGTGTCGCTCGGATCATGTAATTTGACGGCTCGGAATCTGTCGAAGCCAGAGCTGCCTGTGTCGCATTTGCTTGGTCTTCATTGCTGGACGGCGCCTCGAGCACCGACGTAGCTGGCTGGTCGCCGTCCGCTGCGACCTCTCCGTCCGGTTGTTCCTCGGACCCGGGGACGGTCGTTGGTGTTAACGTAGCCTTTGTCGTAGACCCGGTCGGTTGTGCGGAGGGAATGTGGAGGAGGGCGAAGCGCTTCTTGTCGGACGACTCGACGGCGTGCTTGATTTCGTCAAAGGTGGCTTTGATGGACTTGAGCTTTCGCCAGGCCAGCTGCGACGCGATCAATTGTCAGTGGCCATTCTTTCAGAGTTCTGATGGAGGTTCTGAGCTAGTAGAGGCATACCACGTCTGCTACATTCGCGTAGCCTTGGGCGTTCATCTTCACCCCTTCTTTTTCGGCGGCATGGCGCAAAAGCAAGCTCAGAGCTTTGGAGACTTGTACGTCGCGAGACTGTCCTTGACCGCGACCACCACCACCGCGACCACCGCCACGTCTATCCTTTCCCTGCAGCCCCATGATAGAGATTCGTGGAAGTGTAGTGATGTGCTGTAGAAGAGCTGGCTTTTTGCGACGCGTAAAGTGGGGGATCGTCAAAAGTCCGCGGAGCTTTAAAATGATCGGGCGGGGCAGTTGTGCGTCAGAATCGGGGTCCGTATTGAGAAAGTGGCCCAGTGACCGAGTCAGAGTGACTCATAGAGAGCGAGACAGGAGTACGACAGATTAATGTGACAATGACTGACAGCTAGAGGAAGAAACGAGCAACACGGAAGCGAAGATTGGGTCTTGTAGCGATAATCACGATAAGAAGTGGGGGAGCTGTCTATTTAGTAGGAAGAGTTGACATCATCGCCAATGGAAGTATTGAGACCTCGTTCACTTTCAGAAACCAATGCAATTCATGACCTATGGACCAATGGGTATAGAGTACAAAACAACAATCAACAATCAAACGAGAAAAGATCGACCCTAAGAATGTCCCGGGGCTATGATATGTAGGCAGTAACAGAACTGCTAAAGAACGACCGGAAAGTGTGGTCTTTCACCGATCGCAGATGCAATTACACTCGGCGACTGGGCAAATTTTGTGTCGTGCAAACCAATCTCGAGCATGGTGGGCATGATGTCCATGGTTGCAATTGATACAAAAGACCACGAATCGCTTCATGACCTCGTCTTCGGCGGCCTTGCGTGAATCGGTTTCCGCATCGGCGGCAGTCACCCCCTTCGACATTGGGTCGGGAGTTCCAAGCCACATGGTGCAGACGCCACAGCGAGGCATATGCCGACCGCATCGAGGGCACACGGTCCCTGACATGGTCGCAGATCCCAGCGGGTTACCCACTGTCGGGTGCACTGTTTCGACGGTGGCCGACGGAGAGATTTGAGAAGAGGCGTCGTGCTGGGTCAGCGGACGGGTACAATAGTTGCAAGTCAAGCTGACTTGTTGCGGTGGTGGAGGAATAAGCTTACGCCCATCCACGGTCACCGCGAAGCGACGAGACTCCACATCAAACCGAGCACGGTCAAGCTGCATCTTCCAGGAATTCATCTGCTGGCGATAAGTTTCACGCCAGGCATTGAACTGGGCGATGAAGGGTGGATGGCTGATGATGCGAGGGACGGTGTAGCTCATAGCCAGAACCGGGGTCTGGACGTCGTTGAACTTCTCGATGTACGAGCGGAACAGGCCCATGGCGAGATGGCCCAAGCCTGTGAGTACCACTCCCTCGATGTCTCCTTCCCTTATGGCCTCGGAAGTGACTTCTCCCAAATATTCGGTTAACTCGTCATCCGGCAGCCATCTGAGTGCGACCTCGACGCGATACTTCAGCGGAAGTGTAGTCTCCTGAAGGACAGCATGCCAATCTCCTTTGCTCACGAGGGCCAGGATTGCTCGTGCGTACGGATCTGTCAGTTCTTTGGAGATCTCGGCGCATGTCTCTTCCCAGTCAGAGTTGCTATCGCCTTTTGCGGCGCCAGCAATGGCCATCGCAAGTAGTTTGTGGGCTTGGGCGGGTTCATTACTCCGAAGGGAGAGGTATGCCAACTTGGCCTCATCCTGGAAGACTGCCAGTGCGGCGGCCTTGGTATGTTGGTTCTCAGAAGAGAGGTTCTTCACTGTCTCTGCAAGCTCCTTGTATGATGATGTTGCTCCACAAATGCGAAGACAGAGACGTCGATGCTCAGGGTAGGCTGTTTCACAGCCTTTAGTTGGGGGCAGGTTCAACTGCTCAACGAGGTGGGCGATCGCTCCAGCGACGCTCTTCGGGTCGTCATCCTTCGTGCTAATGCGGCGCTGTTCAAAGTCATGACCTATAATGACAGTCAGTCGGGATTTCAAAAATATATGCCAGGGAGAACAAACCCATATCGTTGGTCCAGACATTGCTAACGCCAACGTAATTCATATCCAGGCCATTGACAACCATGGTCGTACCCAAGGAGTCGGAATGTGCACCTGAAGAGCGATTAGCGCTGAGTGAATATAGGTATTCATAGTCTTCAGACTTACGTTGAATCCAGGTCCACAAGTCCTGGAGAGCAGGATCGTCCTTGACGATTGACCGATTTCGAGCCTCATTGAACAGGTACCCTTCTCTGCATCGTGACTGGGCAAGGGTAGACAGGGTTAAGGCCTCTTTAGCAGTAAGAAGTACGCCCAAAGTTCCAAGTGACATCGCACGTTCCCGCATTTCTCGGCTTGAAATGGGGTCAGTATTCACTCCTCGGGACTCATCCGACTTTTTGTCTCCGTTTGTTGACGAGTACTTTGAGCTCGACAGCACACGTGCACGAATATTTTGGACCAGTCCGGAAATCGGCAAGACGTGTTCGGATAGAGGGTGGATAGTCCTGAAGTCCGAGTCGCCCGACGCGATACCGAACGCCAACATTCCCCGTGACGACAAGCTCACGGGCGCACAAGGTGGCCGCGCGGTAATAATCCGTGGTTGTCCGTGGCCATCGAGAGCGATAGCACTAGGCTGGGGTGACATGTTTAAGTTTATGAAATCGAATGTCACCACGCGGTCCTTCTCCTCACACCCGCGAGTTGGATGATCGAATGGGAGACACACATCCCGGACATTTCTCGTGTAGACTGGCTCTGGGTAGTTCTTGAAAGAGCCTTGTCCGAAGGTTTCGTCGATTGAAGCGCGATATTCCTCAGACTGGTAGTCTTTCGCGATTTCAAAAGCTTTGAAATGGCCAGTGCTAGAAAGTGCTCCCAGATAACCGCGGGTGGTCTTGGAGAAGCGCAAGCTCCAGATCGAGGACTTTGACTCGAACACATTCTTGTACTGAAGTGCGGCGACGGATTGATTAGAGTCTGGACTGCTTGCCGCAGAGCCGACCGATGGCGATACGAGCCGAGCCCCTACGCGCCGATCCCAGACGCAGACCGTGCTTTCGATGGGCTGGCAAGACGCAATGTAATTTTCGTCAAGCCAGTCGATGGCTAGGTTGTGGACACATCGGGTTTGGAATTGCAAGGAAGGATTGCCTGGGCCCTCTGCAATGTGAAATTACCATTAGGAAAACGTGAACTGCAGAGACAAGCTGGAGATACATACCTCGAAGGTCGTAAATGCGAAGAAATTGGCCTTTAACACCCGTCACCAGCGTATCAGGCTGGTCCTTGAAGAACTTGATGCTCGTGATCGGCTCTGAACTTGCTAGCTTGCGCAAGGGTTCTGGAAACCCTTTGCTCCCACCCGCAGGGCTGAGTCGCTGGTTGACATCCCAGATATTCAAGCAAAAGTCGTTTCGCACGCGATCAAGGCCCGAAGCAACGAGGCCATGTGCACTAAACGCAACCGCATTGCAGGATCGCTGGTTTCGAACGGGAAAGGAGAGCGACTCCTTCACGCTGGCGTCGAGTCGTAGGATTGTGGCTTCGCCGGAAGACTGCCCCACGGCGATGAGGTTCTCGTTGGACGCGGACCAGTCGAATGCGCGAAAGGAGGGGACATCGACAAGCGTGGAGAGCAATTCATGGCGGAGGGTCTTATCGTAAGCGTTATACCCTGTCACCTTGCATAGACGAAATGCCTTGCCTGTGACGTCGACCGAGAGGAAGCGCTGCTCGGTCGCATTGGAGCTTGGAGACCAACGAATGGCGGACTCCATATTGCTGATTCCCTCCTCGATGAGGGATTTGAGCTGTTTTCGAGGCCGCAGCCTCTTATCAGGAGAACCGTACAGACAATTCAGCTGCTGATTTAGGAGGGATGGTGGGCACGAGGAGGAATGCAGTATCGACAATGCGATCGGCTGGCCGCTTATTGGCTCCGCCGATCTGGGGTCGGCCCGATGATGCCCCGACCAGATTTCTTTTTTCTGGCGGCGCAACCTCCAACATTCTGTCTTCAGCACCACAATGTCAGACACCCGTGATCGCAGCTCAAAGCGAAGGGCCCGAGATGGCTCTGAGGATCTGGTTCCTCGGAAAAAGCAACACCGACAGGTTGTGGCTCGCCCAGAACACAGTGAATCTGAAGACAATGGCAACAATGGGGACCAGAACCCGTCCAAGGCAGTGAGAAGCTCGAAGAAACAGCCTGAGCCCCGAAATGAGAAGGAATATCCGTCAATCAATGATCTAAAGAGTCGCATTCGCGGTGTAAAGCGTCTTCTCAACAAAGATCTGCCAGCAGATGCGCGAATCGTGCAAGAGCGTGCGCTCGCAGGCTACGAGCAGGACCTTGTGGAGGAAACAGCCCGCCGAGAGCGTTCGAATCTGATCAAGAAGTATCACTTTGTTCGGTTTTTGGGTAAGCGATGGGCAAGTTCCATGATTCATTTCTATCAAAGGCTAATCCACATCTCAAATAGACCGCAAGACGGCGACAAAGCAACTGAATCGCCTCCAACGCAGGGAAAAGGAAAAAGACCTTACTACTGAGCAGAAGTCAAAGCTCTCCAAGGAGATTCACGCTGCCCGTGTCAACCTCAACTATACAATCTACTACCCTCTCACCGAAAAGTACATCTCTCTCTACCCCAAGTCCGACAGCAACCCTTCTGGCGAGGCCAAGGAGAACAATAAGACGGTCGAAGCGTCTAGGCCGCCTATGTGGTCCGTTGTTGAGAAATCCATGGAAGAAGGCACTCTTGATGATCTACGAGAGGGCAAGTTGAACATTGGCCCTGATGGACAACAAACATCAGCACCTGTTAGGAAGCCTGTTGCCCGTGAAAGTGAGAAGAAGGCCAAGAAGGATAAGACGCACAAGGAGCCCAAAGAATCCGCGAAGAAGGAAAACCTTGCCCAAGAAAGCACTTTGGACCGCCTCAACCGGAGAGAGCGTCGCAAGGAGCAGCAAAAGGCCCGTGAATTGGCTGCCCAACAAGCTGCTGAAGGTGACAGTGATGGTGGATTCTTTGAAATGTAAAAGTATACAAGAGCATGGAAAACCTGGTGTTTGGTGTCCTCTTTTTCTCTTCTACCTCCAGCTGATATCCAATATGCATTATGTGACAACTTTTGCCAGCAAAGATGATTATTACGCCGCATGTCCCATACATCCTCAATACACATTCAGGAGAGACATAGAAAGTCAGATCTTATGCCATAGAATGCTCCTAAATGTGGGTGATCTTGTCTGTCGAATATACTTGCCTCGGGGCATATACTCAAGAAATTCACCAACCTAAACCTCCGGTCCTGGGTCGAGACTCGGATAGGATGTACATACATATGTACTTTCAGATTACTTATCAACACACCTTTGCAGGTCCTTTATAGACACCTCGTAATGACCACTATTTGATCATCTATCAATCAGAACCTGGAGTCTTTACATAGTCTCTCCACGGATCAGTTGCCAACGGACTATCTCAGATCCAATTCTAGGGCATTTCATTACGTTTCAACATGCTGCTATCTATATAATTCGAGGAATCTAGATGTTATTCACCAATAATGGACACGATAGAGTGCATGATATCAAATGCTGATTGTGCAGTGTTTTGGTCATAGACTGAGGCTTGATGTTATTCAGACCGAGATAGTAGTGAGGAAAGCGTGCGTACACGCAGAAATGTTAATAGAGCAACAGTGCGATGAATGTGCTTAAGACAGAGCGCTAACCTTGAAATCTTAATAGCAATAGAGAACTGGTGTCTCCCTAATGAACAGCCACTATGGACACGATAGCATCCTGCTAATGTTGATATCAATGCTCTCTGAGATGAACAGGAGTTTTTTTGCCATTGTACTTTTCCAGGGTTCTAAGATCCTTGCATGCTAAGTTTGGAAAGCTGATCGTTTTTCTAAGGAGCTATCAATGTAGAGAAGCTTGAAGTGCTACTTACTCCTTCACCTTTCCCTCTTCATCACTCTTCTGCATCTCTTCCTCGAGGATACATACCGTCCAACAACTGGCAACGCCCTCGGCGTAAGTCCCTCGATTCTCGCTCTGCTTTCGTTTTAAAGAATTTATTCTTCTCTCACGCTCTTCGCTTTTCCTCTTTACTCACACTTGCGATTCTCATTTTGACATTGAAGGTGCGTCTGTTTTGATACGCCTCGTGCGAGTCCTTGGCATCCTATCTCCATCTCTATCAATATCATCCTCCAGCTTCACGTCTCCTATTTTCATCAACTAACTGCCATCTCACAGTCTCTCCAAGGCTTCCCGGAGATAATTCCACCCCTGGTACCGGCCTCAGGTCCGGCCTGACTCGTGCTCTTACGTTCATCCCAAACACTTCTTCTTGGGTTTTCAACCGTCAACAACTGCAAACCCACGAGATATCTCCTCATCATCCACCTTTCTCATACCTTGATCTTGTCTCTCATATCCTCTTCTACCTTTCTCTCTTCCCCCCTCCCCCAATCACTCCCCTTTTCTACCCATACTCAACCTTCTCCTCGTACCTCTCACAGCTTCCTCCCCTGTCTCCTCTGTCTTTCCCAACCCATTCTCATAACACCATCTCCATCTCCCTCTGCCACCATCATTTTATCCAAACTCTCATCAACAAACACCAAATCCAGTCAACATGGCCATCCTCAAGGAAGGGATGATGGCCTGCGCCAGAGCAAACGTGACCAGATTCACGAGCGAGCTCATCCAGCGCAAAAACGCATGTGCCAACCTCCTGACCGAACACAATCTTCGAACTCCCGACGTGATCTGGGAGCCCAAACACGGAGAAGGCTACGAGCCCTTTACCGCCGGAGACAAAGCCAAATTCAAGCTCGTCACGACCGTGACTTACGAGAACGGCAAGCTCGTCTGGCCCCCGAAATTCACTCGTCTGAGTGACGAACTCGTCTACCTGGCAACCAAGTTCCTGAAAGTCACCGAGCGAGCAGCCAACTATCCCTATGATTTCAATGAGCGTGGCGATATCCGCGAGGAGCGTGTTCCTTCCGGTGTCTCGCCGATTGTCTGGGCTCACGGGCTGCCCTTCTTCCCCGTTTTCAAGGGCTATTACATTCTCTGTGGACGTGAGCATGCACGTTGGGTCGGATGGCTTCTTAATAAGAAGGAGCACCGGATCATGGTTGCATGCCCCATGTGGACGATCGGACCCGTCATAGCACCTGGTTCAGCCGTGAATCTGCCTCGCACTGTGGACCGCCAGATGCAGCTGCATGTACCCAAGAGCGCGAAGGAGGTGGACAAGAAGTGGGAGAAGATCGATTCTGCGCGTGACGTTGTCTCGACGGCTCATCATATGATGTCCGTCGTGCCCAAGACTCCGTCCAAGGGATTCATTCTCGCTCCTATCTATCACATTGATGGGTACCATGTACGCTGTGGGCCGACTAGTATCAACGGTGGGAAGGGCCTGGAAATTGGACGCCGTACTTTGTCGAATCATGGCGTGAAGGATTTCGACTACGATGCCTCGTTGAAGAAACCCTATGTCAACGAGGAAAACCCCGCGGCTATGCACTCGGATGACAGCGATGAATTCGGGGAAGAGGAAAACTCCGACGGGACAGAGGCGATGAGTGGCTTGGAAGAGGACGAGTGCGACGATGATCGTGACGATGGCTCGTTTATCCTGGCTTCGGAGGAGAGTGCCGGAGCTGGTGATATCGTCGAGGAGCCTCCGAGGAAGAAGCTCAAGAGGGATGTCGCTACCTCTGGCCCAGCCTCTAGCCAAACTGAGATGCAGCCCCCGGCCAGTGAGCAGAACGGGCACTCCACCACCAACTTCAGTGCCGCCAGAGCCGTGCGGAATCTCAATGCACTCGCAGCTTCCATTGGTGACGAGGAGACATACCCGCGTTCCGAATGTCTTGGTGATTCCCTGGCCGTCGAGTGTTACAGCGAAGCTACAACGATCATCAATGCTCGATCCGCCACCGATACCAACAGCAGCCCTGACAGTGTAATCACTAGCTCGGCCTACAGAGACGCAGCCAGTCAGACCACACCCATCGTACCGGGAAATGTCATCGAGCATATCAGCAGCACTGGCGATATCAAGATCACTCTAGCCCGCGGCGCTGCCCATGACACCGGGGACCTCACCAATTCTATCCAGAACGTAACTCACCACACCGAGCACATTCTCCATCAAATCGATACCTTCGACGAGGACGACGGGAAAGAAAACCAAGATCCATTCCACAGCGCTCGAAACGCCCATGCCGGCGCCGATCCCAACCTCGACCCGTCTCTCAGGGAAGTTCTCCAGCACACTGACTCGGACGTACTGGAAGACTGAACGGTTCACAGGGTACTGGAGCAGGAACGTTATGCCGAGCGCTCGGTGCATCTAGTCCTCCTGGTGTCCTTTTGCGGGTTGCTTTCGATTTTGATTTTTCTCGCTATGTCTGCACATTTTTAGCCTCCTCTGTTATTCTTGGTGCACATGTATCTTTATTTTCTTGCTTGCTTGTAAATGCTTTTGATGGCCCCCTCAACGCGTGTCAATTCCCTATCGTGTCGGGCTGTCATGGGCATTTGCATACCTGGATGCTCCGAACTCTCAACGGCTTTTTTTTAATCTCTATGCTATCTTTAGTGAGATATTCGAAAAAAATTTCCAACAATATGATGTTTGACTTAGTTCGCATTCATTGATTTCTGATTTCGATTCAACCCTAACAGAGAGATAAACCCAGCCTGTGTAGGAAAGTAGGTGACAGGAAACCAGAACAAGTGAAAAGGAAAGCCGAAAAGGCCGTAGCCATAGCGTAGTCAAGATCGGCCATAGCGCCAAAACCAGGCCAGTGCGGAGATAGATAGCCAGTAAAGCAAGAGCAAGGTTGTAAAAGGAAAAAGAGATAGAGAAACCACAAAGAAAAGGACAGATTCAACTCCAAATCACCCGTTCTACATATGCTAAGTAAGGCTGAGGAGCAGGACAAGTTGGCAGATAAGTAGAAAAAAAGCAGAAAGACAAAACTCCAATCGCATCCATTGGAATGCAGCTCGTCTGGTTTTGACTGTCTTGACGCCGGAGATGGGGGTTTAACGAAAACACAAACAAAAAGATTGAAGGAATGCGCTTGCTTGGTTGAAAGGTGGGAAGGAAGGAGAAGGAGAGCGGGAGGGCTCGTGAGTCGTACAGCGAAAATCAGGCTCTTGGCCTGTTCTGAACAGAGTCGAGAGCTCCCTTCATCGTCTCTGAGAATGGTGTCGTGTATATCACGTAGCAAGTTGAACAATTGGTTGGCAAATCGATTGCGTGTCAGCGATCCAGCGCTGAGGGGGGTGTTTCCAGAACACAATAGGGAAAGAAAATAGACGAAGAAAAGGATCAGAAGGCAAAACGAAAACTGGCAAAAGCCCAGCAACTGCAGTTGACACGGTTCTATCAAAGAACCCTTACATCACAGTGCAGCCGCCACTTTGAGCACGACGACGCCGACCACCGAGCGCAGAGACTCCACCCACGCCGTAACTATCATCCTCGTCCTCATCCGCATTGTAGAGTCTCTCCGCCTCGCGAGCGCGGCGACGTCGACGTCGAGCCCCAGCCCCGGCGGCACCGGCTTCTTCAGTAGCCATCATATAGTCCGCCCACTTGCGATCAAGACGACTCGCGGCAGTGAGGTCACCGCGCAGAATGCGCTTCGTGTGCTCATCAACGGTCATCTGCCAGCCGTAGAAACACTTGAGCTGGATAATCTCAGTGGGGAAGGTGGGCGACGGGGATGGGGACGAAGTCGGTGTGACAAACGTGGTAGTCGTCATAGAGTCACTGTCCGAGCTCGTTTGGGCGACCGTCACAATAGCATTGACCGAGGCTCGGGGCTTGCGCGCGCGTGGAATATAAGCATTACTGGATAGGACTTCCTTGATACCGGCCCAGGTGACGTTGGCGCAGTCAAAGACAACCAGGCGCAGACCGATTTTGGGTATTTCCTCGCCATAGCCTCGCTTGCGAACCCGGAAGCTAGCTTCCATCAGGGTCAAGTCGGAGACACGGGTATTGTCCATTTCGACGGAGCGCAGCTTCGGGCAATACTTCATGATTTGCAGCATGCCCGTGTCACCAAGGTTCTCGCAGTAGCTGATGTTCAGGTGCTCCAGGTGCTGAGCACAGGGGGATCGCGCAAGCTCGACGAGAACGTTGTTCGTCATATTCTCCAGGTCCTCCATCTCGAAATGAGAGAGCTTGGGCGTGGTACGGATAATGTCGATAACCGCATCGTCAGTCAATTCCGAGCATTGCGAGATTTGCAGGCCCTCCAGATCGGGCACATTGTGAGCCAGACTCTTCAGGCCAGCGTCGGTAATGTCCGAGCAATGGTGCAAGTCCAAGTGTTTGAAGCGTCGAGGTGGGACAATGGGGCGATCGGTGAGGACGTCAATGGTAGGGTCAATACCGTGCATCAAAACTTTCAGGCTTTGATCGGTCAGGTCAGTGCGACTTATAAGCAGCCGCTCCAGGGTATTGCGTTTAAACAGAGCCTGAGCAAAGTCTTCGTTGTCGAAACCACGAATCTCGCTAGCGCGGAGATCCTTCAGACGCTCACAAGACTGGACGACACGAAGGAGTCCATTCGTATTGACATTGTTGCACCAGGAGACGTTCAGAGTCTCCAGCTGTGGGCAAGACTGAGCTATAGTCTTCATGGCAGAGTTGGTCACGCTCTTGAGACCCGAGACGTTGATATACTCCAGTCGAGGATTGCGCATCAGGAAGTAGTGCATAGAGGACTTGTCGATAATGCATCCTTCGAGCGAAAGATTGACCAAGTTCCGGCACATGTCTGAAATACGCTCTCCATCGGAAGACCATTTGTTCTTTAGCTGAATACAGCCACGCAGGTTCAAATCGCGCACGAACGGTCCACCGGACGTAATGAGTTTGATGAGAACATCGCTCGGGATCTTCGAGTAGTATTCCGCGGCGTCCAGTCTGCACCACAATTGTCCGTCGTAGCACATGTCATGCCACATCTTCGACACGGCCGAGCAGCGCACGATCTCCCGCGGGGTCAAGTATCGGAAGATCTCCACCTGCAATTCCCGTGGCATATCTCCCCAGAAGTCAATTGTGCGGGCCGGTTTTGCATCCGGCAGGATCAATTCTGTGGGTGGGACATCGCCTTCAAAGGGAGTCCCGCTTCGTGGAGAGACCGGCCTCAAGTCGAAGGGCAATGGAACGGTTCGTGATGCATTGGGAGTATCGGTTCCCACAAGGCGGATGCGAGCATTGTTGTCCTCCAACTCGTCCAGCGGTCCAGATTGCCCGGGGGTAGCCGGTCGGGGATTCAGACCTCCATAGAGTTGAGAGGTACTCCCATTACCCAAACAGGGCGAGTATGCGGCGGACGATAACGAGACACACGATAAGGAAGCCTTGTGGTCCCGCCGATAACCAGTCGACGCCGATCGCCCGCGGCGGGTTAGCGTCGGACTAGACGACATCCGCTGGAGGTTCTGTAACAACTTCTGACGACCCTTGAGTTTGGGAGGTTGTTCCAGTGGAATCTGACCCGTCGAGGAGGTCGGACTGGCCGGGGAGGCCTCGGGCGAGGGGAGAATTTCATCGGGGACAGAGGTAGCCATGGTGAAGCGGGGGAGGAGTACGAATGTAGTCGGGCGGCACGGGAAATCGGGATAATCGGGGGGAAAAGTGTATGCAAAGTCGGGATCTCGTCGAACCCGGAGAAGAAAGAAGAGAAGAGAAAACCGAGGGAAAGACGATCCTGCGCACCCTAGAAGAGCATGGAGAGCATGATGATTGCCTGATTCACAAGACGCACGAATTCACCCTCAAGACTTCGACCGGGGGAAGAAAAAGAAGAGGATGAGGTGTAAAGAAGAGGCCCGAGACCGGTGGTGGTGGTGGGGAACTGAGGTCTGGTGAACTTGTTTGTCGTTGGCCGTTGGATTCGTTTATTTTTCGGGGGCCCACGGCGAGCGAACCGTGGCACTCGCCGAGTTGGACCGGACTAAAGTTGAGTGACGTGCAAAGTACCGAGAAAGCCGTTGCGGTGGAGTAGGTGAAGGAAGTATATGAGGAAGACGGAGAGGAGGAGGAGAGTAGAGTCAGGAGATGAGGATGAGTATGAGGATGAGGGGAAGGAGAAGGAGATAGTCCAAGATCCCAAAGATCAGCGATCAGTAGAGGGGAACCGTCCGATAAGAGCGGAATGCGTTGGATGGACAAAATGGAATGCGTGATCGAGATACTCCGGAGGGACTTGCCCGTCAGTATCTTGAATCGTTGCACGTCAAGTACCTGCCAAGTCTCCCACCCATTTCTGGATCTGGAGAATTGCATCCGTGCTCTTTGGCCTGACCACGCCATTTTGGACTAGTCATTCGTTCTTACTTACCTAGTGCCCACTCCACACCTTCTTCACTTCTTCTTCTCTCGTTCTCAGCTTATCAGCCCGGGGCACAGACCTGTACCCACGCGACTCATCGGCTGACGACGCCCGCTCGACGACCACCGGGTAGAACAGGACAGTCACGGCACGAGTCGAGTCTATCATCCAGACCCTCGAACGGAGCGGTTTTGTTTTGTTTTGTTTTTTTTTTTTGATTCTGCGTGGATCCCTATGGGTATCCAGGAACCCGTGCCTGACAACTGCTGCGACGATACCAATGATAATACCCTAGACTCCGTTAGCGTGGGTCTTCGCCTCTTGTCTCTCCGAGCGGGGCTCAAAGCGCGGTGGATCCATGGGATCAACCCCGCGGTCTCGTTGAAATGGACTCCATCGGATCCATTGGTAATAATAATCACAGGAGGGAATCTGGACGCTCATAGTATTGCTCGAGTACGAAAGAATGATAGGATCATTGTATATACTCACTAATGATGCTCGACAAAAAGGAGGGTATTGATAATTACCTAAAATAATAAGACACTGGTCCGTTTCAACAAAAAAGAAAAAGAGCGGTCTCTGTTCCACGCCACCACAAGAAACCCACCACGAACAACTCTCTCTTGCCCTCTAACCATACAGTTAATATGGTTCATACGGCGTACTGATGCCCGGGTTTCCATCCTCTCTCTTCTCCATTGCCCCACCAGTAACCCCCAAGTATGTAACCCTCTCCACGTGCACTCTAAGGTACATACTGTGCAAACAAGACTAAAACCCCAGAACCCGCCAACTCATACGGCACGTAACCCCAGTATTATGATTCATCCGCAGTTTCTCATTCGCCCTCCCCCCTCGGTACGGGAGGACTACTATAGGATCTAAAATCCAACCCCGTTGAGGCTAGACCGGTTTCGCCAAGGGACGGAGCCGCTAGTTAGTCTAGTGTCTAGTGTTCCGCCCACTTTATTCGGTTAATAAGAACGAGAAATGCGGAGAAGGAGAGTACGGGTCTAGATTGAACATGGTCTCGGGGTGCTGATAAGTGGAATTGGGAACTAACAATTACGGATCGTGATGGACAAGTCTAGTTCACCAAGCCAATTATAGTTTTCCATCTGTGATACGCATCTTGGTCTCCAAGTACACCATCGTCATCCACCACCCAGGGGCAGCAAGGTCAGAAGGGATTCACACCTAGAAAGGGCAGGAAAAGCGAAATATACCATGTTCGATGCAGAGAGGGATCCCCGAACGCATCGAGAATGACAATCATCAAGACACGGCTGATTGAGAGCCATAGTAGATGAATGAGTCCATATGAGTATGACATCTAGAATATGAATGATGATTGTTGTACCAAGAAGGGAAAGATAGCAATAACAGCCCCCATCCTCATTTCTTAGCCCTCTCCGATGGGGCTGAACAATACTAAATTAATAACAAAATAGAAAAGAAATGAGAGAACGTCCAAGATCCCCGGAAGAAACCTTTTCCAAATCTGCAGCACATCACCGTCATCAAGCAAAGGCAATCAAAACGTCGTGGGGTATCGTGTTTTTCTTTTTTCGGTCATCAAGAATGGTGGGGGTGGTGGAGGGGGAAGCATGTATGAAAAATGTATGGTGCGAGATGTCACGAGTATGCATGAAGAGGAATTCATTTCGCGGAGATGGCCATTGTACTTTCTATGTGACTCATTCGCTCTCGGTCATCCAGGGGTGTTCGAGCACTTCGGTGATGGATAACCGGTTGTCAACGTCACGATCCAGCATTTTGCGGATAAGATCGATGCAGGCTTCTGAGAAGGGAAGGAAGGGGATGCGGAGGGGGTGGTCGAGGATCTCGTCGACATTGTAGAATGGGTTCTCCTTGTAGACGATCGTGTACAGCAGGATGCCGAGGGCCCAGATATCCTGTTCCTTGCCGCGATAGGACTTGCCTTGGAGGACTTCGGGGGCAGCGTAATCTAGACGAAACGAACACGATTCATGGTGAGCCTCCAAACCAACACCGATATCTGAAGAAAAGTCTTACCGATTGTTCCCACAAAGACGTCAAACGGCCCATTCTTGATGTAGGCTGCACTTCCAAAGTCGATCAGCTTGATCCGGCCTTCCCCATCCAGCACCACATTCTCGTCCTTGATATCACGATGCACGACCAGCGCCTTGGTGTGCAAATGATGGATAGCGCTGACAACCTGCTTGAAGATATTCCGACACTCCGACTCATCCATGTTGGCCTTGAGTTCAATGTAGTCGAACAGGTCCATGCCAGGAAGCCCGTGCGGAATCATCTCGATGTAGTAATTGATGTCGTCTTCGAAGAAACCTTCCATCTCGACGATGTTGGGGTGCTTGTACCCATCGCGGCGAAGGAAGTCTAGAACGTGAATCTCCAGGGGTACAGTGCCAAGTCGTCGGTCGCGAGTCCACGTATCCACCAAGATCCGCTTCTTGGTGACGTACTTCAGCACCATCTTCTTGGTCGGCTGCTTCTTCAGCCGTGCCAGCTTAACCTGTCCGTAAGCACCCTGTCCCATTTCCTCCAGGATCACATAGTCGTTGATCGTCCGTTTCTGTGGCGTCTCCTTAGCACCAGCTGCCTTAACTTCGGCAACCGGCTGCACAGGTCGATCGGTCAAGGGCTCTGAGGCGGCCTCACTAAGCTGTTGGCTCAGGATGGAGCTCGGCTTTTGAATCTCCACGGAACTCTTGCTGACATCGGGAGTTTCCCTGCTAGTGGCCGCGGTAGAGGGATTTTCGGAGCTGGGAGTTGCGCCCGAGGAAGGGGGGGAGGTAGGGTTCGAGGTTGGTAACATGGAAGGTGAGAGATGGGCTGCCGGTCCGGCGGCGTGAATTTGTCGTGAGTACGTGATCCACAACGCGTAAACAAGTTCGGTCACGGCGATGGTATCGTCGCTATCCTCCGAGTCACTTGAGCGCTCCTCGAGCCTCTCCACTTGTTCTTTGGAGAAAAATGTGCCACTCTTCACCACGCGCAACTGTACATCAACAACAATAGTAGAGCCGTCCCGATGTTTGGCGAGTAATCCACTGGGCTCGGTGAAAACAGATGCTGCGTTTGCTTTGCCGTCACGGAGAATGGACAGTGTTCGCGCGCGGCGGAAACTGTGTTCAGGAATCACAATACCATCAACCAAGGGTACATTATCCTCCTCCGTTAACACATCCAAGATCTCGTCAAACCCGGGTACCAACTCGGTAATGTGGCGGCCTTCGGGGCGGTCTTGGCCGAACAGGGCTGAAGAGAACACAGAGTTTGAGCTGATCACGTTCAAAGTGGAAGATGACAGGACCATCATGCCTGCAACGTGGGGGAAACTCGACACCTGCAAGGTTCGACCTTCGTCCACCCTTCCAACCGTCACCGGAATGCACACCCCAGCAGCAGTGCGGGCCGCGAAGTGTTTCAACGCGACAATCCTGTCTAGTCCCTTCTCGGGGGAAGTCTCGAGGGACTCGGACGGCAAACAAGGTAAAAGGTCGGTTATCGGCTGACCGGTGTGAACTACATGTGAACCCCAGATCTTGTCGATATCACCCTTGGCCTCAACCACATTCCAAGCATCGTCACAGCGAACAGAGGCAATGTTCTCCGTAATCTCTTCCAGCACCCATATCAGACCACCGCGCTTCTCCATCACCCAGATACTAGCAGAACCTTTGGCGCCATTCCGCTTCTGGATTGGCACAACATCGCCACACAGGAGAACTCCCCGAGATTTGTTTGCTGGATGGTTGGCATTGCGGTTGTTTCTTGTGCTGGAGCCATACCCATCATCGGTCTGTGCTCTCCGAGACTTTTCGCGTGAGGAAGGTTTGCTGAGCAGTTTGGCCGTCACCCCATTACCCAGTCCTCGAAACTTGGGATTCACTGCACGGATATTGGGTCTCTCCGGCTGAAGTGGCGTGCGGGCGGCGGCATCGGTGCTAGGGTCTTGAAGTTTAGCTTCGAGCCACTGCCTGTGCTCTGTTTGTACGACCTCTAGAATGCTGAGCCGCCGGACCTCGGATTGGGTGACTCCAAAAATAAGACATGAGAGATCGTTCGCCGCGAGAATTGTCCATGGTGCTTTGGCTTCAGTCCGGAAAACGGCCTGCGAGACGGGGGTCCATTTGCTGCTATGGGTGTGCAAGGCCGAAGGCATGGGGAAGCCCAGTCCAACGGTAGAGGATGCCATGGAGGCGAAGGGGTCCGTAGAGGCGTATGGTTGCGCTAGAGTGTCCATCAGCTTGCTTTTGAGTGATGCGTAAGTGAGGTCCGTGTATGTACGTTTTAAGCTTACGCGCCGGGATGTCGGTGCCGAATAGAGATCCTTGCGGGATTGCGGAATACGTTCACTAGGCACCGGGCTCAAGAGCTGGACGCTGTCGGAGGTTGCCTGAGGTCCTGGAACCTGGGATCCTGGAGGGACGGCGAGTTCCTGGGATGTATCTCGGGTACTAGTGGGGGACGAACCACGATCTGAAAAGGCCTTCTCGAAGATGTTGTCCCCATTGACATCTGCAGGTCCCGTCGTGGGTCCCCGCGGATGAGCACCGTTATCCTCATCCAGGACACGGGCCCGAGTCAAAAGATCCATCATACCCTGGATATCCGCATCCCCACTCACGTTGGCCTGTGCGCTCACGATAGCGTTGTTGCTGGCCGCCCATCCCATGCGGTCACGCATGAAGTCGATCGATCTTTTCAGAATATTTTGTCGACTGTGCAGTAGCTCCTCTGATTGTTGGGCGAAAGAAAAGGAGTGCAGGGATTCCAATGGGAATCGGTGCAAGTCCTCCAGCTCACCGAAGTTTTGGCTCATCGACATGTGACCGGTATGCGCTCGAGACGAAGAGCTCGAGCGAGTCGAGGGAGTCGGGCGGGTAGATGTGGTGGCCAGGGGAGCAAGAGACGAGGTCGACAGGTTTGGAAGGGTCAGGACGCGTGATGGTTGCTGGCGTATGCGATCCAGCCCGGACGGACCGAGTCCATGATCATTCTCGAAAAGCGGAGATCTGCTGGGATGTGATGAATCTGTCAGCCTCTTGACCAAAGCGAGACCATGTGGTGAATGAAAGAAAAGACAAGTGATTCCAGACCTTGGAAGAGGGTCATATCCCGAGGAGAGACTGTCTACCGAGCCTCGCAAGGGTCGATCGGTCTGCAAGGAAAGCTTTTGAAAGCCGGACTCGGACTCGGGTGATTCGGAGAGGAGCCCCAAGGGAGACGACAGAGGACTCGGTTCGCCTAAAGGTGGGTTGAGATCAGCGTTCTGCACCGATTGTTCATTGCTTTTCAACTCAATCGGCGCGTGTCTAGATTTCCATTCCACGGGCCCTTTGGAAAATGTGATCGCCTCAAGTGATGGCGGGAAGGGAGAGGAGGGGCCGTTGAGGTTGGTCAGATGCATCTTGTAAAAAAGACGTGCGAAAAAGGCTCGTTGCGCTGCTGAGGTACTTTGATAGACTCATGAAGCTATCATGCAAGTGCAGCCTTTGGATACCCAAAGATGTTTGCTCTGCCGTCATGACCCCGATTGTCGACTCTGATTTGGGACTGGCCGACGCCGGGAAGAGCCAGGCGCATCTGTATTTTCCCTTTTCTAGCACTCCTCTACCTCATCCTACCATCACTTTGTGGACGGTTGTGGCCCGTGGCATGTGAAACTAGAAACACGGACGGGTGGGAAAAAGCATGTGCGTACGACTTACCATCCGGGTGGTATGCTGACCCCATTCTTCCGTGCGTGGGGGAGAGAGAGGCGTAATTCACTCACTTCCTCTGTCCTCTCTCTAGTCCTCACGACCAGTGACTGTGGGGGAGCAGGGATTTAGGAAGTAAAAGCAAAAAGGAATGAGGCTTAAAGGGAGTGTCGAGTCGAATGCGACATGGAATGAATGAAAGGCGGAACGGTCATTCGCTCGAGTCAGCGGGCAACGACCGGGAGGAGGAGAGGGCAGCTGCCTCGTAGCGCGCCCGGCATATGTGGCGTCGCGGGCAGAGCACGCGGATGTTGAATGTCGCTTCGGAGGGAGGTCGAGGAAGATGAGAAAAGAAGAGGAAAAAGAGAACGCTCGGCGGGGGGTTTGGTGGGGAGAAAGAGGGTGTAGTCTCTTAGTTCTGAAAGGGGGGCGCGCGGGTGATGTAATGGGCGTGGTCGATTGGTATGGTTGGCCGGTGGTTGGAGGATGGTTGGAGGGTGAGAAGTTAGTTTTCTTTACATGGGGTGATACTCCTTTTTTTTTTCCCTCCGTTTCTTCCGTACGCCGTTCTAGGACACTACTCTGGACTTGTGTGGAAGGAAGTAGGAATAAGAAGAATGACGGGAATTCAGATCGACCGATCGGCACGGTAGTTGGGCCACCATGTGGAATATGCTTTGTGGTTTTTGATTCCTCTTCGCGCCTGATAGAATACTCCGTACATATCAAGGGAGTATAGGGCAGGACAAGTATCCTCAACTACGACCAGTACTCTGTACTGCTCGCCCTGCTCATATCGACATCTGGTTTCAAGGTTTTCCAAGAGGGGGGGCAACTATGGAGTATTCCGACTAATTAGATGCGAGAGAACCACTCAGGGCCCAATGTGGGAGGTGCAGCTCATTAATTCTTCGGGCTAAAGCAACCATACAGCGCACTCGTGCAGTGCACATTCCTCGTCCCCACCCCCGTGCACTTTGCTGGCACTGCTCGGCGAACAATGCTCCATCTATAAGGCTTTCAACCATTTCTTTCTTTCAACAAAGGCAATTCTGTCCCCTAGTTCAGCCAGCTACAAAGCGGCTAGAGTGGCTCGCTGCTCTGCGCCGATAGATCCGAAGCGGCTCTCTCCGGTGGACCTCGCTTTCTGCATCCCCCACCGCTATCACACTGACCATCGCCAGCATGAATGGCGGTTCCAAGAAGGGCAAATGGGAATCAACTAAAAACCTGCATCTTACAGTGTGCCTATCTCCGCCCGCATAATGCGATCTAGACCGAGATTGATATTTCCCCCCCTCCACCCCCTTACAGCGGGCCTCGAGCACCGGACAGACTGTGTAGCGCCAGTTCATCGTGTTCGGCTTGATCTGTCCTAGGGTGTTCATCTCCATGACCACTGAAAAGAGGACTGCTGCCTTTGCTGCGAGGTTGATCCTGATGTCGAGTCTGCTCCGGAGGCACCGAGGCCGGACTGACAAAAGTTGAAAGATTCCGGCTGCCTCCCAACATCCATGAGAACCCGGCATCAGATAGAGATGGTCGCACTGCCGCCCGCAGACCAGCATCGGTATGTCCGGCGGTGGTCATCGCACTAGTTGTGGCGATGCTGGCTGCCTTTGGAGTCCCACTATGTAGGCTTGGGCCGGAGGTATCCGCGCGAGAGGACCGTTGTGCGCCTTGCTGGTCCGGCTTCTCAGCCACTTCTGTGGTCTCGGGATCGTTGACTCGTTTAGAGACCAAAGATTCCGATTGAGGTGTTGCCTCATCTACAGTAGCGGAATGCGAGGCACTCCCTACCGGGGGAGGTAGCATTGAGTCCTCGAGGCAGTCTTGCACGGACTGCGCTCGATCGAGAGCGTGTTTCACCGTATCTGTGGTATCTGCGTCCATGTCCTTCATCATGCTTAGTTGCATACGGAGATCCTTCAATGCTTCGCTCAAGGTAGTCGCTAGTTGTTGGTTCCGTTCTTCCAGCCGATCGATCTTGGTTTGTAACCCTAGCTCGGTGGGCGTTGGGCTGTGCGGCGCACCTTTGACGGCCATGGTAGAGACGGGCTTTGGACGCGTGGCAGCAGATCGAAGAGCTGGCTCATAATGCATGCTCTGCATGTTCTTTCGAGCTTCGGTCACCGCCCCTCGGACTGCCTTCGCCACTCCCCAAGATTCGGTGCGGCGTTGAATGCCTTGAGAAACGTCTTGAAAAAGCGCCTCCAAACTCTTGGGACTATTTCTTGCAGGGGAGGAACCTGGGGAGCTGCTTTCGCTGCGACCCTTGAAGTCCTCCCACAATTGGGCCTTCATAGCGGGCCGAATTCCGGAACGGCTTCGAGGCTTGGATGGCTCAGGAGGTCTGCCCGAGTACTTTGAAATGAGGAAACTACCCCGCTCCGCTGTCGGGTTCTGTTCGAGATAAAGGGCATCATGCACGAAAGCTTGAGGTGAGTGCGGTTCGGGAGGCGGATAGCGTAGTAACATTGACAGTGCACCAGAGTAATCTGCCTTGAGTACTATATGACGCTGATTAGCCGAGCTTGTTCGACACAAACTGTTTTCTTCATCTCCGTGTAGATACTTACATTGCCAGCGAATACGTAGCAGCATTGCAATGCATGTGAAATCAACAAGATCAGATCGCAGCCCATGTGCAAATAGTAAGTCCCACATTTCAAGGACGTCGTCAAAAGGAAACTCTCGTCCGAACAGCAGACGCATCCAACGACTGTGGAGCAATCAGTAAAGCTGATCCGACGAGCCAGGCTCTTTGAAAAACTCACGTCAAGAAAATCTGGGGGAGCACCTCCACCGCATGAAGGTGGTCAGCCAATTCGTGATCGATGATTGTCAGAGCCTCTTGGTGAAGATATTGGCACCTGTTGACAATTGGAATGACATCCCCCTGTCCATTGGCTGATTTGGTCTCGCCATGTTCGTAATATATGCGAGCTGTCTGCATGACAGATAAAAATAGCGTGAAGGAGTCATGCTCCACAAATCTAGTATCAAGAAGATCCAGCATAATGATGTCCTCTTTCTCAGTGGCACCCTGGGTTGGACGCTCGACCGAGTCCCGATCAATGACCCATAGAATGGGCGCTAGTAGCTCGTGCATGCCCTGTCTATACCCGACATCCGGATTGAGTTTCGAGTAAACAAACAGGACATCGGTCAACTTTCGTTTCGTGGAGGGCTCTTGAAAGAAGAAATTTTCTTGCAGGCAACGGTCGACATCTTGTACAATCTCGGCCCGTAGCTTTTCGTCGTTACGGAGCGTTTGCCAGGGAGACTAGTGATCGGGCAGAGAGGTTGGTCAGACTGATCATCACTTGGGCCTCTCTCGCCCGGTATCAACGTCAAGAGATATCATGGGCATACCTCTTCATCGTCCGCCAGCGGATCGACTGTCGACTCCAGGTCATCGGGGTGCTCGATGTATTTCAGGAAATGGGCACGCAAGGCGCTGTACGCATCTCGCGACTCGGCTAGTTTCTGGGACCATTGTTCGCGCTCGACACTGTCGAATAGCAGGAAGACCTGCAGGTGGGATGAGTGTTGGACTTTTTATTCAAGCGGGTTTCTTCGCGTCCACAGACCTTCCAGCAGATCGATCTCAGTCCGTCGGTGCACAGCTGTGCTCCCTGCTCCGCACGCAATGCCGCCCGCAGGTCGGACGGGGTGTCATGGCCAAGGAAGAGTGTCTCCCATCTCTTTCTGTAGCGGAAAGACCAGACGTGTCAGCTTCTGTGAAACCTTTACACCACATTTTCGCTCATCCTGTATGGAAAAATACCTTGTCTCCTCAATGTCTCTCATTTCACCTGTTGGTAGCTTGGAGGAGAAGGTGGAGGGGGAGGTAAGGTGAGGGCCGGCGATAATGTAATCCCGCGGCCACGAGCTCTTATCGCCCTGTTGTCACTCGCTCGGAGCATTGCAACATCCCCCAACCCCAGAATTCCAGTGATACACGAAGAACGGGGTACATAATTTGGTGCAACGATAAGCGCCCTTCTCGCGACCTCATGTCCTTGTACACCGGTTCATGACCTTGAATTACCAATGTCCGCAGATTTATTAGCAGAGTTCGGCCAGGGTTCTGGTTCTGCTCGAAGCTCCGAATACCCAACTCAGCCAGCACGACCGCCTACAAATGCTCTGATCGACGGATTCGACCAATCAGATGATATATTCTTTAGAGATGCCTCCAAGGCCTCGCAAACGCATCAGCAAGGTCCCCAGATAAATTCACAACAAAGGCAATACGCGCCCACGGCTGCGGCTCCCCGCCAGGTTGCTGCCTATCAAACATTTGATCTCCCCCGGCCGCATGACAGTGACGTGCTATTCGATGCCACGGTGGACACGCCAGCCAGCGAGGGCGAGGATGATGACTGGGGTGAATTCGAAGGGCCAGAGGCCTCTCAGCAGAGCCAGGCCCAGCAATCAACGGCTCTAGGATTAAATACGCATACGGCTGTGCCAGCGCCAGCGGCCCAAGCTTCCCGAAATATCGGACTCGGCGGAACTGTCGACTTGCTCGGGGAGCTTTCAATGGATGAAAACACCTCAGTTCCCTGCCAAAAATCTCAACAATCGGCTGGTAACCCTCCATCCCAGCCAGGATGGGATGACGACTCGTTCGGGGACTGGGGTGAGTTCACTGAGGCCCAGTCCGCAAACCCATTTCCACCAAAGTCCCCCCAGCAGTCAATTCAAAGGACGACGCCGGGAAACTCATTACTCGAGGATGATACCTTCAGAGATTGGGGTGACTTCACAGATGGGCCATCCACGAACCCACCCCCAAAGGCCTCGCCCAAGAAGCAGGCCTCTATCAAGGCCACCGTCCCCATAAAGGCCAGTACATCAACCAAGATTACGTCCTCTAAAAAGCCGAAAGCCCCTATTCAAACCAAACCGCAAGTCAAATCCAAAAATCTACCACCAGCCTGGGAAGACGACACCTTTGAAGACTGGGGCGACTTCGACGATGGCCCAGCACCATCAACCTTATCATCACGACCATCACCATCACCATCCACAGCAACAATATCAACACCCTCCCCACAAAGCTTCACCACGAACACACCAACCTCACCCCCTACAGTCCGACCAACCAACATCCCACCCCCCTCCATCCTCCTCGAACACCTCTTAACCCAACTCACTACCCTCCAAAAGACCGCCCAAGCAGCCCAAACCCTCCCCACCCCGCAAAAGACCCAAACGGCCACAAGAATCCAAAATACCCTCCACACAACAGCCCGCATAATCGCCGGCCGCACCCACCGCTGGAAACGCGACACCCTCCTCGCCCAAAGCATGCGCATAGGACCCGCCCGCGCGGGGAAACCGGGTGGCATGAAACTCAGCGCGGTCAATAAACACGAAGACGTGAAAGAAGAGCAAGATGCTGTCGACGTGTTGGCGCTGTGGCGTGAGCGCGCGTCGCTGTTCAATTCCGTCGTGCAGGCTGCGGGGCAGAAACCTATTCCCGTGGTGCCGGACCCGGCGGCGTTGAGGGTGGTTACGGTTAAAGCGGAGCAGGGGGGTATTAAGGCTAGTCATGCTTGTGCGCTTTGTGCGTTGAGGAGGGATGAGAGGGTTGTAAGGGTTGATGAGGAGGATGTGCAGGATAGTTTTGGGGAGTGGTGGACGGAGCATTGGGGACATACTGGGTGTAAGGTGTTTTGGGAAGAGAATCGGAGTTTACTGATGCAACGATGATGGAGAGTGAATATGTTGATTGGGGTTAAGAGCGGTATGTGCTCTGCAAACGTGTATAGATGGCCATTAGATGGTTGATTGATTAGATTAGGTAGTCTATCTACCCCAGTCCGGCAAGGTTGCGGTACTTTGCACCATGCCACGTGAAGGATGCGATTCAGTCAACAGGTTCAGCCTATCAACTTAGTCTAATCGCCTACTGTCTACATGGACAATGGAAAAGGTGCCGTAAGACACTCTGAGCGTAAAAGGGAAAAAGATAAATGATCAATGTGAAACTACCATCCATCTCCTGGTAGCACCCTGAATTGGATAAGAATGAACGACCCCTCCAAACGCCAATTTCTAGAAGATAAAAGACAAGAGAGTAGATGCACAGAGGAAAGAGAAAATGAGCCAGAAGCGGCAGAGGAGAGCTGCCCGGCCGGCATCGGGGCCACGGGCCTGTCTGGATCTGATCGGCATGCATGCCCAAAGGCACGAGCCTAAAGGCTGGGCGCAGGCTGGGAATTGTCCACGAATAGCGATCCCAAGCCTACCTTCCTCTGCATTTCTGGTCGCAAGTGGGATCCGCCCGCGCGTGGAATAGAGTCTGGAGCGTTTCGATGTGAATCGAACCAGATTGAAGGGTTTGGTTTGGCACCACGGGCACTGACACGACTAATCTGGTCGGTCAGAAAGACATCAGAGTCTGAAAAGACCCTCGATGGACTGAATTATGGCAGATCCCAGAGGATTTAGTTTCATTCTTCGACCACACTGCAGCAATGAAGCTGCAACCATACGGCTGGTGAAGGGGAAGTGAAGATCGGGTTTCAATTTCTGTCGGGTTCTGCAGATGGATCTGCGCCAAGGGCGAGGGGGAGGACGTATACCGAATCCCAAAATCGGGACTCGTAGATTGGCGATAATGCAAACTAGAAACTCTGAGCGGAGGGCAGTGCCGGCTAAAATAGGGAGCGTATTGCGTCAGTTAATGAACGTAGCACCATCGTAAACGAAAATAGGATCCTCGGCATCCTTCTTCCACTCCATGGGGCTCGCTTGGCACGGAAAAGCGAGAAAAAGCAAGGGGGCTTTAGATTTGGGCGTCTTACAGGACTGCTTAGCATGCTGTTCCGCTTGTTGCGGCCCTTTTTAATGTGATTCTTCAGGGCGGTCGAGTCCAGAGGCTTCAAGAGCTCGAAGCTACAGAGAAGCTCTCCAGAGACTGACATGATAGCACCCCAGTTGTCGAACTCGCCACAGTACTGCAAGAGATCCAATATCAGTAATCGCTCCAGAGATGCACTTTACAAAGTCCCAAAAACGAGGTTGACAAAACTTACATTAGGTGCTGAGAAGACGGTCACCAAAATCCGGTCCTGGTAGAACTCATACCCATCCTCGACTACCATGTGCGCACGACACACCAAATCAAAGTCATGGCGTTGCAAAAAGTTCATGATCACCTTCTTTCCGAAGCAATAACTAACACCACGTTCATTCGGCTCCCAATCCTCCTCCATGTCCGCCGGATCACTCCAGAGGAGATCGTTCAGGAGACCATAATCAGGGACGTCGGTTGGCCGGGCGATACCCCTAATATCGTCCATATGCGACAAACTGGGGGACAATCCACCGTGCACGCAGAAGATCTTACCGGCCACGATGGCGGCAATAGGAAGGCAGTTGAAGGTGTCGATGAAGCCCTTCCAGATCTTGATGTTGCAGCGTCGCTTACACTCGTCATAGAAGCCGTATACCCGCGTGACGTTCGCACACTCATGATTACCACGAAGCAGGAAGAAGTTCTCCGGATATTTGAGCTTATAGCACATCAGCAGGAGGATGGTCTCCAGACTCTGCTTGCCTCGGTCGACGTAATCACCCAGGAAGAGGTAGTTCGACGCGGGTGGGAAACCGCACATCTCGAAGAGGCGAATCAGATCGGTATACTGACCGTGGACATCACCAACGATCTTGACCGGTGCAGACAGCTCCAAGAGGGCCGGCTGAGAAAGGAAGAGCTCCCGAGCCGCTGAGCAGATGGCGGTAATCTCTGCATTCTTGAGACAAACGGTCTTGGTGACCTTGGTGGAATAACCAGCATCCAGCAGTCTCGAAATCATGTCATCCAAGTCGATCGATTTGAGAGCACCCATGCCCATTCCAGGAGACCCGGAGGTTTCGAGCGGGGCGTTGAGAATGAAATCCAAGATAGGGTTAAGCTGGTTTTCACGCTTGATCAAAATCGATTCACCGGCTTTCAATGCAGTTCCAGAGGGTGGACCGCCGGACGGAGGGCCTTCGGAGACATGATCCACCTCGCCACTCTGCTGCATCGCATTCACATCCTTATGGCCGCGCTTGAGACTGGAGGACAGCGACGGCGATGGTGGGGGCTCCGGTGTGCCTGTGCGTGAGACATTCTCAGATCCTGGGGATGAGAGGCCGGCGACGGAGCCGGGGCGACTGTTGGCGGATTTGACCGAGCCTGCATCAGACTTGTCACCCTGGCTTTCGGTCTGAGAGAGGGCGGTTGTCGAGCCACGAGGGCTGTCGGTGCTGCGGATTTTCGAGCGAATAGAGCCGCGGAACGAGCGGAGGGATTCTTTGGTGTCGGATTTCGAAAAGGACGGGTACGACTGCAACGGGTCGCCCGAGCTGGCGTTGCCCTTGGAATGCGATTGACCCATCACTACAAGACTAGGATAGCTGCCAAGCTAGGAACGAGGGGCGCGCAGAGAGATCGCACGAACAACGAAGGTTCCAAGCGCGACGCCGAGAAAGGTCCCCCTGGGCGTTGGAATGTCTTGGCTTCCTTGCGCCGGGGAGGGTGCAATGTCTCCAAGCACCAGTATATTAACCTTGCAGATACCCGACACGGCGTGGGCAATGCGAATGAGAGGGTTTTCTGCAGCTTTTTCACCACAGGATGCGGTGTTTTGAGATGTGAGATCTAGCCAAGAACGGCCACGCACGCGAGGAAAAAGTTAGAAGGGTAAAGGCGGGCGGTAGGCAGGGCGATGAAGCGACCCGGGAGAGATGGGCAGGGCGGGTTTCGGCCAAGGCGAAAGACTACGATGGTCCCTAGGGGGAGGTTCGGAGAAAGCTGGACAAAAAGCTGACCGTGGCTCGGTCCGAGAGGAAGGAAGAGATGAGAGGCGTAGCTCCGAGGCTGCACGGACAGGAAGCTCCTGCACGCGAGATTAGTCTCTGCCTAACGGGGGTGATCCAGTCAGGCGCCGAAGGGAGTTGAATCGACGGGGCTAAATTCCACTAGAGCTGGAGCTTCAACGGGGTATGTGGAGGTTGAAGAGAAAAAGCAAGGGAGGGTTGGAGGAAGTTCAAAGTGATGTGGGTTGTGGAGGATGAGCGGGTAGAGAGGAATGCGTCATTATGTATGGGGATCGTGGACCAGGGTAATGTATCCCACCTGAAGTGGAGAGTCGGAGGAGGGGAACAGGAAAGAGACCAGAGAAACTCACGATACTGGGAGAGGGGGTGTATTGAAGATTTGGAGGTTTGAATATTTGGATTGACTATCGTGTAAGGGAATTGGAAAGGAAGGAGGGGAAGGGAAGTAGTGGCTAGATGTAGGGAGGAGGTACTCCGCCACCGCTATGCTATGGGAAGGTACCTCGCAGTGACCAGAGAAGGCGGACTTGGGGCCAGTACTACTTTGTATTTTCGGCGTTGCGAGACTCGTTTGACTGGGGCACAGCTGAAGACGCTCCCGGTTCTGGCCACTCACCTTACATCAGCGTTTGCCGCCGGATCATCCCCCGGCCCGTGGAGAGGAGAGTCTGGGCCCGCAGTCGTATTTCTTAGTCCTTGGGTCTTTGATGCGTTCATGACTTCGATGACTACTTTCCACAAACAAAGTCTACTGGTGTATTTGATGCAAAAATAGAGCCTACGGGCTCTAACCCCGAAAATGATAAGAACAATCCTCAGCTTCATTGTGGCATCGCCATCATGATGGCAACAAACTGCGGGTCTGTCCGCTACTGCATCCTTCTAGGCCCTGGCTATTTCTCGTTGATAAGCGAAATCTATCTGATCTCGAGGGGGTGCTCCCCTCGATTTGAATTCGGTCTGATAGAAAAGGGAAATGCGAACAATATTGCAGATATAGTCCGTTCCGACCGACCTTTTCCGAGTCTCTGAGCCAGTAGCTGGTAAGCGATTATGGAGCTTAGACCTCCGCCCAGCTCTCCTATCACGAACAGCGGGGGAGACGGGCTAATGTACCCCTCTATCCCGGACCATAACCGATCCTCCAACAAATCACATCGAAAGGATCATCGCTGAAGGGGCTTTAGGGTCCTCACGTGGTGTCTACAGCGGCAAGAAGCTTTGTGAGTTCGGTGCCATGAACCACTAGCCAGCATCGCGGTTTCCGAGAGACAAAGGGTAAATTTCAGCTCCGTTGGAGGGGTGGCTTGACCTGGCAAAAGATTCAAACTTGAGTGGATCGAGAGCCGCAGGGCGTCCTGGTCCTGCACAACAGCCACTGCATGAGTGCCAAGGTATCGCCATGGCGGAGACACCGCCATTTCTCCCCGTCCACCCAATGTCCGACTTCCCAGCCAGAGCAGCAAAAGGAATATCCCCGAACGAAGACCTCGTGGCAGCGGACCTGCTGGCCAAGCCTCCATAATACTGCGAGAAGGCTGCTGTGATCCCCGAGCCACGTTGATTCGAGCAGCAGCAAGCATCACATCTGCCAGGACAACGGGTTCTTGGCAGCCCCACCTTCAGCCCTCGTGCCCGCGGAGACGCAAACCAGGCGGTATGCTGAGATTGTAGTTGTAGTGAGTTGGGCAGATACCGGGTGAACATGTCCGATTCGGGATTTGGATTTGCTTTTATCCCACAGGCTTGGCTCCGCCGAAGCGCTCATCATCCTGGGCTCCCCGGTTCCTAGCCTGCGTTCATTGGAAAAGCAACAATCTGAACGTCTCGTGATCATAGGCGCTGACCGAGTTCAACCGATTACTCCAGCTCAATCTTCGTGATATGCCGGCCGGGGATCACGATGAGTCCAATGAGTCGACTGCTCATATTGACTTTGACGGTGGCGGCTTTGGGTTCGGTCTTGTCCCACGACTCGGACTCCTTTGCAGCGGCTTCTTGGATAGCGGAGGCAGTAGGGAGGCGGTACTCGAACGAATTGGCAAGAATGATGTTGCGCTCCTATAATACGAGAATAATCAGCATCAGTACTTCCCGAGGGAGATAGGTTTCACAGGGCGTAGTCTTCCAACTGTATCCTCGCTCTTTGATCACGATCAATGATCACACGGATGTTGCTTACCGCATCGGTGCACTTGAAGAGGCCAACAAACATGCGGCCATCGGTGGCATGAATACGCAGGGTCCGACCGAGCAGGCTATTCAGGTACTCGACTGCCTTTTCACTGTCCATTGTCGCCGTAGAGAATGACGTCTCGATTGCTGTGAGGGAGGGTCTGAAGGGTTGTCGCAAGCAAGATCGAGAGCGGGGAGGTAAAAGATTTGCGAGTCTCACCAGTGGCTCAAGTGGCGGGTTTCGGGACAGAGAGGAATCAGATGTAGGTGTCAAGGTTCGTGATTATCAAAAGTTGAGCAGCTGCAGTCTCGTCACCAATCGCTCGCGGGTGCTTTGGCGGGGACGGCTGTCGTTGTCTGACAGCAACCACCTCTGGAACCAGCTTCTGCGTGCCTGAGGCCACCACGCTGTGGGCCCACATCAGCTTCACCTGAACTGATCTATAGCGATATTTATTCGAAGATAAGGATTGCATCGACAGCCTGAGTCAAAGAAGAAAAGCTATATTAATATGCATGACGCTAATTTTGAAATAACTACAGGGCTGCAAAAGCCCTTGTCTTCTCCGGTCACAATGTACACAGCCTGCTCTACCTGATTCAGTGAGCTGTCCCGCAACAAGTATAATGTGACGGTTATCGGAGAAACATCAATGCTTTTATTATCCATACTGCCTGGTCCCTAGTGTATCTGCCCTCTCTCTCTCTGAATGAAAAATGACAGAGGGGCCAGAAACCCATATAGGGCCGTGTATTTGATTGAGCCAGGATTCAAAGGCACAAGTATACTTAGAAAGCCCCGGAATAATAATTTGGTCAACTCAATTTCGTCTCAAGTTTATGATCCAATCTTCTTCTGGGACAAAGCCACACACACTTGCGTATGGCTCCGTCTTCGAATAGGACTGAACTATTAAACGACAAGCGCGTGTGCCTAAAAGGTTGATTGGGTACCAAGCCACCAGAACTTGAAACGTGCCCCAACTCTTAATTCCTTTACCATTGCTTGCATTTCCACTCTCATTAATCCTACTACTGTCTTTGGAGACACCGAAGCTAATGTTGCTGTTTCTACCGTGTAGGTTGAACCGTCATTTACTTGTCCAAACCGACACGTCAAAGGCCGTATCTCGAATACTTCTGACCACAGCCAGGCATTCTACACTTTTACCAAAGCCATGAGTTCTTCAGGTACTGAATATGTCCATCAAGATTATACCTTTGATAGGTACCTTATTACGTCCTTCTAGCAACTCAGCCAAGACAGACCTTCCAGCGCCGAGTCCATAACGCCTGGTCCTCCCTGAGAACCAATAAATCAACAAGATAAAAGCAGCCAGATACTCAAACACCTTCCCAGAAGCTCAAACAGATGCGAAGGAAATCATGAGAAGGGACCAACAGCCTCTCCCCAACGAGCGACCAGCGCTCAATTCGACACAGAACCTTGACAGCTCTGCAGCTTCCCCAACCAAAATCAATCAAACACCTCCATTCCAGAACCCCCACTTAGCAACGGGATTGGAGCTATCACTACTCTCCCCACCGTCCATGTCCATGTCCACGTCCGTCTCGGTCTGAAAAAAGCCCGGACTCGTGGTCTCGCTTCCACTCGTGCTTCCAGCCATATTCATCTGCGCAAACGCCTGGCGGCGCATAACCTCTTCCCGGTCCATAGCCGTCTCATTGGCCCGAGCTGCAAGAGCTTCACGGGAAGGTCGAAAGGGCGACGATGCCTCTGCACGGGGTTGGAAGAATCGCAGCAAGGTCTGTTGGCGCGGGTCGACGGTTTCGGGGGAGGGAATACTGGGGTCGGCATCCATCATGGCGTCGTCTGCGGTGTCCATGGGAGTAATCGGCTGTCGTTGCTGCTGCTGTTGTGCGGAGAAGATCCAACGGAGGGTTTTCTCTGCTCGTGAGCCGTCAGCAAGCTGCTCCGTGGTCTGTACAAAATATTTCTCCATAGAGAAGGGTGTCACGTACCATATACCACTTGTTCGTCTGGACGGCCGTCCCGGAAGCGCTTTCGGGTTCGGCTGGGAAGGTCCTTCGAGCTATCGGACATGCCCCATCCGCTAGGCGTGGGCATCGCCATGCTAGATGGGAGGCCAGAGAAAGAGGCTTTGCGCTTGAGAGACATTGCAGTGGTGATATAATTATAAGATGTTCCAGATAATGAGGGAATCAATCTGAGGGGACAATTGCAGGTATAACGCCCAGGCCGACAGTGTAAGAAGCAGAGTTGCATCTGGACGAGAGGAAAAGGCTGGAGCGCAGCGCGCATGCTAATTGGCTGGGCGCGTCTTTGGTTCGGCGGATTCGCGTTGACCGGGACACGCTAGTCCGGAATGGGCAACATTGCACACAACACGTTGGCTAGCGCTTTGGATGTGGATGGCCAGGTGCTGATCTGGGGCTGTAGTGGGTAGAGTTCGATTGTCCGAGCATATATGTACAAGGAACCAAATCTCCTCTTACCGAGCAGAAATATTCGTGGTTGGCTGGTCGGGATTTGCACCGTCTGATCATGCAAGATCCAGCGACTTTCATGCGGGAAATCGATTCATCACTTGACACAATAGTATGGTATTGAATAGTAACTATTAGCAACACGCAGTCATAATCAGCGCATAATTTGAGGATTATGAAAGATCTGGCGCTACAAACCCCTCGAACAGGTGGCCTAGGACGATATACTTCCGATCCCGTGACGTCGTCTTTATATGTTGATGATTGGACGGCCAGAGTTGACCAAGTCTATGTGGTTGATCTTCGCCTCAGTCAACGAATAGTAGGTCAGAAAGACATCTAAACCGCTTGCCCAAAGTTCAAACACATTTAATTCATCTCAACAAACTGGAATACTCTAGGCCAGAGCGTTCGGCATCCCGCATTGTGCTCCACTTGATGACGGCTTCCTCCCCCGCTTCTCCTCAGCCGAAGCTTCCCCAACCTAAAACATTCATACCTTGAACCTCACCCGGAACCCCATCCAAGCAACAATACTTGCCATCATGTCAACCAGACAAGCCTCTCACGCTGGATCCTGGTACTCTGGTAGCAGTGGAAGTCTCACTCGCCAACTAGATGACTGGCTGGCCCAAGTGCCAGAGTCATTGGATAAGGTCGGATCGCTGCCTGTTCCTGGCGCTCGAGTGATCATTGCCCCGTATGTATATTGACTGGCCATGTCCATCCAATCACCGCTAGAAAGAATGGAAGGATAATGAAACAGACATGCGGGGTATTCCTACTCAGGACCCTGCGCAGCCTTTGCATACAAGGCCCTTGATCTATCCAAGGCGTGAGTTTACCCACTGCGTTTTATACTCCACCGGAGCACGATGTGTCTCACACAGAGCTTGAAATTCTAGAAAGCGAATCTTTATCTTGGGGCCATCGCACCACTATGCACTGTCAACACTCGCTCTGCCCCAAGTCACCTCGTACGAGACCCCGCTGTCCAGCGACCCTCTGCCACTCGACACGGAGCTTATCAGTAAGCTCCTAACTACTCAGGCAAGCAAGCCAAATGGAACCAAGATGCGATTCACCACCATGAGCCAGTCTGTCGATGAGGATGAGCACAGCATTGAGATGCACCTCCCATACATTCATCGCCTCCTGCAGCTACAGTTCCCAAACACCCCGACGGCACAGTACCCGCCGCTCGTTCCCATCATGGTAGGAAGTACCTCTGCCGCGACAGAGCAGGCATTCGGAGCCTTGTTAGCTCCGTACCTGGCAGATCAATCCAATGCTTTTGTGATCAGCTCGGATTTTTGTCACTGGGGTCTCCGGTTCCGCTACACGTATTACGTGCCAGAGGCTCCGATGCCAGGACCAGTACTCCCATTATCGAGTGAAGAGCTACCCCAGCCAGGACAAGATCCTGATGACGTCTTGGAAAGCATCGACTCGGTCTGCGCGGGACATGCATTACAGCGGCGTGATCGGGTGCCGAGGACAGCGCCCTCGATTCACGAGAGTATCTCCGCATTCGATATTGCAACGATGTCGGCTATCACGACTGGATCGGCGGCCACGTTCCTCGACACCATTGAGCGCACTGGGAATACAGTGTGCGGCCGACATCCAATTGGAGTTATCATGGCGGCACTCGAGGTCGTGACGGCGAGTCAACCCAAGAGCAAGAAAGGACTCTTCCATTTCCTTCGCTATGAGCGCAGCTCGGATGTATCGGACGTGACGGACAGTTCTGTTAGCTACGTCTCTGCTGTTGCGGTTCTCTAATCTATTAGCTGTCTTTGTGGCTCTTTTTATGATGGTATGAACGATGATCTATTCAATTGCTGTCCAGGAACCAGGATCGGACTCGTATGATAGGCTAGTACAGCCAGATTTTTGACTAGGAAGCTGCGCATAATTTCCACCAGACCACTGCAATGTTTGGCCGGGTCACAGCTTCGGGGTTTTGACAGGGTCCGTCCTTACATGTGATGCAAGGGTTTGACCGGGTACCAAAGTGGGTAACTTATTCACAACTTTGACTAAATCTATCTCTGATGGTAGGCCAGTAAAGAAGAAACACTTGTACAGCACCCTTTATGATAAACGGCATGTGTCACGGTTCGAGGGCGTTCACAAAATTAACAGAAAACCACTAGAGCCAAGAATGAATGCTCCGGCCGATCTCTGCCGGATATGCGCGGATAGTCAAAATTAGAAGTTCAGAACCTTGATCACGGCGATAGCAAATTTTCAACAAACCAACTTAACTATGCGAGCATGATGAATAAACCATCCTTCTGTCGTGCCTCGGCATTCTATATCTTGAAACATACCTTGTCCCTGCGCAGAACGGGGAATTCGTGCCAGGCATGGGCTCGGATGCCGGCGGGCGCCAAGCACCGAATACCGACTTTTTCCAGTGGAGCAAGGCCACTGAGTGGAGCTCGGGAGAGAATCTTCGGTGCAACTAATGGAGATTATGAGTTTTATGCCTCTGCTTATTCGTCGCAGTAGTTTTCTTTCTGAAATAAGAAATATTCTTCAAGGGTCATGGAAGCGGAGAAAAGAGGACTCGGTGGCTAAGACAGGGTGGATGCCATGCCACGAGAAATCGAAGATGAGGGCTTAGCCGCAGTCAACGCCAGCTGGGACGCCTCACCCGCCACGGACCAGGTTCGGCCAGGTCTTCGTTGCTTCATTAGTGTGCAGGATCTGATCAGATTTGAGAGAGCTGACGTGTGTTGTGGTTCACTTAGTGGCGTTGATGGCAGCGCCGTGGCTCGTGTCTAGTGGCTATGCAGGATATAAATTCTTTTAGCAGCAGCACGGTATTGTACAGCACCTCGTACTTTCGTACTCGGTATTAGATGCATCCATCGCATCCCATGCCCTGAAACTTACCAGTCGCGGTATTCTTGTTTCTCTGTGGCCGGGTCCGAATGGGGACATCTCTGCGCCAAGAGGGGGGTAGTTGAGCGTCCTCGAGACCAATAAATTGATCAGGGGGAGGTAACGATGTGGGGCGCGTGCAAGAATTGCAGGGATTTTGAATCAAATCAAATCCAGAGTCAGGTCATTCGTGCATGTACGGAGGGTTGCCATGGATTTTCATCATTGACTGCGTCTTTCCTATGATACTATCCCATGAATAGTACTCCCTATGCTATGCTTCTCTCCTTGTAGGGGCCGTAGCAAGAAGGTGTCGGTATCCCCGGTTAGGCGATCGACACAGCCTCATCGGCTTATCAACGAACCAGTTCTACTCAAACTGGAGTTGGCACTCCCGAACTCCGTAAGGCCAGATACGAATACGGGTGGGCGAACATCCGGCGAGAGTACGCGGAAGGAAGCGCCTCTCCCATTCTCCGAGCCAGCCGTATACGTAATTGCTGCCAGCTGGCCCCCATCATCTCCCTTGTGAGTCCCCCCTTAAATTCGAATGACAAAGATAATTTTCGTTCTGAGGGGGCTCTTCTGTCTCCCTGATCAGAGGTACCAAACATTCACCCGGTCTCAAGAGCTGGCAGGACTCCCGTTTTCTTCGAGTAGTTGGACGGTTTCCCCGTCCAAGTATGGAGTCGATGCCAAGGAACGCCCAATCGCATCGAGCACACGACCCAACGCCGGATCGGTCAATAATGAGACAGCCCCCTCACCATACATAGCCATATCTCTCGGGATTCTACAATGATTAGTGAACCGGTGATTGGGTTCCCCCGGGGCGCACATCAGATTAGTTATGTACTATGGATACAGTCATCTACTTCTAGACCCGAGCCAGTGAGCCACCCCTAGGCCAAGACACGCGTCCGACTACTCCGACTGTCCAGCGTACCATCATTTGGAGCTGGAAGAGGGTTTCCTTCCATGTCTTAACCCTGTTTTTTTCTCCTCCCCCATAATTCCCTGGGGACTCCCTGCTGTCGTCGATCTCTTTTATATAATCATAATCCTCTTTTCACTCGCTCGTGGCGGTCGAGTTTCCGCCCTCCGCCCTCCGCTCCCTCTTGTGCTCTTTTTCTCTTTCCATCCCTTGCTGTCTCGCAGTCTTATTTTTTACTATTGTTTGAACCACCCTTGTTCTGGGGGGTTTCTTGTTCTAAGTCAACATAATCCATTCACTGGAGAGTCTGCTTTTGGTCTCATCTTTTTCAAAATGTCGGCGACCACGCCGGACATGGGGAAACCCCAGTTCTCCTCGCACTCATGGCTGGAGCCACTGGTAAGTCGTTTCGCTCGATCAGACCATTCGCCTTGGACATGTCCTAATGAACATGATGAACGATAGGTGGTCGTTAGCATCATGATTGGCTCTCTCGTGCTTAATCGGCGCAAAAACTACAGCATATTCGGCAACAGAACCACTGACGAGCGCAATCCCCGCGGTTATTTTGACTCTGTAGATGACGTCCGCGGACAGTCGCCCGACCCGGTCAAAGCAGAGCGCGTTTGTGGCATTCCTATCACCACACCGGACTCCTCGCGTTGGGCCAATCATTTCCACAGCCGCATCTTGTACAAGTTTCCCTTCTTGGTTGAGATGTTCTATTGGGCTGTCAACTATTTGTTCTACTCCGTCACCAAGGCGACGGCGCAATGGCTGGTTCCTGCTCAGGTCGCCGTGGTTGAAGTCGCTCAGCGACATGGCGAGGATATCCTCTGGTTCGAACATGAGTCGATCTTCCGATGGTTCTTCCCGATCTTGGAATCGGACTTCCAGGGTTATTTCCTGGGTAGTCACCCGGGTATCATGACCTTTTTTAACCGGATTTACTCGCTCGTGCATATCCCAGGAACCGTACTGTGAGTGATCGTTGCTGAACTAGATCTATGACATACGGGAAGAAAGCAAAAGACTAACCCACCCTTTCCCCCCAAAGCTTCATCTCCTGGTACTATCACGAAGCTCCCAATGCAAACACTTTCGCCCTTGTCCGCCGCACCATGACCCTCGGCAACTTCTTCGCTTTCGCAACTTTTTGCGTATACCCATGCATGCCACCCCGTCTCCTCCCCGAGTCCTACCATTTCTTCGATACCGTCCGTCAAGATCACGCCGAGAGTGTCTGGGTCGACAGCAAGTCCGTGAATCAATTCGCCGCCATGCCCAGTCTCCACTTTACCTACGCCTTCGTGATCAGCAGCACATTCCTCTACCATTCTGAAATCCTTCGCCGACTCCGCGGCAAGCCCGTCCGGAAGTCCACTCTCACTCAAATCATCTACACGGTGCTCGCTTTCGCATACTCGCTGCTGGTTCTCAGCGTTATCGTCGCGACTGCAAACCACTACTGGTTGGACGCGGTCATGGCCATGATCTCGGTCACCGTGTGCTTCATGATCAACCGCGTGTTCCTCCTACTACTGCCAGTCGAGTACTGCCTCTGCTGGGTGCTGCGACTGGCCAAGCCGCCTCCCCACGTTGGTGGGAACAAGTCCGACGTCCAGAGCGGGACCGAGTCACCCAGATACCGGTCCGTGCCGGGCTACGATGTTGTGTGATCTATATAACTCTTCATATTTCTCGACGTCGCTTCTACCCGTTTCTCATCCTACATTTGCATACGAGACTACATTTGCATCGTTTTGCATCATTTTCTTCTAATTCCACTATATAAAAAGCCCGTGTGCTTATTTATTAATCATCGTTGGGAGAAACTTTTGGCCCCCCCCCCCCGCACGCCGCCGCGTGATCTACATTTTAGCGTGAAGCTCAGTCTCGGTTCGGATAGGATCCGAACAGAACTTTTTCGTTTCCGAGGGATTCGAAACTGATACCCCAAAGATGTGTGATGATCATCTTCTTGCAGCAAATATGGTAGAGTTATTCTTGGTGATCGTGATCTAGTGTTGCATTCCGATATAGCAAGGTCATGACTTTAGACTTGGGATGCCTTTTGTCGGAATACCATCATGGAAGAGCCTCTGAAATGAAAGCCATTCTGTGGAACTGCACCACCTGAACCGATGTTACTCTATGCGTGAAGCTTATTTATTTAGTAAATTGTGGATCAGGAGTCGTATTTCCCCAGATCTCTACGTCAAAGATGATCGTCCAGTCGATCCTATCCATATTTTGAATTTTCCCTGCTCTAGACTCTGTAGGGCCATGGGGTCTTGACATGTGCCTCCAGCCGATATGTCAATTCACATATCAAGTAGCATCCCTTCGGCCGCTGAGAAATAACGATATCTCTTCATCACACGATCAGCATCCAATCAAGTCTTCCACGAACTTGGTTGCACAAGCCGGGGAAATGGACGCAGCATGCACCTGACATAATGAGGGAATTACTCTTTCTTCATCCTTGTAGTTGATGTCTCTGGTATAGATGGGATTGGCTCATGGAACTTGACCCTGGCCAAAGCAAGAAAGGAATCAAGAAAGGGTAGACAGATGGTGAACCAAATCGACGATAAGATTTAAACCAGCCCATCCTCGGGTGTTCCCTTCCTTGCCAGTGCTGGGTTCATTGCTTCATTATAGGTTGTACGGAGTAATCTGTGTCCTTCTGGATACCCAAACTTTGATCTCATCATCCCGTCCATGCAAGGTTCTCCTCCGAAGCCCGATGACGAGGTGATGTAAGCGCAGTAAACAACTCAGAAAGGCGAAGGCAATAAAATACAAGGAGATATAGTTGACATGAAAAGTACTGAGTACCCTGCCCCTCGTACTAACCTACCCAGTCATCTTATCGCGATTGGTCGATTCTTTGTTTACCCCTGGATCCCTAAGCCTTATCGCACCCTGATCCAGGGGCCTCAGGCTTTGTCGCAACAACCGAGAACTTGCGACAGCCACATTAATACTTTGTTGAATCGGCATTGGTCGTACGTCGATCCTTTAATCTAAACACCCGCGGGAGGGAGGGGGGGACTAACGGCAAGCATTCTACGCATCGACCACCTTATCGTACATGTCAGCCCTGCACCTTGAAACTGTGTCCATTTCCACATCTTGTTCCATAGATCTATCCCAATGACTTGTTCATTGTTCAAGTGCGATTGATACGCTTATTCCTTTGTTAGAGTTCCATTCACGGGGCGATTGTGGATCGCACGCGACGCGCCGGTGGCGTCCATCGCGCGCGCGCCAATTCTCGGGGGTTTCTTACCGAAGATCTTGGTCTGACAGGGTGATACTGTAGCAATCGAGCAAGTCGGAAAATTTCCCATGATCAGTCGCCCACTCCTCTCATCATAGACCCTGATGACTTTCCTAGTTTGATTGAATGGTAGGGTCCCCCTCGAGAAAACGACGTTGGATTGGCTGATCTGCTACTGCACACAAGGAAAGACTATACCGAAAGGGGTCGCTGTCAAAGGATCTCTTGAAGGATTTCCAGAGATCACAGATAACCCTAGAGGGGCAAGGAATTCTTCAATTCCCGTCATTATAACACTCCTTCTTTCCCGGTATCTGACTCCGACTCTCCTTTTTCTTCAAGGTTCTTACCGGTGCTGGATGCTGGGCCTTTGTTGACATCTTCCTCAAGTACATTCATTCTGATTGCTCCTCGACTTTGGAAGCATTGCACTCCTTTTTAAATTACATTTTTTACCTATTTTTACAACTGTACGTTCCATCATCACCAATTCCACCCAGCATGCTCCGAGAGCTGCTCACACTAGCCCTAGTCGGGCTGATGATGCCTTTCTCTTGGGCATGCCCGACGCCCATCTCCTCCACAAAGGCACCATCTTCGACACCGACGATGACCCCCCAAAAGACAGATAGGCTGGTCTTCTGTCACTTTATGGTAATATACCCCCAAGTAGACACTCCGTACAAACGCACAGTCTAACAATTAACGTCGCATGTCTAGATCGGAATCACCAGTAACCGCCACAGCGCCAGCGACTACGATGATGACATGAAACGCGCCAAAGACGCAGGCATAGATGCCTTCGCGCTGAACATTGGCACGGACTCCTACACCGATACTCAACTCGTTTTCGCCTACGAGTCCGCCGCAAAGAACGGAATGCAGGTCTTTCTTTCTTTCGACTTCAACTGGTGGAACGTCGGCCAGGGAAGCGCCGTCGGCGCCAAGGTCAAGCAGTATGCGGACCAGCCCGCCCAACTCAAGGTCGATGGCAAGGTATTCGTGTCCTCATTTTCGGGGGACAGTGTCGATGTCAATGCTATGAATTCGGCCGCGGGCCAGGAGCTCTTCTTCGCGCCGAATTTCCACCCGGGTCAGGGCAATTTTGATGCGGTTCAGGGTGCGTTGAATTGGATGGCGTGGCCGAACAATGGGAACAATAAGGCGCCGACTGCGGGGCAGACCCTTAGCGTTATCCAGGGTGATGAGGCTTATAACAAGGCTTTGAATGGGAAGCCCTATATTGCACGTGAGTTGGCCTCTAATAGAGTGCAACGTCTTGTCGCGAGGCCCTGCTAACGAGATCATAGCCGTCTCGCCGTGGTTCTCGACCCATTTCGGCAGCGAGGTCTCGTATAGCAAGAACTGGGTCTTTCCTTCTGACTTGCTGTGGTATGATCGCTGGCGAGAGATTCTGGCTCTTGGTCCTCGCTTTGTAGAGATTATCACTTGGAACGACTATGGCGAGTCGCACTATGTTGGACCGCTCTCGTCACCGCATACCGATGACGGGGCATCGAAGTGGGTGATGGACATGTAAGAGGAGTCTTTACCAAATAGATTGTGACAACGTTTTCAAGTTGACTGACAGCTCGTCTCTCCAGGCCACACAATGGCTGGCTAGACATGGCCAAACCCTTCATTGCCGCATACAAGGCCGGCGTCACCGTTGCGCTTCCCTATATTCAAGAAGAGAAGTTGGTCTACTGGTACCGACCGACCAAGAAAGACCTGAATTGCGACGCCACCGACACCACGATGCAAGGCAACCCCAACAATTCCAGCGGCAACTTCTTCGCCGGCCGACCGAACGGACACGAGTCCATGGCGGACGAAGTCTTCGTCGTCTCCCTGCTCAAATCCGCTGCTCGCGTGACCGTACAATCAGGCGATCAATCCGCAACCTTCGACGCACCGGCTGGCATCAGTGCGCACCGGGCCCCAATGGGCGTGGGCAAGCAAAAGTTTGCCGTATCCCGAAATGGACAGGATATCCTGTCGGGGACCAGTTTGAAGGATATCGTGGATACTTGCATCTGCGGGATCTACAATTTCAACGCGTACGTGGGGATGCTCCCGGCGCCAACCACGATTGACCGGCTCCAGCCGGCTGGGTACGCTATGTTGTCGCAGGGGTTGAAGGTCTCCTGCCCGACGAATACACTGTATGCGAGTGGGACGAGCAGTGCGACACCTATTGCTAGGGCGTGAGGAGAGGGAGCAGTGAATACTGTCTGCGATATAGGAACGGAGGCACTGCAAAGTGAGTTCCCGTACCTGGTCAATAACCTGCTTACATTATCGCCGGGAATAGGAGAGTGAGATTGGGGATTGACCCGAGGGTTTGATATGATGGACAAGGGGGGAGGAGAGTTGAAAAATCGCGCAGTCTATGCGGTCTGTCCTGTACACTACAAGCGCCGGTCTTTACAATAGTTACCAAGATGGTAGTTCAGTCACATATCCTCGTGCTACGTCCGTATAGAGAGTGTCGAGTGCCGGTCTCCGCCGGAGTGAATCAGACTAGACTCCGCAATTCCGCCTCGTTATCAGTAACTTAATCTCTAATCTTGTCTCACTCAGTCTCCATTCGACCAAGGGGCCAAATCCTTTATCGCGCGATCGCTCACCGACTCTCTTTGTCTTCCCGAAGTCGGACAGAAAGGGAACGTGGTTTTGTTTTCTTTTTCCCACTTGCTTTTAGCTCTTAGTCCCCCCTTCTCCTCCCCCCCCCCCCTTTTTTTTGACTATACGCAGGTCGACCTCAATGATAATGTTAGCGCGGTACTTCCATCCCCATTTCATGACTAATACCATCCCTAACCGCCTTCTATATTAGTACTAGACTAATACCGCACATTTCAACCCCTTTCCTCTCTTCTAGAAATATCTCCTATCTACCTACCCATCTACCTACCTACCTACCTACCTACCATGGAGATTAATGACCAAGCGTGCAACGAGATCTCTTACCAGTCCTCCGACCAGGCTCCTCGGACCCCTAGTCAGAAGGCCACCCGCGATCAGCGTATCGCAGCGCGTACACTGCGTGCTCAGAGGTATACCTATGCACAAATTGCATCCAAATTAGGTATCACCCAGCGCCAAGTCCAAAAGGCCTGTAGTGATGAGAGGCCTACACCACGTAAGGCCTGTGGCCGAAGTCGAAAGCTATCGGAAGAACAACTTGATGAGATAATTGAGTTTATCTCATCTTCGAAAGAAACACGACGAATGCCTTACTCGAGGGTGATTCAAGAACTACAACTTCCTGTTAGCCCTGAGACATTACGAAGGGCCTTGGCTAGACGAGGATATCACCGATGTAAGGCCCTTCGAAAGCCTCCTTTATCCGATCGAACACGAGCACTACGTCTAATCTGGGCATTGGAGCATGTTAATTGGACGCGTGAGCAGTGGGAAAAGGTATTATGGACCGATGAGACCTGGGTTACATCGATCTATCATCGACGGATCTATGTAACGCGTAGGTCTGGTGAGGAGTTTGATGATACTTGTGTACGAGAGCGTATCTCTCATGCACCTGGCTGGATGTTTTGGGGCTCATTCTATGGTAATGAGAAAGGCCCTTGTCTATTCTGGGAGAAAGAATGGGGTAGTATTACTAGCGCTCAATATACAGAGCGAATAGTGCCCTTAATTGATGGTATGGTTACGATGGCTCGTAACCATCTAAATAAGCATCTAATCGTGATGCAAGACGGCGCACCTTCTCATCGGAACCTCTTAACGATTGAGGAACTACACGAACGTGGGATATACCCTATCGATTGGCCACCGTATTCGCCAGATCTTAATCCTATTGAGCAGCTTTGGGATTGGATTAAAGATTAGATTGGCGATCGATACTTGAAAGACTACGATCGGAAGCTATCTTATGATCGTTTACGCGAGGCTGTACGAGCTGCTTGGGATGCGATACCTATAAACTTTTTAGACCAACAGATTGATCTTATGCAGAAGCGCTGCCAGGCTGTTATCGATGCGCAGGGAGGACACACGCCTTACTAAGGGGTAATAATATGTATTCTAGTGGTTAAATTACACAGACTCGTAATAAAAGAGTGGCAGAATATTAGTCATGAAGTAGGGATAGAAGTACCACGCTAACATTATCATTGAGGTCGACCTGCGTATATGAATTTTGTACTTATAGTTGCCCCGGGGTTATGCTACCCGGCCCGATTGCATGGAACACTTTTCAGGCTGCGGCCAAGACCATGGCTTGAACTGATCACCAGGACGAAATCAATTCGGATTTGTCTCGCTGGCAGTATAAGACGAGATTGAAACCTCCTACCCGGCCACGAGACCGTCGTATTGTTCTTTCTTTATATCAATTCACTCCGCCTTCTCTTTCTTCGGCGGTTCTATCTTACATCACTATACTCTCCACCCAATGGCCCGCATCAAGAAAGGAGTGTTCTCATGGGAGGATGTGCTGGCCCAACGATACCAGAGTTAGTCTCCCCGTTTATTGCTCCTCCCCTCGTTGATCATGAATAAACGTTACCTACATGCACTATACAAACCTACAGACATGCCATTTGTATATTCCATTTCCCCGTGTCCGAAAGCTAACAGAACCAATTCTAACCAGACAATAAACCTCCTCCTCTACCCCGTCCCCGCCACCATTCCCCTCATACCCCACAAGCCCAAGCCCAAGCCCAACTTCAATGCGCACTCCTCACCCGCCTCTCCCCCGAACTCCGCCTAATCATCTGGGAAATGGCCCTGGGCAGCCAACGGCTACACATCATCCAACGCAGCGGCCAGCGTCTCGGCCATGTCATTTGCCCACTGGGACATGGCCATGATGCTGGGCTTGGAGCGGACTCCGGATCTCGGCCGAGGCTAGACTCTTATAATCAGACTGGCCGAGGCACGGGGCATCCATTCTGTGAGATCTGTCATGGTGCGGGGATCGCGCAGCCCGTCAAAGAGGGTGATTCGTGGGGTGTTGGGTGCGCTCAACGTAACGGGTTGCTTGGATTGGCGTTGACGTGTCGGCAAATGTATGGGTGAAATTCAAGAAATGGCGCGCGCGGTCTTTCTCTTGCCTTGTTTCTCTATGTGTCTTGAAATCTCAATTGAGAATTCTTGAGGAGGGACACATTGGACAAGTAGGAGGAGAGAGGTCTTTGTGGGCTGTTTACATTCTCTTCCTACTTTTGTTTTTAACGTTGTCTCGTCTAAGATCACTGACTTAATGATCCTAGATTCGCCGAGTGTATTCACCTCCTCTACGCTACGAATACCTTTGAATTTAGTATTCCCTGGTCACTGCCATACTTACAGCCAACAATTCCACCGGAATACTGGGGATTGATTCGAGCTGTGGAACTGCGCTGGTCGTTCCGAGGACATTGGTTACCGACCAAAGATCCCGTGCGTGCGATATACGTCTCCGCTGGCCGGGCTCAGTGGCTAGAGACATGTCGCTCTTTGAAGCAATTGCCAGCGCTGAGGTCATTCGTCCTCATACTGGGGAGTAGCTGGTTCAGCGAGCCGGTGGAAAAGCTATCCATGTTTCTAGAGCCGTTATGCGGGTTAAATCTTACTCAGGGAAAGAGGAGAACTGAGCGATTGCGACATAAGATAGAAGTGGGCGAGGATCCGCTGGAATGGAAGAGAGGAAATGGGAGTAGTACTAGTTTAGATGAAGCGATGAGTTCGAGTGCATCGAGGGTGAGTTTCGTGTCGGGTTCTAGCTCGTCGCGATTGGCGAGGAGTTCGGCTTCGAGTCTTCGGTCTGAGGGATCGGCGTGTTCTTGCTTTGATTCTGGATTGGCACTGTCCATGGATATCAAGGACGATCATGATCGGGATGTCGATTCTGGTTTGGCTTTGTGGGAGCTTCGACTGCAGGGTCAGTCGTACTATTCTCATGAGGTGGGCCAGATTGGGGATGATCTGTGGCGGAAAGGGATTGATTGTTGGATCTCGATGGTGTGAGATGATCTTCATGAATTGTAGACTATCTTTCATGGGTAGCCCGATTGCCCTGTGTTCTTGTCCCGCCGTCTGGTATCCAGGATACCTATGCGTATCGCGATGCATCTTTCACGTCATATGACTAACAGAAAAGGAGGTGAGGTTGCATCATCAGCATGACCTTTCTATAATACCCGCTCATATACTATACTATACTGTTGTATATTGCATGCCCACATGCTCCGTGCTATCATTCCTAGATATCAAGAAAAAAGCAAGAATCTACATAGTTCGGAAATTAAAGAATAGGCGTATTGAATGTTCCATAGACTTGCCAGAGTGATCCACAGTACTAGAGTCTATCGTCATATCTAAGATAGTCACAATTGTAGATTCCCCTTTACATCATCGTCATGCTCCGCCTCGCATCAACACATAAACAATCCCGATAAGGGATAATGATAAGAGATAAGATAAGACCAGCGATAAGACCAGCAACAGAACTCTCATACTTTCAAGTCATACCGTGAAGTATACATTGGTCATCAAGTCTTTATACCATGCTCCTTCACAAAACCTTGAGAATAAAACATTCACTCACAATTCAAGTCAATCCGTCTCCTTCATGTAAACGGCCGACTCCAATCGGACCCCTATTCCACCGGCCAGCCCTAGCCTCGACTCCAACCATCTCCACCAGGACCCTGGACCCACCACCTACCCACGGCTCCTAAAAATATCTTCAAGGCCCGTGCAGGATTGCACAGGGCCGATACCGTACGGCAGTTCCGACGTGTTCGGGCCCCCCGTTTCAGCATGAAACAAAGCTGCAGCGAAGCCGCATGGTACGTGTATTCGAGGCTGATTCGGTCAAAAATGAAGAGGTCTAATGTGGGAAGAAAGACTTTCCGTTTCTCGTGTTTGGTGGTGAGGGAGGGGCAAAGAAAGGGGGCTCCACGGCTAAACTCCATCGTGAGGCCCGGGCCCACTGGGCTAGGGATGGGTGGGCGCTAAGGGAATCATCGCGGGGGATGAGCGCACATCATAATCAAACAAGTCATTTTGGCCAGGCGGTGGGGTTTGTGGTTATCCTGTTCTGTATTTGTGGAGATCGCATGATTCAGGGTCTAAATTACGAATGAACGGTGGTGGTTTGAGAGGTTCAAAAGGTATTAGTAATTGGTATTGGTAGTCAAGAGGTAGTGAGAAATATCCAAGATTATAGTAGAGAAGGTCAGGTAGAAATGAGTAGATGGTGTACTCGCGATAGGAAAAGTTCATCCCAGAAATGGGAGAAAAGCGAAAGAGGTCGCTCCGGGAGGGGATTTGCGACAGATACATGGGAAAAAGAATCACAGTGAAAGAAATGGCTGCAACGTGTCTCGTACAACCAAGATATGCCGTCGGGCAAGAATTCCCAAATTCAAGATAGGGAGGAACGCAGGAAATCATCACCAAGCGCCGTGCAAGCAACAGAGGCCAAAGCGAGACGCCAGAATGCGAATAGAGAAGGAGACCCAGGATTGGTGGAGTCTGGAGACTCCAAAGAAAGAAATTAATGCTGTCTTGCTCTAGACAGTGTGACTGTCCAAAATAGGGAGACGTAGTAAACTTGTATGGAAGACGGTCAACCATAATAGGAGGCAGAATTGTTTTGGTGATCGATGTAAATGATCAGTGGCTACTGCGCCTCGGAGTTCATCAGTCAAAACTGGTGTGCGAGTCAAGCAGGTAGACCGCAGGGATGTTCGATTTTCGAGTCACGGTTACAGGCTGGTATCTGACCAGCAGTGGCCATCTTTGGGAGGCCATGCACCGTAGAGCGTGAGCCGATGCGACCGTCGTGACTCCCATCGGGAAGGGGGTGTCCACGTTGTCGACGTGGGTAGTCGGGCGCCCGGTCCAGTTTCATCCGCTGGAATGAGCTGGATGAGGATCATCGAGTCGTCCAAACGTTTAATGAGATCAAGAACCTAGGAAAAGGATCCGGTGAGCCGTCATAAGGTAGGGTTGGTCGTAGGAGATAAAAAGATTCTCGCAGCGTTGGGTAAGTCTATGGTCCGCCGTTGGAACGATCCGGTCCCGAGTGACCGTGGCCCCGGGCGCTGAGCCACTCCGAGGTAGCTTCCCGGCGAGCGTCAGCGTGCTTCTGCTCATCAGGACGTCCTACCAAGCTGCGTGGAAGGATGTTCTGAATCTCGGCTGCTAGGGCGGATGCTGTGAATCCACGAAGCTCACGCTCCTCACGTTCATCCTCCTTGATAAGGCGACGCTGGTCAGCCTCGGACATGTTCTCACGACGCTTTCGGCGAATCTCGTGGATCGACCACAGAACGACCTCCTCCGAGGTACGGTTGCGAGGGCTGCCGTGCTTGGCGAAGTTGCGAACATAGCGACGAGTGACGTCGGTCGCACCGTCGATGGAGAAAGCAACGCAGTAAGAGATCTTACGGCGCCAGCCTTCGGTGTAGAGACGAGGCTGATCCCAAGCTCCCTCGCACGCATCCACATGGACCCAGCGACGCTGGTGTTCGGAATACACCTCGGTCCAGACGTAGTCTTCCGAGTTCCATACCCAACGAACCCGGGCACCGACAGCACGGCAGAGCATGCTGAAGCAGTTGGCCCACTCTCCCACTCGCCCACGGCGAGTTTGCAGCAATTGCCAGACATCGGAGTAACGGGGAAATCGCTCATAAGCGCCGCAGCTCGGCCCGGAGCAGCGATACAGCTCGACTCGAGTGGCGCCACGGGCGGTTTCGTCGGGGCTGGGAGGCGTCATACCCTGTGCGATCGTAGGCAGGCAGCACCTGGAGCATGGAGGGTTGTTGACAAATTGGAAGAATGATCCCTTGAACCACCTGAAGAAAAAGCCATGTTAGTATGAACAAAGGGAAACGGAGGGGCCTCGTGCCAGCCAAGAGTCTCTGGCGAGTCTTGGAACGTACTTCAACAATGCCCGGATCACACAATCCTGATATCCCCATTCTGGCTTTCCTCCCATGCTGGCCGCCTGGGCCTGCATGATCTGAGACTCCTCTTCGGCTTCGGCATACAGGCGATCCAGGGGGAGAGTGCACAGGGCTTCGTCGAGAAGACCTGGGTTTTCGTACTTGGTCGGCGTCACCGAAAGGCCCTTGAGCAAATTGAAGAACTTGAGCGAGGCCGCATCCTGAGGAGGAGATGGCATAATGGGGAGACCACGGAGAGCTGGGCTAGATGAGGGTTGTTGTGAGTTCGGGCGCGGTTCGGTGCCAAGGGAGGGAGGAGGTGGCGGCGCTCGTGAGGGCGGCGGGATCGAGTGACTGGTGTGTGAAGGGGCCGGCGACTGAGATCCAGATCGCGATCGGGATGATTCGTGAAGTTGATTGAATCGCTTGGTGCGCATCAACTGTTCGAACTCATGGCTGAGAGTGGTGGCATCGTACGTGGTGGTGTTGCTCATGTTCGAGGCAGGCTGGGCGGCCCGATAATGGGGTTTGCCGTCCGCCATGGTCGGAATAGGTGGGAGTCACCGGAGGGGGCGACGTGAATGGAATTTACTCCAGGGTGGTGGTGATGGTGACAAAGGTATCGAACGTGGGAGGCGTGGAAATCTGGCTGGAAAGGATCGGGAAAGATCGAGAGGTTAAAGGAGGGGAGTAAGAGAGGGAGAGGAGAGAGTAGCGAGGAAGGGTCAGTAATGAGGGCGAGAGAGACAGCGAGAGGCCCTGGGGAAAGCGGAAAAGGGACAAAGGTGGGCCAGGCCTTGTCGTCTTTGCTGGTAAAGTCCAGTACTGCAGTATTACGAGCGTCGTCAGCCTCTCGCCCCAATCACGGGCCCCGCGCGCCCAAGCCGCGTATACCACGGGCCAAGGGAGTAGACCCTTTTTTCTTCCTTTAATTCCCCGTCGGCACACGTAACCAGATCAACTCCATGACAAAACTATGCTTTGCTTTCCTATGATGAGAGATCGACTTCAATGGCTGTGGTATAATGATATACACTTTGTATACCTGGAGCGTCATTATACTTTGTACTCTGCATCTGCCAGTACAGTACTCCGTACATTAGTTGGCGCTGCCCTCGTCATGCTTGTATCGTATCGATAAAAGTCTTGGCACACCACGTCCCATGACCGAGAGCGAAAGGCTTGTCCAACTTCTTTCCCAGGAGCCCGTGTCTTACGCACTCTTTCTTCACCACTCGTACCTGAAATTGATGGATCCTTAACGCTTCGGATCAAGAAGAGGCTTATTATGTTGCTTAATTTTACTTCTCTCCATTGCTGCCCTTTCCGTTTTCCCTCTTGCCCTCTTTCTCTTCTAGCAGTATACCGATCAATCCCCTTTTCGAACCGCCTTGTGTCATCAAGATGAGAAAGCATGGGTGAATGTGGGTGAAGATCTCGATTGATCGTCCCGTGTCTCGACTCGTCCCAGTAAAAAGAAATAAAAACAAAGCCAGGTCGGAGGTCGGGGCAGAGCGCCAGCCTACGCGTTCGAAGCCTCTTCAATTTCCTCGTCGCAGGGCTTGGATGGGCCTCAGTGGCGGAGACGCGCAAGCGTCCGTCTTGGCATCCAGTACGATCGGGCTAGAGCCTCGTTGGGCTCCACTGCTCATCCTCTTCTGTGTCCTCTCCGTCGCCCCGCTAAACTACTTTGGGCCATGCTGACATCCTCGCTGTCGTGGTCTCTCGCTGAGCTCATCACCGTTCCCGTCTGTCAATGGCTGGGCTGAAGTGAAGAGTGGACCCTCTTTTGACTCCTTTCGCTTTCGCAGGGGGGAGCTTGGCACTCGTGAATCACAATGCTTCCGTCGCACTCCAGAATATTCTGCCTACGTGGAAAAGATCTTGGTATGGCCCAATGTTCCCGTTGATCGGAATGCAACCAAATGGGAGATCTCTTCTCGAGAAGTTGTACGACTACGCGGTCAACGACACCGGTCCGTACAATATTGTGTCCAGGCCGAGCTGTCTATCAATTACTCTTCTGGTCAGGTTTCGCTGGTTGACGCAACCCCCCAGCAAACCCGATCACCAATCACCGTCCATGGTAATCCTCCGAACGGTCAAAAGACCCTGAAAAGATGAGGGTCAATCGGGTTCAGGGTCGCCCCATCGCGCACTGGTGCTAGTCGCGCGATTCGCAAGCTATCGCTTCGTTCCGACACCCTCCATCCACTTACACGTCTCCTATTGTCTCCTTATGGTATGTATCCAGACGTTGACCCTCTTTTTTTTCTGGTGTATCACAGGATGGGGTACGAAGCATACTGTACGCGGTAACTTCGTACAATTGGGGACAATGTTGCCAACTCTCCCCTTTCTCATCCAGACAGACTCCCTAGATGGTACAGGCGGGTAGGCGTTTGAATGGTCTGAATTCTATTTTTGTTTTTGGAATTTCTATCATCCTTCTTCCAGACATCTCAACGGCGGCGCCTTGCGTTATCTGTTCACCAGTTCTCCCGACTATCGAGCCAGTCGCCGTCCCGTCGATTTGCTAACCCATCCGTCCTCGAACTTACCCAACAGACGCGTACTATGATTGGTTTATGAATCATTTACTAATCCTTTACCGCAACGGATTCTGTCACAGATACTTTCAATCCACAGGCAACCCGGGAATTAGCCGGCGTTTCACGCTTAACCGACAGCCTCAGCCTCAGCCTCAACCACTGCCTTAGCCTCAGCCTCCATCTACGGGGGCTGTGCTGCGTGTTTTGTTCTGTATTATAATTGCCGTTGTCATGGGGGTTTTCTGCCCGCCCATAGCTCATAGACAGATTCATACTATATATGCACAATCATGCGCGCATCGTCAAAGTTACAATCATCTCGACCCTGAATACCATCATCCCCCAAATTTCCGATCGGCAAAGCCGATCATCACGGGATCGTGTCTAGCTTGGATGGCGCAAGCCCCCAGCAATTTCCACACCAAACGACCGGCGGTTTCTGGAACTGGGGGCCAACCGCCAATCTTCAGCCTCGGAGGCTCTCCCCACGATGTCCAGAGCATGACGGAATGACAGAACATGTAGTCTGTTACACCAAAATTAACACTGATTGTCACTCATGTGCCTTGACGGGACTCCACGACTCGGTATGTCCACGAAGCGGATGATGTTGACATAGTCGTGGGAGGGCAGCAACCAAGGAACTCGACGCCTCGGGCTGTGGACACCGCGTCCTCGAGGGGAGGAGAGACGAAGCCAAGAAGCATGATGCATACGGAAAATCTAACTTTGTCCCCAGGTTATCATGCACCGGGATAAATTCTATACCGCTGGTTTAGCTAGGGGGCATGCTCGCCCTACGCCAAGCAGCCAAGAGCCGTCATCGTCGTCACTCGGAGCATGGGCCATATCCGTGACGTACGCCGCACACTCCAATGGATTCTCATCAACTCGATCATCCTTTTTCTGACAGATTATTATTCAAGCTCATCGACTCCGCGGCATGTCCCATGGGTATAACCCGCCAGATCTCGTGGCATACCCTTGGCGCCCCAACAGCTGCAATGAGATATCACAAGCATCAGGGCTGGGCATTGCGACGCTTTTGCTGGGCACCTGGGCAGCCCGTCGCTTTCTTTCTCCCCTCCTTTGTCATGAATCAAGTACCAAGCAACCCCGGACACGCAACCCAGCGGAGAAGACTTGCAACCTCCATTGCATTGCTATGCATCCTCGGCCGCGTCAGGAATTCGTGGATGATCAACGAGCCGTTCAACGTCGCGGCTTCGGCCCGATAGTCCATGAACTGTCATGACGTATAGAGCATTGAAGGATCAGCAAGAAGGGTTTTTTTCTTTTCTCGTACTAACAATAACATACTGTACACCATCGAACTAACGGAAAAATCCTTGTCGGTTCGGTCCACTGGCTCAGGCGCTACCGCGCGTTAGCTCTGCCCTTCCGCGTCACCTACAATACCACTAGACTTCTCGGGGTCCGCTGACCGAACTACGTGCGCTGCATTTTTCTGCCTGATATCTTCAATCGGGTTAATTACACAGCTACTTTTGTATTGCCTAGGGTTGTTTGCCTGAAATGTTATCTGTATGATACCACACCTAGTGGAGCACTGTTGCTGCTATGCATCGGGAACCATTTATTACGCGTCTGCGACTCTGCGTACATGAGTTGGCTTCCCCACTTCCCGGGACCTGATAGCCTTACAGCTTCCTAACGGTGGCCATGTCCTGATCAGGATATTCTGTGTGCTAATACATTACCGGATTCGTGCTAGTATAGGTTCGGAGTTGACAAAGTGGTTCGGAAAGAAGCATGAGGCTTCATCAGCAGTCCACTCGTCTGGTCAAATCTGGCTTGAGCACGGACGACTGCTCGCCCTAGGAGAGATAGCGATGGGTCAAGCTCGCTGTCCCTTCTTTGCCTTAGGAAAGGGTCGCCCGTATACTAAGATTCACTAACCGTTGACTATGAGGTTAGTGCTTGATTAGCGGATTCTGCTCTCTCATGTCTTAGGGGATTGATCTTAGTCGTCGGGCTTGGAATTGACATATTGTACTGCGCATCATTTGCCATGCTGTGTATTGCACTGCAACAAGGCAGAACTTTTGTCCGGCTTCATCGCTGACTCGTCACCACCGCGTCTTTGGGTCTTGTTTTCTTTTAACGCGATACACTAACGTCGATCAAAAACTAGAACTATTGATTTTGCAGCGCCACTGCTGCGTCGGCGCCGCATCTGAGCTCATACGCGATGCGATACACGACGGTAGCATAGCGTACGCGGCATTGACCAGATTAATGAGTCTTTGGCCAGTGTTACATTGACATGGGGGATGTAGCCCAGACTACTGTAGTGACCATCTGAAATGTCAGGACGTGGTCTATTAGATCAGAGTATTCGTTGCGCGATTTTGTTTTGGTTGGAGATTAGGAACAGAAGGTAGTTCAACTCATTACGTTTCGACCAATTTTTCTAGGTGGCTATTGAATTTTCATGGTAGGTAACGAGGCTATCGTTGCCAGCTATAGATGTCTTCTTAGCCACAACCTTCGTTTTACATATCACTGCCCTTAGAATAAACGACTCCTATTGAGGCTCTGATTCCTCTCGGGGTCGAGAATCTTGTGTTACATCTGATCTTCCTTGTACTTTAAACATCTTCGGTTGCTTGGTCATGGAACGCAATGAAACCTCCAGAGACGTCCATCCATACTAGAATAGTGGTTGCTTATATAACCGCCCTACCTTTCATTACTCTGTCGACCTCGTACTACGACTCCGGAACAGCATATCAAATTTCCTGGGAATAGACACAAGCAGGCAGTCGTCTCTATATGGATTTGCAAAAGCTATTGCTGAGAAGGACCATTAAATGAGCCTACTATGTAGCGCCGACCAAGATTAGGATTCGATCACGATCGGTAGGTGACCTATTTTCGAAGATTTTAACTGGAATGCTAGCCAGGGAGATTAGTCTGGCGATGCAATACAGGCAAAGGCCACAACCCTAGCGATCCCAGGCTTCTGAAAAGTCCTCATTGCCCTCTCGGGTCAGAGTTGCTTGAACAGCCCGTGACCTCAGCATTTGCATATCACGAAAGGACATCCTCCAGCAAAACCGAGTCATCCGATCATTGGAAGGAAAGGGAAAGCCGGAGGTGAGTTAAGAAATACCGCACGCTGTGGCGAAGTGCACAAAGATATAACATATTGTTCTAGAGCAAGACTAATGTCCAGCAGAGCGAGGGATCATTCTCGCATCTCCCATCGGGCAGCCAGGCACTCGGTTGGGGTCGTTGGAAGTATAGCCGCCTCACAAGACAACAGCTCGAGGCAACCACCTTCCGTTGAAATTGCATCCCCCTCATCCGACTGCGTCAAGGCGCACCTTCTCTTCTTCTCCTGCATCATCCCTCCATCCGTACCAAGTATGTTTGCGCGTCTTGCACAATAGCATTTTTGCCGGCGAGAATTCTGTCACCGACACCTCTACGCGATGACCGTCTTCATCGCTTCTCTGTTAGTTTGAATCCCTGTTCTGCGCCAAGTAATCGCTCAACCGTCTTTTCTCACATTCATTCTTTAGATTTCTCCCTTACACCATTGACTTCAAGACAACTGGCGCCAGAGGTGGTCGTCGCAGGTCTTCGCTCAGCCATGGTGCTGTCGATGGCTCCAACTCTGGTCCCATTGTCGGTCGCCTACCTCGCCTCCGCTCTGGCAGCATAGCGTTGACCCCCGGGGCGACGACCGAGGATGAGAAAATCTTCAAGGCTTACGCATCGCATTTTGCCGATGAAGTTTCTATCGCTGATGACCCTAAAGGACCTGGTCCCAGTGAGCCTCGTGCCGTGCCTTGGGGTCGTAGCAATAGGTTCAACCAGCCCCGTTCAACGGCAACTACCCACCCTGAGCCATCTATCTTAAATCGACCGCCTTCGCGGCCGGACTGGAGGGAGAGCTCCTTGGACGGTGCGCCCGGTCGGCTAACTACGGATCAGACAGAGAGTCCTCGTGCACTGCTTTCCGCCGTAGACTGGGCTGTCAAGGCTGCAGAGCAAGGTCATGGCGGCCTGCAGAACGCCGTACATGCCGCCGAGGAAGCGGGGGTCCTGCAGAGCAAGATGTGGGTTGGCACGCTGGGCATGCCAACTGATTCCCTCCCGGACCTGATTCGAAATGTCATCAACGAGACTCTTCTAGAGGACTATGACTCTTTGACGGTGTTTGTGGGTGACGGCGAGTTCGAAGGGCATTATGCTCATTTCTGCCGTGCAGTTCTATGGCCGGCGCTTCACTACCAAATGCAAGAAAGTCCCCGGCATACGGATTACGATGACTATTCTTGGAAACAGTATCTGAAAGTGAATGAGGCATTCGCCGATGCCATCGCCAGTCGCTGGAAACCAGGAGACCGAATCTGGGTGCACGACTACCACCTTCTCAGCTTACCCGCACTGCTGAGGGCTAGACTACCTCATGCGGAGATTGGCTTCTTCCTACACACGCCATTCCCCTCGTCTGAGATTTTTCGCTGCTTGAATCCACGGGAAGCTCTACTAGACGGTCTTCTCGGCGCAGACCTCATTGGGTTTCAGACCGAGGAATACTGTTACCATTTTCTGCACTCTTGTAGCCGAATTCGAAAGTTGGAGGGCCCAGGTGACGGGGTCCAGGTCGGCGATCGATTCGTTCGTGTCAAAAAATGTCCCTTGGGTATTGACTACAAGTCATTGAACCTACTACGACAATCGGTCGAAGTCAAAGAATGGATCAATAGTATCATCAATAGGTACCGCGGGAAGCACTTGATTGTCGCGCGAGACCGATTGGATGCTCCAGGGGGTATCAAGCAGAAGCTCCTAGCATATGAGCTCTTCCTAAAAACCTACCCCAATTGGCGAGAAAATGTGAGAGCTACGAACTTGAACTTATATACTCCCTTCAGCCCCAACCAAGTTCTGACATATGACATAGGTTGTTCTTGTTCAAGTTGCCTCGTCAGCATCCGAAATTCCAGAGCTAGAAGCGCAGGTGTCCAAAATCGCGATGCGCATCAACTCGGTCTATTCCACACTCACCCATCAGCCTCTAGTCCTCTTACAACAGGATATCAGCTACTCGCAGTTCCTTGCGCTCCTCAGCGTAGCTGACATCTTTATGGCCACCAATCTCCGTGAAGGCTTGAACCTAACAAGCCACGACTTTATTCACTGTCAAGATGGCGAGCTGGCTTCTCAGCAGCATGGATCCCTGATCTTGAGTGAATTTACTGGCAGCGCCTCGATATTCCAGGGACATGAGCTCCTGGTCAACCCATGGGACTACAAGCGATGCGCCGATGCCATCAACAAAGCACTGGAGATGTCACCAGAGCAAAAGAAGCGCAACTGGCAATATCTGCTCGACCGTAAATCACCGTACACCGCATTGGCCTGGTTCTCAAATTTGCAATTTGCCCTCACAGACTCTCGCGGCTTGCAACAGCCTCACCGCACACATACCGTCTCTCCACTTCGACTTGACGCCGTCCTAACCTCTTATAACGCAGCCGAATCTCGTCTTCTCTTCCTGGAATACGATGCCATATTTCCCTCAAACACCGACAGTTATTCTTCTGAACCGTTCCGTCTTCTACAAAGACTAGCCCTTGATTCGAAAAACGTGATCTACCTAACCAGCAATCGCAGCCCTGGCCAGCTTGACCTTACGTTCAGATCACTTCCGGCGCAAGTCGGTCTCATCGCAGAGAACGGCTGTTTTGCAAAATTTGCCAATACAGCCGAGTGGAAAGTTCTTTTCGACGTGAATCAAACCCGCGCCTGGCGCGCCGACATTAGAAAGGTATTCGAATGTTTTCACGAACGCACTGAAGGCAGTGTCATCGAAGAACGCCGGTGCTCACTGAACTTCAACTACGAAAAAGCTACAGACCAGGCAGTAGCAGCTCGTCAGGCGTCCGCACTAGCAGATCAGATCAACAGAGCGCACAGCAGCGAAGATATCCGCGTCGTTCGCGACTCGGGCTTCGTCAGTGTAGTACCACTAGATGCACATAAAGCCGTTGCCGCCTCCATGTTTCTGGATCAGAAGTCCTGTGAACGATTTCCGGACTTTATCTTCGTGGCTGGCGGTGATGGCGATGACGATGCTTTGTTTCGGTGGGCAAATCGGTTGACGCTTTCTTCATCCAGCTCGTCCGTGCCAATCAACATCGCGGTGACTACTTTGAGTACTGGTACGCGTACCACTGAAGCGAATTGTACATTGCCGGCTGGCTGGTCCCTGCCAGATGTGTTACTATCATTGTTACTTCCAGATCAGAAGGCAGATGGTGAGGACGAGGGTATTCATGTCAAGATCGATGACTAGTCTTTAGGTTCCTGTTGTTTCTCCGTTCTCATTCTTCTGCTAGCGCTTTCGATGGACGGTATTTTTATGACTAGGATGACTTCTAATGAGACTGGTAGCCTAGGGATCTTGTGGTTGTTTGATGGCGATGGCACTAGCGAGATACCGGATACTGTATACTTTTGTGTCCAAGGCTCACCTCATCTACATCATAGAACCCTTGCCCACCGGCGGTCTAAAGAGCTATTATTTCAATAGTTTAAAGTGTTTTTGATTTCAATTCTGTAATAAGTCTCACTCCAAGCATCCCGTGGATCGGAAACGATATCACAAGTAGCAAACGCATGAATCGTCAAATGGATAGACCCCAAAGGAGGTTGATGATCCACTCTAGAATAATGGAAATTAACAAATACAAGGCGATGGAGGGAAAGACATAAAGTCAGAAGCTAATGAGGCAACTCGATTGATGGGAAAAAGTCGGGGGACTCGGCGAAAGTCGACCAGCCGCGACGTCGGAAGGTGAACAAGGGGGGGAATAGAACATGGGGCGAAGCAACAAACAGAACAATGAAGGGCCCACCTGACAATTGAACACTTCCAAAGATTAAAAACCGACGTAATGATATGCAGTTGCAAAATTCTGAAATCTGACGGCAAGAAAACCAGAGCCGTGAGTTCAGGGGAACGTGAATCGTGAAAAGTCAGGAGCTGGGCAATTATATTGCTCTGCTTCTGTGGTCTGATGGGGGGCCTGAGTGGAGCGGCGCAGGGAGAATAGGAGCCAGCAACTCCTGATGATTAGTAGCAACAAACATGAGACGAGTTGCATGGGATTATGGTCAATGCTCAGCTCCCGGTGTTGGGGTCATGGGAATGGTCTTTGGATGACGCTGAATCAGTACTGGTAGTACCGGCAGAAATCAGGATCGGGGCAATCCGGCGCTTCTTGGGTTGTTGTGTGGCTGTTGCCGAATCAGGGCCTTTACTGTCCTCTTTTTCAGATTCACTGGTCGCGGGTGCGTCACGCTTGCCTAGCACACTACCAATAGATGGAGTAGCGGCGTTGGGCAGAGGCGTTTGCGGTGGTGTCGTGAGGGGAAGGCCAGAAGGCTGCGCGGAGTGTGTCGCTGTCACCGAAGGCACGGAGCCAAGTGTCGGTGTTGGGTTGTTGATGACGTTTGCGGACTGCTGGGTAGACGATTGTGTCGCGACGGAGCCCGCCGAGTTAGACCGTGCAGGGCTAGCAGGAGGCACTTGGCCATTATGAGCCGCCGGAAACCCTCCACTGCTAGCGGGCGCGTGGGTCGCTTTGATTGGTGATGGAACATGTGTTGGAGTCGGCAAAGGTGTGATATTGGTCGAAGGGGTGGTTGAGCTAACTGGATTCAAGCCAGTTGATGTCGCCCCCGTGTATACCTGACCCAGCTCTCCGGGGGCAAATGAAAGAGTAGAGCAGAAACCATCCGAAGAGCTCATGATCAACGTCAATCCATCATTAGACCTATATTGTGTTAGACCTCTGCGAATGATTGACGGAGAGATCGAACTTACCAACTCAAGTCTGTGAAGGTAGCAAAGTGAAGGTTGCTTACAACGCACAATGGTGTCTGTTGTTGCGTGTCATATACCAGCACGGCATCTTGGGTGGCAATAGCGTAAATGATGCGATACGGAAGCGCGAAAACTGGCGCCATTCCTGCTTCATTGCTATGGTTTTCAGAGGGCTTCGCCGACGCCTGAGCCTTTGACGCATCATCACCTGGGGGATTAGCAGATGGCGGGTCCATGAAAGGCTTGCTGGTGGACGATGTATTCGAGGCCACGACAGAGTCTGGCAGAGGAGGGAACATGGCCTCTCCTCCTGCAGACGTGTCTACTGTCATATTTTTGACTGGCTGGACGCCCTGCTTCAAGGTGTAATACACAGGCGAGCACTTGACCGCTACAGATGGCTTCTTGTGACCAGGAAGGTGAGAAATGGGTGGCTTGTTGAAACCAGCCCTCGTGTAGACGTAGACTGTGTTGATGATCTCGTCGGTGGTTTTTGAGGGATCGTTAGCCGAGGCATGAGAGGTCTTGTACTGCCCAGCGGGTGTGAACAAGAGGCTTCCGTCCGGGGTGAATGTCAGTCGCCGGAAGAAGGATGTAAAGGTCTCATTTGCATAAATGCTGGCATTCTTCACACCAAGACCGCCAAGGAGACTCGGGGATGAGACCTCCAGGGGCTTCACAGCAGGCAGTGGCAGAGATGGGGCAGGAGACGCGGACCGCCGAATGGACGGGGACGAGCCAAAGGAGGAACGACGGCTGTGAGAAACCGGGGGAGGATCCATAGGTAGATTAGATGTCATTGGAGTTCCCGGTGTTGAAGGTGCTGGGGATGCGATAGCAATAGAGTTAGCCGTGCTTTGTGATGGCCTACTAGTCGGTTCCGGGGCAGGACTGCTGGACGAAATCCGTTTGGCGGGCAGATCCATCTTCAGGATCTTGCCGTGAGGGGTCAGAGTAAACTGGCCATCCTTAGTCTTCAAACTATAGATGTGAACCGATCGGTCGGATGATTGGGTCGCGACGAATTCATTGAGCGGGTCCCACGCGACACCCTGCACATAGTGAGAGTGCTCCGCAATCTGTCGTACCATTTGCCCTGGAACGGTGAAAGGTCAGCAATTTGGACTCGGACGAAAGTCGACTCTTCTGGTTCCGGCAAGACCAACCATTCTGTGCATTGTAGATTCTAGCAATGTTGTCCATGCTGCCTGTAATGATAAAGACTCCATCGGGTGACCAGGCCAAGTCGTAGATCTCAGCCCCGGAGGAACGACACATGTGCTTCACACGCCAGGTCTCCTTGTCATCTGATCGGTCCTCTCCCAGTCCAGGTTGTGTTTGTAGCTCTGAGGGCACCCATAACAAAACATTGCCGTCGTCTCCGGCAGATGCCAGCATCTCACCTATGAAACCTCGTCAGATTAGGACGCCCTAAGGGACTTTATTGTATTACCCGCGAGAGGAGCTCATACCCTTGGGACAGAATCGAACCACATTCACGGCCTGTGTATGCTTCACCAGTGTACTCAGATACGACACTTTTCGTTCTTCGCCGGCACACTCAAGTCGCCAAAGCTGGAGGAGGTGCGTCAGACAGGTTTTCGAAGGAGGGTAATGGTAGTAGAATTAAGGCGAAAAAAACATACTCGGACATTGTTGTCACTGGTCATTCCGTGTTAGTTTAAACGTTTTCTTCCTGCAAAGAGGGAGAGCACTTACTTTCCAGCCGTTGCTACTCGGCCCTTGCCATTGGGGTCAAAGTGTACGGAGTAGATGGGGGCATTGTCGTTGTGCCACGAGATCAGCAGTGGAGAGGCCTTCATAGTGCTGAATGCAGCTCAGCGAGCTCTGCTTGGCCGGCCACTGGTCTCAAAAACGGAGGAAGTGCTCGATGGGCTGTCGATGGTGTGTTTGAGGATGGGAACGAGGGCTCCCCCGTCTCGGCCGGTTGACGATATGGTCTTTGAAGCCTAGGGAGGAAGAAGAGAGGTAGGGCACGAAGTGATATTAGAGGTACAATATGGTGGGAGAGGTGAAAAAAGGGAAGAACGGGGTGGGAGAGGGAAGAAGAAAGGTTGTGGAAGGGCGTTCAGTGATGATGCTTCGAGTTGTTTGACGCGGGAACGCGACCGGCGATTAGATACGCCCGCCCAGTAAAAGGCACCCGATTTTACACCATCAGCCACGATTGGTGAGGAAGAGGAGGTTTTTTTCAACGGAGAGAGTCTTTCCAATTCAAGTAAGTATGTATTCACACGTGGTGGCCATCAGTTTGAGTTGGGTTTCTACTTCAATGGCCGTTGTTACTCGGTTTGATTGAAAGGGAGGTAAAGGTGGCTGAGAATAGCAACAACGACGGCACAATATATAGCCAGACTAATCCAACGAGCCCAACTTTGAACGCCCCATTTTGCCATTTCCCATGAGTATAGTGATATTTAGATACAGGATTTGCATACAAGCTAGAAGTACAATTTCATCTCTCACTGCTTCCTATTATGAGACCCATTTTCCGATCGTCTCTCCAAACCAGCTGACGGCCTTCTCCTGTCTCTTCGTCCGGGCATTCGCTTGGGTATTCATGAATGAAGTGGCCTCTTCAGCATAAAGCTTCTGCTGTTCCAGCAGAGAATTATGAGATCGAATCTCTAGTTCACGTTCATGAGGCGTGAGCTTGAGCAACGGCTTGGATGGCTTGAACCCGGGTGGAAGAGTCTCGCCGCCGGGGATTTCAACCTGGGTACCAGCCACTCCCTCGATATGAGGTGGCTTGTCAGGATTAAAAAGTGAGGTGAGTGGAGGTGGTTCAACTCCAGCTGCCTTGGCCTCCGCCACTCTCTTCTCGTAGTCCAGCATTTGGTGGTATAGTTTGTCGGCATGCATTTGAATCCGCTCTTCCTTTTCGGCATCGTATTCGAAGGATGCAGCGTAGCCCAGCGCTTGAAGGAATTTCTGTACAGATATTAGTATGGTCCGGTGACAGGACAAATGGTGACAACGCCAACATGGAGAGGTACTGACGCTTTGTGTTTGGAAGCATCGCGAGAAAGTTGCATTCTCCGATGAGCACAGAGTCAACCGGGCCTCGATCTGTTTCTTCCAGTTTCCAGTCTGGAAGCAGAAGGTCAAGGCCTCATGTTCTAGAGCACAATTCTCCATCGCTGCTCGGTGCACAGTATTCCCGCGCTCCTTGTTCTTCTCAATCACTCGCTCCGCGCCGCGAACTCCGGGAGTACTGCTATCGACATTGCTCGGTGGTTTGTAGGTCTTCCATAGATCGGCATAGCGACCATCCTGATAGAGAGATGCTGCAGGGACCTTTGAATTCGAAGACTCATCGGATTCTTGTGAGTCGGGGGAGTGCGCAGGTGTGGGCGTGGGTGAGGGTTGCTTCAAGTCTGGTGCGGGCACATATTTATCGGGCGTCTCCTGCTCGAGAAACTCTCGAAGACCAGGGTCAAGCTCCTTGACAGGATCGTTCTTGTTGTCACCCCAAAACCAGCCCATTGAGAATGGATTATGCGACGATAGATGGAAAGGCGTAGGATCGTGGGAGGGCGACTCTTCTGGAGCGTTGCGGAGAAGTCGGGACAAAAATGGATCGGCCTCGATGGACCTTCTTGGGGCCGACCGCCGCGGCCGTTTTTTGCTTCTCCAACCTCAACACGACGCGTCTATCCCGACGCCGTTCCTCCAAAATGGCTTCCAGTATGTGCAAACGAATCTCGGGGAATAATACATTGGTCTGATAACTATTTACAGCGCGAGAGGAGCGGCTGCAAATGCGCCAGCGCGGAGCTGGGTACGCGCCTTTACCCCGCGAAATCATAACATAGGAACGTGCAAGCTAACCCGCAGGATAGGACACACAAGACAAAGGCAATTGATTTCGGCTTTTCTTTCGCAGGCGCCGCAACTGGGCCATCAGATTCTGCTGCGCTACCTCTTTTTCCTGAGCCGATACAACCATCGCAAACCGAGACTGCGCCGCCCGCGACAACTACACCACTAGGATCGCAAACGGATAGCAGGATACAGCGCACGCCAGGAAGCGCGCGCAACGCACAACCGGAGCGCCCTTCGCCATATGACATACCCGCTGATGGAGAGTCTGCGCAGCAGCGTAGCAACAAAAGGAGGAAGATCAGTGCGTTATGGCCCATGAAGCGCGCGACCCCATTTTACTAACGCCGCCACGACAGGCCAGCCAAGTCAGGAGTCTACTACCCTCGCGCGTCCTCCCCTAGCTGCCTCCGGAAATTGGCTGTCAAAAACAGCCCAGAATGGCGATAAAGAGCCACCCCCACGTGTGAACGTGGATGCCTCTCCCACGGAAACTCTCGTACCGGCGACTCATTCGGGCACAAAGCTTCAGCCAGAGATATCGGTCGATGACCATACACATACGGAGGGCGCTCAAGGCAAAAATGGAGCGGGGAGAGGCCCAACAACTATTTCGGAACCTTCACAGAATAACGCTACAACCCCTGACCGGTCTCGACCATCGAAGGTGCCTCTACGTCAGAAACAGCCAATTGTCGATCCGATTCTGCCACCCACATCATCCCAGCAGAAACGGCGAAAGAGTCGATCACCGCAGCAAGACGAAGCTTCACCGAAAGACGACCAAGCATGGCCGGCCAAGAGACCATCAAGGAAGTCTACCTCACCAGCTACTCGAAGCGACAACCAATCGAGTTCAGATGTGACCGAAACTAGTCAACCTTTGACAGCCGATGCGAGTGCGAGTGCGAACGCAGTACAACAACAGATAGAGACCGCGCGCCCGATCACTGCGGCTATAGATAGTGGTGACCAGGCAGATCAAAGGCCACCATCTCGAGATAATGTCCAGGCAAAGTCTAAGCCGAGACGGACTCGCAATGTCAAAGGCAAGAGTTCACAGGAGAATGTGAATTCGCAAACGGCGGGTCAAGAACTTGAGGCTCAGATGCGTGACGAGCCAGTGGATGCTACTTCTCAAGCATCTTCGAAAACGAAACGAACCCGTAGGAGAGCTTCTCCCGCCCAGACGACGGCAGATACGAACACCGCAGAGGAGGCGAATGTTGAATCTGAGGCCGAGGTGCCACAAGTTCCGGAAACTAGCCAGTCTGAGACAGTACCCAGAACCACACGGCTCCGACAAAAACCATCGCCCAGTGGGAAAACGGCTAGAACGACGGCAGTTGAAGATGTTTCACGGGCTCCTACCGGATCTACTGCGTCTACGGGCAAGACATCCAATGCAGTTCCACGCCAAGGCCGCAAAGCATCCAAGAAAAGAGGCACGCGACCCCAATCAGAATCTGTTGAACCTGAGCAGGATGCTAGTCAAGAACCAGAGCCAACGCCACAGGCAGATGTACATACCGAGACAGAAGCTGGTCCTTCAAAATCTCGGCGGGGTCGGTCAAATAAGAGAAAAGGCAAGCAGGCTGCAGAACCCGAGGGGACACCTACGGAAGAGCAACCTGATACGGAGGCAGCACAAGAGCTACGACGGAAGACACGACAACCTCGAGGTGAAACCGTACCCGTCACCGTCCATCGACTTGCGAATGCTTCTGCTCTCGGTGCGCTGTATGCCTCTGCCGAGGGCTCTGGTGACGAAGACGAGGAGTCCCCCGATGGACTGGTATCTCGCTTGAATACAACATTACCTACACGTGGCGGCGTCAATCCGGCAGATGTGCTAGGCCAAATTTGTCGCGAGACATTAGAAAAGACCCTTGACAAACTGAAGACCGGGATTGAGAACGAGACCAATACTCAAAAACGTGCCGAATGGTCCCGCAAGCGCAAGGCCGTGGAGGCATTTGGGTTGGAATTGGATAATCATCTCTTGGACCTGAGCGAGATCCTCGACAGTAACTTTGTGCTGGGGATGCAGCTCCGAAAGGCGAAGCGTGATATGATGGATCTGCGAACTCATCTGTACAAGGTACGGAAAGAGCGAGAGAGTATAGCTATACAAATGGATGCGGTGCGCACCAAGCATATGGAGGAGGAGAGTGCAAAGACGGTAAGTGATTCTATGTAGAGGAGGACTATGTGAAACTACGAGACAAGACTGAACATGACCACAGGCTCGCAATACCATCAACAACTCGCTACATAGCCTTGAAATGGCCCTCGATCGCAGCCAGCACCGCGGTGAATCTAGCACGGAGATTTCTCCTGGGGACATTGAATTCATGCTTCGTACCGTAGCTGATGATGTGAGCTGCCGGGCCCCTGGTGCACAGGGAGGGCTCTTAAATCAGATACGGGCTTTCAACCAGCAGCTCGAAGCAACGGCGCGGCGCCTGGAGCGATCGTGATTTTGTATTTTATTGGAGGGTCTCCACTATCCGGAGTCATATTTCGTGATTAGTCATTCGTGAGTAATGTCGTGATACCAGTTTTGAAGTGAGTTAGCGACGGGCCATGGCGTTTTCTTGTTGCACACACGAGTCGGGTACTACGTGTTGGGGATGAATTCGTTTGGCAGTATCATTCTATTTCCATGAAAGCTGAGAAATCAAGTGGCGAGCATCAAGCCGAAACCCGAGTTTGTTCTGTTTGTCAAGTTCTGCAGCACGTAACCTTAAAAAGTACGGTGAATTGGTGAATGGAGGACTGTGCTGCACAATCTTCTCAATTAATAATCTGCATAGACGATCCTCTCTTCCTATTGGGAGATCTCAGCCACGGGACGGTTCTGTGGATGGAAAGTTTCACGTGGAACGCAGTGGAAGAAAAAGGGAGATTCGGCACTGCCTTTGCCGGTTCGGAGAGATTTTCAGGCATACATGCTTCATTATAAATCATCCCCGAATCATCCCCTGTGGAGCCGTGGATCTTTCCCTAACACGAGTGTATTGAGGGCTGAGGGACAAAGGCTATATAACAAGGATTTTTGTCCGCTCTCTTCCTCTAGAACCCAAACCATTCAAATCCATCACTCCAATTGAGTCCTTAATTGGCATTTGACTCTCCCGTTGTCACATCATCATCCCACCTATACAGAGTCTATACTTCCCATCTCGCACATCAACCCCCCCCACCTCATTCACAATGACCAAGCTCTTCACCCCCCTCCGCGTCGGACGCATGGAGCTCCAAAACCGCATCGCAATGGCACCCATGACCCGATTCCGCAATAACGACGACCACGTTCCCCTCCCCCTCGTCAAGGAGCACTACGCCCAGCGCGCCTCCGCACCGGGAACCCTCCTCATCACCGAAGCCACCCTCATCACCCCCCAAGCGGGCCTCTACCCCAACGTCCCCGGTATCTGGAACGATGCCCAGATCGCCGCCTGGAAGGAAGTCACCGACGCCGTCCACGCGAAGGGCTCCTACATCTACATGCAGCTGTGGGCTTTGGGCCGCACCGGAAGCGCAGACCTCCTCAAGGCATCTGGGTTCGACCTCGTGTCTGCCAGCGATGTCCCCGTGTCTAGCGAGGCGCCGACCCCGCGCCCGCTGACCGAGGAAGAGATTCTGGCTTATATTCAGGACTACGCGCAGGCTGCGCGTAATGCCGTCGCCGCGGGCTTCGACGGTGTCGAGATTCACGGTGCGAACGGCTACTTGATTGATCAGTTTATCCAAGACGTCAGCAATAAGCGTACCGACCGCTGGGGTGGCAGTGTCGAGAACCGCGCCCGCTTCGCGATCGAAGTCACCCGCGCCGTGGTTGATGCTATCGGCGCCGACCGTACGGCTATCCGCTTCAGTCCCTACAATACCTTCCAGGCAATGAGGATGGAGAACCCGCACCCGCAATTCGCGTATCTGGCGCGTGAATTGGCCCCGCTGAAGCTGGCGTATACCCACTTGGTTGAGGGTCGTATTGCTGGTAATACCGATATTGAGTCTACGGATGAGCTGCAATTCTTCCTGGATGCTTACCACGGTGCGGGTCCCGTCGTGATTGCTGGTGGGTATCAGCCTGAGTCGGCCAAGGAGGCGGTCGATCAGAAGTACAAGGATTACGAGGTTGTTATTGGATTCGGTCGGCCGTTCACCTCCAACCCGGATCTGCCGTTCCGTATCAAGGAGAATGTGCCTCTTGTGCCGCATAGCCGCGATGTGCTGTACCTACCCAAGGATCCCAAGGGATATAACGATTGGGAGTTCAGTGCTGAGTATAAGAAGGCTGTGGAGGCTGCGGCTTGATTGGATATAGAGACATTGTTCTATTTTCTTGTTTTATGATTGCATAGCGTTGCGTTTGATCCTATATTAGAATATTATATATAAATGAATAGAATCTGTTCATCTTTATACACCTGTTGGACACTCCATCAGACATAGCATCTACAACTTGTACTATAGCCACAGTCAGTCAACAGCCCATCACCAGAGCAATGTAAAATACTGGGATGAACTTACCCTAAACTCTGGATTCTCCCGATCCGTCAGATCCAAAAACTCCGAATTCTGTACGTGCGTCTCGCCCTCATGTCGTCTCGCCCTCCGTCGGTTCTCCCAACAGTAATAAGCCCGCAAAAGCAGTACAAAGACAATCGCCACGGAGATAGTTGCAACGAGCGCAATCTTCGCGGGGATATAATCGGGCTCATCCTGCGTGCGGAAGGTAAGCGGGCCCAGAATATTACCCAGACAGAAGGACATGAGCAGGATTGCATTCATGGTGATCTTCTTCGTGTGTCCGGCGACATTAGCGCCGGCTATGGAATACATGAGTGGTAGGGCAGAACCGGTGATTTGTGTGAGGTAATTGCCTGCCAGATGGGCGGCTTTCATGTCCTTGGGCGAGAATGCGAGGAGACAGCCACCTAATAAGCCGCCCACTAAGGCGAGAACTACACAGAGGCAGCGCTGGTCGTAGCGAGATGCGAGATATGTGACTGTCAAGATACTGATAATGCTGACCACTCCGTTGGGAACGTTCAGTAGCTCAGTTTCCTTGGTGGTGAAACCGATGTTCTTGATGATCAACGACGTGAAGCTGCTGACCGCGGCATTGGGCACGTCCATGGCCGTCACGACTATGGCGATCAGGTACGTCTGCGGATCTTGAAAGACCTCTATGAACTGACGCCACTTGAAATGCTTATTCTCGATGCCGGTGCGATTCTCGCGCAGCCGCTCGATCGCTAGAACTTTCTCGGCGTGCGTTAGTCGAGAGGTCATAGGATTATCGGGGAGAAAAATGATGATGCAGATGCCCACGGCGATTGTGATCAGTCCGAAGATCAAGAACATAATTTGCCATGACTTGAAGAGATCGCTTGTGTAGAAGAGCAGGCCGTATGCTACCAGGGCGCCCATTATGGATGCAGTGCCGGTACCAAGATACCAGATTCCCATTCGCTGTGGCTGTTCGTTCCTTTTGTACCACATGGAGGTGATGAGGATTAAAGCCGGCGCAATGGCACTTTCGAAACATCCGAGCAGTACTCGTAGTGTCATCAGCCCCCCGAAGTTCTTTGCCGAGCAGTTAAGCGTTGTCATCAGACCCCAAAGCGTAACGTTGAAGCCCAGGTATTTCGCAGTTGGCAATCGCTGCATGAGATAACCAGTCGGTAGCTCAAAGAATAGATATGTCACATAGAAAGCGAGGGTTAGATTGGAGAATTGGTTCGTTCGCATGTGGGTATCGCTGAGTAGACCCATTACGGAGGCATAGTTGATGAGCACCTTGTCCAGGTATTGCAGGTTGTACGCAGCCCACATCAACGGCATGATCATCCAGTCAATCTTGCGGACAAGCGTCTTCTCGTGGACCTCGACTGCAATCGCGGTATCTTCATCGCGTAGGAAGTCGAGGGCTGCATCTGCCTTGCCCTCCAGTAGCATGCCATTCTTGATCTCTAAATCGGCCTGGGGATGAGCAACTGAGTGCATTCGCTCTTCTTCGGCATGTCCCATGTTTCAATTGACTCGCAAGATTTCTGATTTATCTCAGATCGAGCTTCAAGGGGTCGGTCTCCTTAAAAAGGTTCTAGGGCTCAGCTAGAGTCATAGATCCCTAGTGCAAGGCTGGCCCATTGAACCTCCAGACTACCACCCCCGCACTCAACATATCGAGATAACGAAGCTTTTGAACACGCTCAACAGCCGAGCACTGACATCAACTGCAACCGAAATCGCAAGCCGCGATACCCCAAAGAGTAATTTGACCCCCGAGGTGTCATTGATATGCAGAGACGCGGGTCGTCTCCCCCATGATAGGGAAAGTGCACAGACAAGCCAGCCGATCGCTGGCTTTATGGTTGGGTCTGCTTTTTTACTCAGCTGAAGGAGAGCAGTCTCCTGAGAAGCACAGATAGCAGATCACATATCATCTTGGGCTGTGTTAAATCTGACAGGCTCGTCGGCTAGGCGGTTAGACCTGATTGGGAAGGTGGTGTAGGACAAGGGAGATAAATGTCCTGCAGACCCCGCATCTTGACCAGAACTAGGAGTAGGAAGCGGAAAGCTCGTAGATAGGGGGGTTCAATCATCAATTCACTTCATTGCAGTATGGAGGCATGGGCTTGTCTGCTAATTCGACCAGCGAAGTCGGAGCTGCTCCGGTGGCTAATGCAAATTGATAGATAAGAACAAATGTGGGCAAACTCACGATTGGAAACATGCACTTATCGATAATCGACAAGATAGCCACTGCAGGCCCAAAGATTTTGATCAAGGAACAAAATCCAGACAATTGATATCTCTCGCCCGAAAGGATGAGAACGGATTCCTCATCATCCTTATTGTCCTAGTTGGAGATTCTGGAATTTGGGATTCTTCACCGCATCCTCCATATCGTGTATTTTCCGCTTGACAGCACCTGCGATGATTCGACTTGGCCGGATACAGGTGGAGAATATAACCTCACACTGGGCTGTTGGGTTTGTTTTGCAGAGAACTCCAGTACACGACCCCGTCATGACTTACGGCACTCCGGAGATCCGGTATTACAGTCGGCCAGTGGTGAACAGAACCTCCATGAGCAGTTAGGTCGATCTAAAAGTTGCATGTCGCTAATATGAAACCTGAATCCAGGTGTTTGGACACTACGTTTGTCTGCTTTGACCAGCTAGGATTTGTTGGAGGCACTGCTATTTCCGTCTCGGTCTGCACCTAGTTCATCATGCATCTGCCGGGGATTCACACTGATTAGCAGTTATTTGGTTAATTAGCTCACTCTATAGTATGTACTGTCAATATCATCCCACAATTTGCTACACTAAAGTATACAAAAACTCCTTCCCAGCCCCGCATCCCCTCCTTTCCAATCCTCTACATTCCGGAGGTAGTTTCCACTCCCCCAAACCTGGATTTCGGGGGTTTCCCGGCCCCGATGGATGCGGCGGGGACCAGAACCACCAGCGAGTTCTCCATGTCTCCCAGATGGCAAAGTGGGCCCCGAACAACATCATACCCCGAAGTCTCTTCCGCTCCGCCGAGCCGAAAGCAGCGAGATGGGCTCAACTGGAGCTCATCCGGGGCCGAGGCCTTGGCAGTTAAACACCCAAAAAGCCCAAGAGGTTACCGAGGAAGCCGTTTTGAAGCGTGTTCCAAGGATCGTGAGGTGGATGAATTTCCAGGCCCTCGACTACAGTACTTTGGCTTTGGCGGTACGGTGGCGTGGGGCGTGGGGCTTGGGGGTTATTGGCA